GTGAATCAAATTCAATAGCATTTACTTTAGTTTTAATCAATGAGAATCTTTTTTTTTTATATGAAAATTATAAGTTCTTTGAGTATTTGTTTTGATTAAGTTTATTATTACATTATAATGAAAATCAGTTATCTTGATAATTTTAATTCAACTCATTCAATCAGCTAAATAATTAACAATCAATGAATTGATTTCTAATAAATTTCATTGATCATCTCAAAAGCTGAAATATTTTTCATTCACTATTATCATGATGATAATTTAATCAGTATTGTAATTATAACAGTTAATTTGAAATTAACTCATCAAATTGTAACAATTGTAGGTATGAATTTTTATTCATTCAGTTGATAATTATTTCAATAACATTTTCATGATATAATCAGGGAGAGCTTGTAATCACCATCCCTATGGGTGATAATTGAATGTTTATTCAATGTAATTATGTAGCTAAAAAGGTGATAATTAGATGAAGTTTTATCAGAACTTTTTTTTTATCTAACAACAGGGGGAAACAAAGTTCTAATTCCAATGTTATAAACTGTTATCATTAATTTTGATTATCATTATTTACCATCATTACGAATTGAATATGTATTTAGATATATTTGATTTACAATTCGTAACAGCTTGAGTTTCATTTTTCATTCTCATGTTGACAATTTATTCATATTTCCATGAATATCATGAGCATTTGAATATTTTTAGCATTTTTTCTCTCTCTCAGTAACATGAAGGTAAAAAATTGACGCTAAAGTTGGAATACTATGAATTCCTAGCATCCTCATGATTCCCTGTGAGCTCAAAATTGTGTATTGGTTAATAGTGAGTAGAGGAAAAAACAAAATGTGACAAATTGAGGATTTTATGTCTCTCTCACTCTCCAAGAAATAAATAAATATAAACAAAGTCAACCATCATGAGCTGTGTGAATTGAAACATGCACCCAACCACCCACACATACACATGTGTATGTGAGTGTGTTTGCACATACATTGGATAAACATACAGATGATTCTGACAGAATGCTAAGCTGAATGCTAACGTCAGCATATTCATATACCAGTTCTCAATCATAGCTGCCTTTATATATATTTTTCCTCAATTTCTGTTGAAAGGTAAATTTTTGTGTCTCTTTTTTACACTGGAAAAAAAACTTTGTCAAACATCAGCCCAATCCAATTCGCTTGGTTATCGCTTTTTTCATCACTTAATTATCGGTGTTACTAATTATCATACATCAATCTGCTTATTCGAGTTATTTTGTCATTGGAGTTTTTTTCTCTCTCAACATTCAATTAGTAATAATACTCAATCAGCTTAATAACAGAATATAAATCAAACCATGAATCAGCAGCATTCTTTTTATAATGAGAACTTGTTTATCAAAGAGAGTGTTGAAAGTTTAGAACTTTTTTCCCTTTATCATTTCGTATTCATGGTTGGGCAGCAAGAGAAAGAGAAAGAGAGAGAGAGAGTGAGAGAGAAAAGTTCATTTTTATATGATATTGAAAGAGGAGAAAAAAAATGGAATGATTTTATCTCCGACTGTTTTTAATCATCGAATTCATGATTTGGTAATGATTCATGTTATCATTTTCTCCCCATGAATATATTACTGAAGTTTAGAAGCTAATTCTTTGATTCTGCTCAAAAACGAATCCTTTTTTACCTTTTTTTCCACCTCATGGTGATAATCTGATGATTATATTAGCTACTTTTTTCTCTTTACTCATATTCATCCCATGTCCAATTTCGTGAATCAATTGAATTGATTCTTGTTTCAAATTAACTTGCGAGTGGTCATAATGATGTTATCAAAATGAAACAAGACACAGTTACTGTCAAATCTACACAGGAAATTAAATGGAAAGTTACATTTGATTGAACATCGTATGTGTGTGTGGAAAGAGGTAAAGATAAATAGAGAAATTCAGTTATCATGGATTCAGAATGAAGGGTAAAATGTCAGGAGTTACAAAGGTGAAGAGAAAGAAATAAATAAAAAGAATTGAAAAGTTGATGATAATGATGATGATTAGTATGGAAATGATTTGAAGCTCAGGAGAGAGAGAGAGAAGAAGATGAGCTTTTAAGAGAAGAGAAAAAAAAATCTATCAGTGATTGAAGAGTAAATCTGTTGGAAGAGAAAATGAAACAGAGGATTGAATGAAAGTCTCAACTATCTGGTTACAGGGTGGAATAGTCTTGAGCCATGAGAGTATATCAGTAATCCAGCAGAGCGAGACTCCCCTGGAATTGAGCTTAAGCTGAATATATATTCAGAGAGAGAAGGAGGAAAAGTCAATGATTCTTATTAATGAAATTTAATGCAACATGAAATACTCTCTCTCTCTCTTTTATCATCATCATTATCATCGTCATGAGAATCATTTCTATTACTCAGATAGCTCAGCTTATGAAAATTATATCACTACTGAATAAATACTCTCCCTGAAGTTTTTTTTACCCAAGATGAACTTCATGGTTTCCTGATTGATATTAACCTGCTAATGAGCCAATGTTGACCAGGCAAGAAACCCAATATTGTGGTTTTGAACATTATACATGAAAATTTATCAATTTTATCATGATTATCGTAATTAATTTTGATAAAATTAATGAATGTTTGAATAATCTATATATTGCTTCATTTTTCTGATTCCATGATGATTGTGATCATTAATCACTTAATCAAAAAAGAGTTTTTTTCTTGTTGTTTTTTGCTCTTTATTATTTCCTCTGTTGTTTAACTTGGATAAATAAATTAACGAACTTGAATGCTAGAATTAAGTTCTAACGTTTTATATTTCGATTATTTATTTAACTTTCTTTACGCTCTCTCTCTCTCTCTCTCTCTCTCTCTCTCTCTCTCTCTCTCTCTCTCTCTCTCTCTCATGGTATGAATTATTTCACAATTCTCATGTTATTCCCATGTAATCAACATCTTGATTATTTAATTTCGTTAACATTGTGATAAACTGATTCTGTAAATAAAAAGTTAAATAAACTAATGAAAAACAATTGAAACAAATGATAAACATTGATTAAAGACATAAAATCAATTATTAATTGTTTCCAATTAAATCTTTTAAATGTATTATATGATTGATTTAAATTGATCAACTCTCTTAAACTGAATTAAATCAAATGTTTCAAATTGAATTGAATTATATGATTGAAACTTTACTCTCATGATAATAATGATTTAATCTGATCGATAGTTGATTTAATGTTTCATTTTTTTTCTTCTTCTTCTTCTTGATTCTTATTCTACTTTGTTTATTATCCTCATGAGATAAATCATTTGAATCGTTGAACAAATATATTTATATCTAACATTATATTAGATAGAATTACGAATTGAATCTTCTTCTCTAAAAATATATTTCAAACATTATTATTCACATTGAAAGAATCAACAATCAACAAGAATATTAAACATGATAAACTAAAGTAATATAAACAAATAGCTCGAGGGTGGATTCATATTTTTCTGCTGTTTTTATACGATAAAATCAGGAAAATTTTACAAAGGTTCCAAGGAGAATGTGAAATTTATCATGAAAATTCAAATGAATATAAGTGTTAATATAATGAGAATGTTACTCTTTCATATCACCTTGTTAATTTTTCTCATTCACTCTCTCCGTTGAATATCATATAATAGGTTCTGTTTATCATAATCGTAACCACAATTATCAATATTGCCAATTTGATATGATAAAAAAATGCCAGACTAAAGTATTTGTATTCATCTGAAAGGTCAACTGAATACTCGAGATGTTGTTTGGTTGTAGATTCATTGGTTTGTCTTACCTGTCACATTGATTCAAAGTATCATGACAGGTTTGGGAGTCATTGAGTTTTATATATGATATGAAATTCATACATGTAATTTTATTATTATTCTTGTTTTTCATGATGCAAATTTGTTTCTCTCTTGCGCTCAAAGTGAATAAAGTTCTGTGTTCAAAGAGAAAATGAAAAGTTTCAGATAACAAGATAAAAAGAAATAACTATTTTTTTTCTCTCCTTTCGAGAAAAGCAAAGAAAACGTAAGAAAGCGGAAGAAAATGTGAAAAGAAATATATATAAGATTTAATACAGATAATGAGAAACTATTGAACAAGTTGATTCAGAAATATAGGTAATAATAATAAAAAGAAAGTTCTGATAAAGAATAACATCTAGAACATTTATTTATATTCATATTTACATGTTTCTCTCCTTTTACCTGTAAATTCATAAAGAAAACTGAATAGTATCAAATGAAAGGAGCTCCGAATATCTCATGGAAACCTCGAGAAAATAAGAAAAGAAGGAGTAAAAAAACGAAAGTGTGAATTTCATTTCACTATCCATGTGAATTGTGAAAGAGAGAGAGAGAGAGAAAAACTCGATTCTGGTTTTTTTTTGTTCCATTGAAAGTTCAGCATTTATCTCAATTTCCATCGCAATTGTTTCAAGGAATTTCTAGCCCTTCGAATTCATTGTTATCATGTTATTATTATTAACTTTTGAATTTCCTTCTCTCTTTTTCACTTCTCCATATTAATAAGTTTCATCTTCAACTGAGTAGACATGGAAAATGTTAATACCAATGGTGTTATTGTTATGATAATTGAATGAGGACAAATTAGTATTGTTTCAATTGTTTGAATTTATCTCATGAATGGTGGGAGAGTTTCTGATTTACAAGATTTTTCTAATTAAAGTGTTTAAATTACATATTCAATCAAGTTTATCTTGTTATCATATCTTAAAATAGTTTCCATGATAGATTCTTGTTGTTTTCAAAATGAATTCCTTTACGAGTTGATGAATTGTCTTTGATAATTTAATGAATCAATTGTGATACTATAATTAGATTAAACTGATTCTGTTTGAATGAAATGAAAGAAAAATATAAGTGTAAAAAAAGCGTAAATGCCTGAATGATTTTACGACTTACCTGATGAATTATTTTCTTTTATCTGTTTCCCCATGTATATTTTCAGATTCACCGATATGCAAACTGAATCAGAAATTTACTTATGCGACCGCTCGTAATGAGTTAACTACAGTTACTTGTGAAATGGATGCTGATCCAATGGATTTACAATTTAAATGGAAACTCAATACAACCTCGATTTCTCATGTTATCGACAATTTTTCATCCAATGGTTCAATGAGCACTTTACCTTATATTGCAAAGAATCGTCACAGTTATGGATTGTTACTTTGTTCAGCAGAAAATGAGATTGGACCAGTTAGAGAACCATGTATGTTTCAACTCATTCCAGCAGGTAAGATATACACGGATTCTTTATTTATTTCAATTCTCAGGTATGAAAAAGGATAGTGAACAGTTGGAATTGTTTATATGCTCACGACATGATCGTAAAGTTTTCAATTAGATTCACTTCCGTTTCGATTGATAATAAGGAAAGAGTGGGCGAGAAAAATTTGATAGAATTGTAAAATTCAAGTTCTATTCTGATATCATTGTGATAATATTAACACACCAAAGCCAAGAACTTTTTTTTGGTAACTTTACCTGGTCACGGAAAGTTCATTATTACAACAGGGGATATGAAAGTATCATGTAAAGTGTAGATATTTAGAATGAATGAAAATTGGAATACAAGAAAACACAATCATGAGAAAATTTGAGAGAAAATAAAAGTTCTAGTTTTCTTTTTTCTTTCATCGAATGAACTGAAATTTTTGATTCGAAGAGTAAGAAGAAGAAAAAAACTCCTTCGATTTCTCGAAATATTAGTGAACTATTTTGGAAAAATAAAGTTTTCCGTTTCTTTTTATTTCTTTATTCAATTATCATGATGATGAACAGAAAAATGTTTTCCCATTGTAGATAAATATCATGAGCAACACGCGAGAATATAAAGGAAAAAAGTTCATGTCTTATTTTCAGCTAATTCTCAGGTAACAATCAACTAGAATATTGAGAATAAGGTTCTGATAATCTCATAATTATATTCGACAAGAGGATAATCAAGATTAGAAAAATATTCTGAACTTGAATATTGAACATTCAGCTTGGAATCCTGATCCAATTGCAAGGTAATAGTTGATAACAATTAGGAAATTGATTATTTTGATTAGATTAAATTTATGGTAACAAAAAAATGATTAATCTATTTGAAAGTGATTGAACTTAATTACAATCACAATTGATAATTAATATAATAGTAAAACCAAAGTTTACTAAATGTTTGTATGTTTATGATGGACACAAAGTTGATTGTAATTAAATCTATTATCATCATTATGATTAATAACAATTAATGACTAGAACCATAAACAGGTTGATCACTTTTTTATTGTTACCAGAAATGAATGAATAACTAACTGATTATCATTATCAACTTACCTGACTTGAAAATATAATGAGAAATCATGAAATTATGATTTATATTTCCTGCCGATTGTGATTAATGTATTATTGATGATTAACATTTTATATTGAACATCTTTGAGTTATAATTAACTAACTAATTTACCAACAAACTTAATGGTTGAACAAAATTGAGATCATTTTATCTTAGCAATTTAATAGATTTACTCATTTCAATGTAACCAACAATTAGATCATTACATTTAATATTGATCAGTTTTAATTGTTGAAAATCAAATTTACCACTGGAAAATATTATTAATAATAACAACTAGTTAATTACAATTAATTACTTTTTCCTGTTGATGATGAAAAAAATTCATATTGTTAACTATTATCTCTAGAATTGTAATCATTATCATAATTGTTTCATTTGATTTGCTAATCAAATTTGAAATGATATTAATTGTTGATGAGGTTAAAGTTTTTTTTTGTCTTCCCTTAATTATGATAACTGAAAACCCATTGATTAGTTAGTTAATCACAATTGTAATAGAAAAAGAGTAAATTAAATCAATTGAATTTTCTGGTTTTACTTTTGTTTATAAGATAATCAAAATGCTCAATAGACTAAAGTTCAATTCAATTAATCTTCTTGCCTGATTTGATTTAGTAGTTTAATTGTTGGAAACTTTATCTTGACTAAAGCTGATTAAAGTTGAATCATTAAGATTAATCTAATTTTAAATTGTGAGTTGATTAACAAGGGGAAGGTAAATAAAATAAATCCAGTTAATCTGAATCATTAATTGTTGAATAATATTGATGGTGGGACATTGATCATGTTACTGATAATTAGTTGATAATATCTTATCAATTGATATCAATTGATAATCTTAATCATGTAATTTGAACTCGTGAAAGTTAATTGATTTACGATAAAGTTTTTTTTTCTTACTCTCACTCTCACTCTCACTCTCACTCTCTCATTCATCATTCTGCTCATTATTATTAAATCTCATTGACATGATTAATTAACAAGTTAATTGAAAAAGATTAACAATGAACCTGGAAAAATGAGCTCGACATTATCAAAATATTATCACATAAATACCAACAGGGAATCATGAATCTTCATGAACATCTCATCATGTAATATATATTAATAAAAAAAGGGTTGATATAATTTTCTGATCTTGAATGATAATCAATAATTAATTATATTATCATGATTCGTTGATTGATTTCATCCTATTAGTGATTATTTACAATTCTCATAGCATCTTAATGACACACCAATTAACTTTTACAGATTATCAATAAGAAAACGGATAATTCAACAAATTAATCTCTGACCCTAAAGTTAATCATTCCTAATTGATTAATTAAACAGTAATTGCAGTGATTTAAACACTATCAAGATGAACAATTAATCATTAACATTTGAAATACTAAAATGATCAACAATCCTTGAATACTGGATAGTATATTAATGATAATTGATTGTGATATTAACCTATTCGGAAAAAAGGTTGGACTCAAATTTAATTTCAATTTATCTCGAAAACGGTTCAATCGATTTTAACGGTTTTTTGTCTACGGAAGGGAAATAGTCTCATCAATGTCTAGACGAAATTTCAAAGGATTAGGTTGATTATTTAGTTGATTAGTTAGTTGATTAGTGAACATGGATCAGAAAAGTTTAAGACAAATTTGTTCGAATTATTTTTTTTCTAATTGTGAATTTAAAAATAAGGAAGAAATAGTCAAAAAATTTCGTGAATTCGGTGCTAAAAAATCAACAGCATACAATTATTATAAAATTATCTTCAGATAAAGAAAATGACCTCAACTCTAATATTGGAAGGCCAAAAATCGTCATAAGCCATCGGAAACTTAAAAAAATAGTGAAAATGACTGAGAACAAAATTTTCCCTGGTTTCAGTGCTATTGGTCGAGCAATCGAGGTATCGGATAAAACCGCAAAGAAAATTCTATCCGATCACAATATTAAAGTTCGTTCTCGACGAACTATACCCAAAGTTAGTGACCAACAAGTCGAACGACAAAACGAAAGGATGCCTCGACTATTGAAACGACTACAGCGCCACCGCATCGTTATGGACGATGAATCTTATTTTGACCTTGATGGACACAATTTTTATGGTGGTAAGTTTTTTTCGTTTTCTAATGACATCAATGATGTACCTGATGCAGTTCGATTTCGAGAAAAGGCCAAATTTGGAAAGAAAATGATGCTTTGGATAGCAATCAGTGAGGATGGACATTCGAAACCTTATTACCATCAAAGTTCAGGAGCTATTAATGCCGATATTTATATAAAAGAATGTATTATTAAGAGATTAGTACCAATGCTAATGTCTAATCCTAATCATCGCTACATTTTTTGGCCTGATTTAGCTTCATCTCACTACGCTAAACGAACTTTAGAAGTTCTAGATGGCGCTGGTGTCGATTATATAAAAAAGTTCGAAAATCCTCCAGCAGTACCAATGTTGCGGCCAATAGAAACTTTTTTTGCACATTTAAAGGCCAAGGTCTATGCTGATGGATGGAAAGCTCAAAATCAAAGTGAACTCATCAAGAGGATAAATAATAAACTAAAAGCATTTGATAAGCAATATTTTAGCCGCTTGATGAAAAACATTGTCCAAAAAGTGACCTATTCTTCTGAACATGGAATCATGTCTCTTATTAAAAACTTTAATGTTTAAGCTATCGATTGATAAATTTTCTTTAATTGTAACTAATTTAACTTTCGAGATATAAGAGACTAAAATTTGAGTCCAACCTTTTTTCCGAATAGGTTAGTGTATCAGGTTTACAATGATGATAATGATAATAATATTTGTATTATTGTTATTACTTAATTTAATTACAATTTTCATTGAGTTTTCATATTTTTTTTTCATTTTCATTGTAATCTCATAATGTAACCATGATACTTCATGACGATATTCATTATCGTTTACAACAAGTTAAAATTGTAATTATAATTGATTGTAAATGATGAACTAAATTGCACAATTCCCAAGTTAATTTACCTTTTTCTCCTTCATTTTTATTATTATCATTTCCTGGTTTTCCATGTAAAAATCACAGGGGATTGAAAAAAAAACTAACTCATATCATATTATTATTAATATAAGTTGTGGTTAGAAATATATTATTATCATTGTTGACACTTGAAGAGTATATTCTTGAAGGAAAGATATTCACAAATGAGAGGTATTCACTTTATTGAGCATTCCAATGATAATTTGGTGATCACATGACACAGAATATTAATATTATCATGGTTATTATCATCGAGTCTATCATTATATTGTTGTTGGATCAAAGTAAAAGATGAAATTTGATTGGAATCGAGTCTCTTTCAAATAGCAAATATAATCAATTGAAATTTGAATTTGAATTCTATCACAATCAACTCAATTACTATTACTCAATCACTATATTTGTACTAATTGTCTTGAATTTGTTTCTTTTTTATCCTAAGGTCCTCCTGATAAAGTCTCTAATTGTATAAGTAATCATTCAATGTCAACATTATTCATTGAATGTTTACCTGGAGATGATAACGGTTTAACTCAGAGTTTCCATGTTGAAGTTTTCTATGGATTCTCTCGTAATCTTGAACGTAATCTGACCAATTCAAAGAAACCGGCCTTCCTATTAACTGACCTTATTCCTGGATCAACTTATACACTTTCCATATACTCTTCCAATGGTAAAGGTCGATCTCATGTTTATCGTTTAGTAGCAACAACTCTTGGAGAACCAGAGAAACAAATGAGCCAAGGTGAATGTTATTCATATGTATTTGTATTTATGACAATTGTTTTCATCACAATCTAATAACTGGAATAGGAAAATTTAATTACCTTATCAATAGTAAAGTGGTAAAGTTAATTGACAGCATGAGAATATGATTTATATGAATATTATTATTATCGTTTTGATGAGTTTGACATTTTCATTGGATGGTGAATGATAGACGTTGATAGTTATAATAATGATTCATCATCATGGCACAAAATTGAACAGTAACAATTTACTAATGGTATTCATTTATTTTACTAACAATTTATGGATAATTAAGTCAATTTGTTCATTGGTGACATTCTGCTTGAATCAACAAGTACATTGTCTTAATTGATTTTATTTTCTAATGGAAAAAAAAAGTTCACCATCGATTCTCAATAGACTAATCATCTTTCAGGGTTAAATTATAATTCGTCAATCTGAAATTAGAGAAAGGATTTGCCTATTAGTGGAAGCATTTCCATTCTAAGGATAATTAATATCGACACTTGAAAATCTAAGTAAATCAACGGAATGAATTTGAAATTTTTCGTATTCAAATTGTAATAATTTAGAGTTGATAAAGTAAAGGGTTTTTATATTTCTACGATTCTCTGAGTAACTTGAAGTTCTGTGAAAAAAAAGGTTAACAAATTGGGAATATAAATCAATGGCAGGTTAATCTGGTTCCTTGTCAAGGTGAAAACAACATGGGAACATGAAGGGAAAAAACAAATCACCGAAAAGTAACCAAAAGTTTTATTCCTTGTTATCATCATGAAAACCTCCATCATCATCATCATCATCATGCTCTTTTGCCCTCTCTCTCAATCTTTTATCTTTGTTTCCAGGATGAAGAATAGCAAAAATAGAGTAGATAAAAAATCAACAACAAACAGAATAACAATGTGAACGGAACAAAAAGAATAGAAAAAAAAAAGATTCAGTTTAAGTAAACAGAAAATTTGTTTTTTTGTTCTTTCGTCTAAGATACATAAGAAGATGATAATAATATGATAAGATGAAATTCTCAGTATTAGTATGATCCTTATCTCGATCATTATCATCATCAAGAATCGTCATGATGGCTCATAGAAGATGGAGAAGTTGAGGAAATACTCAAAGGAAAAGAAATGAAAAAGAAACTAAATTCTGAGAGGACAACTTGTTTACAAGAATTATGTTTGTCGTTCATATTGGCTAAGGAAAAGTTCATGAGAATAGGAGAAAGAAATTCAAAAATATTATATTCTGAGTAGTTGGAACTTTAGTACAATGGTAACAATCTCATTGGATTCGGGGATTGAGTAGGAAAAACAAAAATTCGTTGACCTTGTTTACGATTTAAGTAAACAGAAAGAAGGATTTTTCTGGAGCGAGAAATGTCAAGAATAAGTTCTGAGAGTATGAAAATATTACCTGAACAGGGAATGATTTTTTTCTTCCTTCATGAAATTCACGAGTAAAGTTCAGTCAATATCAATAGAATATGACATTTTCTTTATCTTCTTTCATTTCTTTTAATATTTTCTTTGTTTTCTTTGTTACTCTCTTATTCCTCATCAAGTTTGAAATAAAAAAAAAGAGATAAACTTGTAAATAATATTCTTAATATTTTTCTTCTTCTATTTCATATCTTTTCCATGATTCCTAATGATGACAGAGAGTATGGACCAAGTTACATTCAGTCCAATTTTCGTTATATTAATAGGATTTGTGGCCATATTGGTCATCATATCGATTATAATAATACTATTCTTACGAAAACGATCAGATCGATCTGATTCAATTAACGGACAAGGTAAGGAAGATAAAATTGATTATTCTATTATAACATCATGATGATAATAATGATAGATTGGTAATAATTTAACCAGAATATTGTATTCGTATTGATGATTGTTCATTTTTTTTGTTTTCTTATTGTTGACAGTTGAAACTCATGTGATATCGGATCATTCCAAGTAAGTTATTCCGTTATTATCATTCATTCATATCAATCAAAGGATAATATCATTTAATCGCATTCCATACTGAGATATATACACCAAATACTCAGTTGGAATCTGTTGAAAGTTTTTCACTTCTTTTTCTTGGTGAGAAGAAAAATTTATCGAATAAAACAGAAAAAAAGTTGAGATCCTTTCGAACTATTTATTATTATTATTATTAATATTAGAATAGATTAGTTATGATTAGGCTTTGACCGATTTCCGATTTCGATTTCGAATTTCGAGTTTGAACATTTATCGTCATTTCGATGATTGAATGCTATTAATCTTTGTTTTTATATTGAACAAAATGTTACAGAATTGATCAAATTAGTAAATTGTAGTTGTTTCTATCAATACTAATTGATATTTTCTCATTCTCAGTACGCTCAATAGTATTGTAACTCAGCCATTAAATGGACCAAAAACTCGTAAATTAAAGGATGTTCAAAGTGCCTACGACATTGAATGTGAGTAACATTTGATTTGTTGATCAGATTAAGATAAATTATTGCGAATAATTAATTGATTGTATTACTAATTTCTTATCATTTCAGTTGATAAATTGATGCTTTAAGGTCAACGATTGGAATTGAAAGATTGGATGTCTTATTTTAATTAACATTAACAGCGAAACAAGAGCATAATGAACAAACTGATTATGTTAGTGGACATCATTGGACTGACCACTAATTGATTAACTCTCATTTACAATAACATCAAATGGATTGAGAATCACTTATATGTACTCAAAGCCTGATTGACATTTGATTTCTTCTGGGTAAATGCTTGGATCACATGGAAATACTGCCAAATAATAAAGAGAACCGATGAAGATTAAGATTAATTTGCAAAGTCGTGGAAATTGTCATAGGCAATCAAAAAGATCGATTGAACTTCGTAAGGACTTCGATGAAACGGGAAAATTGTCTTCCAAAAAAAAACGATCAGAGGCTAAGGAAAAATCCATCGATACGAACCAACTATTGATTATTCTGACAACGAACTAAAACTAATTTGCCATTGAACATAATCATCTTCTCGATTTCATTGAATTCATAACGATGGTGGTTCGTTAGCTATACTCGTTCAAGCAATTGAATCAGATTCCAATCGCAACTATTACAAAAAAAAGAACTTTTTTTCCAATTTCTTTAATATTTGTAACGTCCGTTAATCCATAAGTCACTGTCAATATTTCTAGTGATTTGGATTAACAATTTTGTGCCGAAATTATAAAAGCAAAAATTATATTCTAAGAGAAAAAAACTTATATACAAAATTGGATAATAAATTTGTTTTTAAAGAAAAATATATTCATTAATATTTAACTTGAATATGAGAAAAAAGTTAATTTAATGGACTAGATGAGATTCGTTGCTAAGATGAGCGTTAATGGTTGGAGGTGGAGCCAATAGTTATTCAACAAACTTATCGTTGGTGTCCATTAGCTCAGAATGTCAAAATTAAGCTGAATTTTGGAATGATTGTGCCCTGTTCAATTGCCCCAGGCCCTCTGGGCCTTTCTCTGTCGATTTCGACCCATTTAATGAAGACCTAACCTAATTTAAACAAACACAGGGATAAGTGTGTTGGGTAGCTATTAACTCCACCTCCAACCATTAACGTTCATCTTACCGATTCGTTGAGTCCACATTAATATGGACCAGAATTTGTCACATAATGAGGTCAATTGTTTTTCTATTAATGAATGAATGAACAAAATTGACCAGAGAACGAAAAGTTTCAAGACTGAAGGTGCTCATCAGTATTTGTAAGAAAATGACCAATTCATGTCTTCTAGTTTAAAGAATTAAAATCATTGGTGAGATTAATTAACTGAATTCGACGATTACGAGATTCGCTTGATAAAAAATTCGAAAATTCGTACATTTTCAAATTTCGCGCTTTTTCCACGAATTAGCATTCAATACAGTCACACCTCTAATTTCATTTGACCCAACAATTTATTGTGACTTGAAATCTATTAATTTCAATTATGAAGGTGAAAATCAATTTTTATTTACTTATTGGAATCTTTTTACAACAACGAATTGATCTTAACCTCTTCATTATATCTTGTTGAGTAACTTTTCTCTGTAATAATAATCTTTGATCTCTCAAAATGATGCAATTTACTAATTCCATAATTTAAGCCAAATTAGCTCATTTTCATTGACAAAACACAATTATTGAATCTCACAAACTGAAATATGATGAATTGAAGTGTGACATATTATGACTATATTCTACTTAATCGAAAAATTAAATTGTGAAATTAAAGAATTTGTGACATAATAGAGGGGGCGATTAGAGAGGTGTGACTGTATTTTCCTCCAACATCTAATTTTTTTTGCTCTTCAATCAACCGCAATTAACAAATCAAAATTTTAATCCAGGAATCTTATAGTTAAGAATTTGATTACGACAAAAAATAACACTAAATGATCTGTACACAAAATGAAACATTTAATCGTTAATTTCTCACAATTGAATAAATGGAAAAACTTGACTTGCAAATGTTAATGACTTTAAAAGTGTTTATCATTGATAAGATAAACAATTAATTCACAACAATCTATACACAAATGATTAGTTTATCTAATCAAAAAAGTAAAAATAAACATTTCAACAAAATGTCAAACATCACAAAAGCTAATTGACTTTATTTTTATCCACCAAAAGAAACTCAAAAACGATCACAATCTCAAACAATTGATTTCGATAATTGTCAAGAGAAAAAAATCCAATTCTCTTCTAATTAACCTGCAAATAAGGAAAAAAAAGTTTACACTTGGATTTTGGTGCAACTCGAAAAAGAAAGCGATTCAAATTTCGCGCAATTCGTTGCTTATCCATATGAGCTGAGAACTTATTTACTAGTAGCTCGTTGCTAGGCAACGGTTCCATTATAGGGAATAGGCAATTTCTATTTACTTTCTCTGTGGAAAAAAATTCATTCAGGTTCATCCATTTGTCTCTGTGCATCTTTTTTTTTATCAATTTAAAAGTTACACCTTTTCACTTTTTTGTTTTGTTTCTTATTTTAATTTGTTTGTTTGTTTTCTCACTTTAGGTTTTACAGCTTATGAAGATTTTGTTTGTATCATCTTTCTCCTTTTCTCTCTTTCTCTCTATCGGTGTGTCTGTTTCTGTCTTTCTCTCTGTGTTTGTCTCTCTCTCTACTCTCTCTCTCTCTCTATATCTGTAATTGTGTCTGTTTTCTAGTTTTTATTTTTTATTAATCAATTGAATATATTTAAAGTTTAAAATAGGAAGAGAATAATGTATAATCAACTTGGTTCAGGCTCTGGTCCACATCAAGGGCATCATGGTAATCAACCTGGTCCACCACCAACATTAACTGCTCCTGGTCCAACTGCACCTTATATGGATATATTTGGTTACAATAATTTTGGACCTTTTTTTCCCAGTGCAACTCAACCTGCCAATCTTACTGGTAATGATCATTTTTGGTCTAAACAAGCTATCGGACAACCTTTACGAGCTTATCGATCAGCTCATGATGATGCCTATTATTCTAGGGGTGATACCTGTGGTGCTTCTTTTAATGCTGGTGTTCTTAATCACGTCGAAACTGGTATGGGTGCATTAACCCTTGATTATATAAAGACTGATTTAACTGGTCAAACAGTTGGCTCACAATCTTTTCAATCAAATAAACCTGCAATGCCTTCAGCGGGTATACCACAAGTGACTGTACAAAAAGCTTTACCTGGTACAGAAAATTCATTTGATGTTTTTAAACGAATGGATTCAATTAACTTAACTTCTAATAGTAATGTTGGTTTAGGTGTTGTTGGTCAGTCTATTAAAAAACCTTCTTGGGCTTCTGTTGCCTCTCAACCTGCTAAAGGTGGTCATGGTGGACATGTAAATGCAACTAATCACCACTATCATGGTCATCATGTTCAACAAAGCCAACATCATCATGGTCATCATAGTCAACAGCGTCATCATGGTCACCATGGTACATCTAATGTAGGTCTTCAAGGGTCAACTGGTAGTGTTATTGGAAGTTCATCTAACAGTAGTTCAATTGTTGTTGGTCTTCATGGATCAACACATCATAGTGGTGTTGGTTCAAACAATAGTAGTTCAATTGTTGGCCATCATCATGGATCAAGTCATAGTGGTGTTGGTTCAAATAACAATAATTCAATTATCGGACATCAAGGATCAACTCATCATAGTGGTGTTGGTGGTTCAAGTAACTGTAGTTCAATTGTTGGTCATCATGGATCATCACATCATAATGTTTTAGGTGGTTCTAGCAACATTAATTCAATTGTTGGTGGGCAACATCAACATCAACATCAACATCAACAACAACAGCAGCAACAACAACAACAACAGCATCAACATCAACATCAACATCAACAACAGCAGCAACAAGGATCAACTCATAGTGGTTTAGGTGATTCAATCAACAATAGTTCAATTGTTCCAATAGAAAATAGTGGGCCAACATACCCATCACATCCTATTCTTGATAAATTACGAGTTGAAAATAATTACAATCCTAAAGATTTCAATTTATCAACTAAAGATGCCCGATTTTTCATCATTAAATCTTACAGTGAAGATGATATCCACCGGTCTATTAAATATAGTATTTGGTGTTCAACTGAACATGGTAACAAAAGACTTGATCTTGCATTTAAATCTCAAGAAAATAAAGGTCCAATCTATTTATATTACTCTGTTAATGGAAGTGGACATTTTTGTGGTATGGCTCAAATGTTATCAATGGTTGATTACAATTCAAGCAGTAGTGTGTGGGCACAGGATAAATGGAAAGGACAATTCAAAGTTAAATGGATTTATGTCAAAGATGTTCCTAACGCTCAATTAAGGCACATTAGGCTAGAAAATAATGAGAATAAGCCTGTGACCAATTCTAGAGACACTCAAGAAGTACCTTTCGCCCAAGGTAAAGCTGTACTCAAGATCATGCATAATTATCGTCATACAACATCAATTTTTGATGATTTTCTTCATTATGAGAAACGCCAAGAAGAAGAGTATCAAAGGCGAGTTGCTGGTGATCCATTGCCAAATTCTAATAACAATAACAATAATAATGGTTCCGGTAGTAGTGGTTCTAACAGTAAACTAATTCAACCAAAGAAAATAATTAATTCTAATGTGTTTTAAAAACTATAAAAAAAAGAGAAGAAAAAAATCAATCAATTTCAACCTGGAAAAGAAAAAATCTTCATCTCTCTCTCTCTCACTCTCACTCTCTCTCTATCCTTTTCTCTCTAATCTTTCTATCTCTCTCTCTCTCGGACCGAAGCTCTTACACATTAACAAAAGTTGTATTTTTGTTTATCAACTCCCGAAATGTGTTGTAATATTTCATCAACCATCTCAATCAATGAAAATCAATCTTCTTTTCTTCTTCTTTTTGATACCCAAAGTTGTTCTTAAGCGCAGATCAAGAGAGTCAATTTTGATGAATTCATCTATTCATCTATTCATCAATCACCATTTGAATTTACCAATGATCAACAAAAAGAAGGAGACAAACATCAACTTTTAATTGTTCTGCTCCAAAGGAAACGAAAAAAAAAACAATTTCGACAATTCGACACGCGAAACTGTTTCCACCGCAAAAAGGACCTGTTGAGATTTTAATTAATCATCTTATGATAATTTTCTTGTTATATTACAATTGGACTTTTTTAAAGAGAAAGAGAGATTAATTTTATCCTTTTACCTGTTTATTTTCTCTCTCTCTCTCTCTCCCATAATTCATTTACCTTCATCTTGACTCAATATTTTCACTGGCATTTACCAGATTACTTGATGATAAATTGGAACACAATTTATTTAGATTGTAATGATTATGGAATAGCCAAAAGGCATTCAATATACATAAAAAAAGAAATGCATTCAACATTCACTCTTTTCAATTGAAAATCATGAATCTAATAATTTTCTGTTTTCTTTTATTACAATTTCTCATGAATATTATTTGTTCATAAGAAATAATTTTCTGTTCTCTTTGTTTTTCCATGTCAACGATTGAATAATTTGCTTTCCCTTAAAATCAATTGGTTAGAAAGTTATAATGGAAAAACTTTTTCGAGAACAAAAAACTGTTGATCATTTTTTAGAATTGTCATGAAAATAATTATCGTTCATTTTGGATGATTTTTGTGGTGATTTCATTGGATTGATCTTCTAGCGATCGCCTTTCGACTCGCCTGGAAAAATTGAGTTGGATGATAGATTATCTCCTTTAGATCAGAATTGGGATTCTTTAGGTGGAAAAAGGTTGTACAGGCTGACCGGTATTCGCGTTCACCTGATTTACTAATTATCGAGGTGATTCCGTTTTCAGGTAGCTTTTGTTGAGACAGAAAGCCGATCAATTTGTCGGAAGAAAACTGCTTGAAAGGGCAACCATGACAATCTTGTGGTCCGGTGCTGATGGAGTCGATTATTTTCTTACAACTGTAGCAACTTAGGCTACGCTTTTTTCCAACTGTACCATAAATATAACGGAAAAAGTAACCATACTTAGAATCGAATCGAGCATCAGTCATCCGATGGCTAAATTGTTGTCGAAATAATTCCATAGTCTCTTGTAATCGAAAGCCCAAACTTTTAAGGAAAAGTGCATATTGAAGACGAGCGAAGTGTTTCAAATGATGATTTTGCATTAAACTATTGTGAACATGACTCATACAGGGTGGAAATGATTGTTCTTTCAGGACATTAACAAGTTCTAAAGGTGTCATTCTACCTTCACCAGTGGGTAAATATCTTCGTACCGAATTTATTGATCCAATAATACGATCATGATAATCCGATATCGTTGGCATCATTTCGGTTCCAATCATTTGCTCACCTCGAGTTTCTCTTAGTATTTTCATGCATCGGTACATCTCGGCTTTCCAACGTTGACAGATAATCGGTATCATCCTATTCCCAGGAATTAAGATATAACCACCACAAGGGGCAGCCCGTCGATTAGAAATATACTCAAGGGCATCTTCAAATTTCACTTTAAACATCATCTTAGGTCTTCGAGTATATTTCATAAACTTGATTCCATATTCATCTTCTTCAATGTCATCAGCCGTTTGCTCAAGATAATAGACCAAACTATTATAACAAAGAATCTCATCTTTTGTCCTGTTCGCTGAATTAAATCTGGAACGATAATATTCAACGTCTCCTTTCAATTCAAACTCTTGATATTCGACAAGATTATGAAGACGAACAAAGTTGGTAATCTGATGTCTAACACCTTCTTCCATTAAACGGAATCTCAGTAATTCACATTCAACATCAATAAACCATCGAGTTGATTGATCATCTTTACAATAAAATAATCGAAGTAAAAAATGTGAGACCTCATCTCGTTGATAGGCTTCCTCTTTACTTCCGACCAGGAACCGAAATTAGTTGTTAAAATTTTAAAGAAATTGTCACCATCACAACCACCAGCGTCAAAGATATTATGTTTTAACAGTGTATAGTAATTTGGATTACCCTTAATTGTTGAATAATCTTCCTTATTGGAAACCAATACTTTAAGAATATGAAGTCTCTCATTAACCAATTCAATCACTTTGTCAAATTTTACTATTCCCTTAGGAGGTTCACTATAGAAAGAGACACCAAAATGTTTCTTATCCATTCTATTAACTTAACAATAAACTTGTCAATGAGACGAAACATAATTAAACAATTCAATTTAAATAAGGGTAAAGGTGAAACAGTTAAATAAGAAATCAAATCAAATTCAATAAAATGAATCATAATTTTCAGTTTGAATTTGAAAGAAAAACAAAAATGAACCAATCAGAATCGCTCATTTTACTCTGCCATCTATCGGATATAAATTGTTCTTTGGAATTTAATTTTAATTGAACAATTTAATTTTCTCGTTAATTTTTGGTTAATTAACAAAAGTTTTCTTTTTCTTTTTTTTTCTTTTTCTTTCAAAGATGGACAAACAATTCCAAGAGATGATAATTGTTACAATTTATAGATATGATTAGTTGATTGTATTAGAAAAAAAAGTTAACTTTTGGTGATAATAGAAACTTATTCTTATCGATTAAGATAATCAATCATAATTTATCTTAATCACTTGAAAAAGTTAATTATCGATTGATTTTCATCCTGGATACAAGATAATCTAATTCAGTAAATCGTCTAACAAAAGAGAAATTGATTCAATTGATTTCTCTCAAAATTCATTTGTAAATATACAATATGAATGTATAAATTTCTGTTTAATTGTAAACAATTTGATTCCAATATTATTTTTATAAAAATATTGATATTTAAGGCACCACAATCAATTAAACCAGGAAATAAAAAGCTCGACAAAATTGATAGAATTTAAATTTTGAATGGAAAATAAATTGATGGAATTAATTTCCTTGAATCAGAATTGCTGAAGCTCCACCACCACCATTACAAATTGATGCGATTCCAAATTCACCGGATTTTAAATTGTGAGCAAGATGATGGACAATTCGAGCTCCTGACATTCCAATAGGATGACCTAAACTAACGGCTCCACCGTGCATATTGACCTTATTAGGATCAAGGCCAAGTAATTTAATATTAGCCAACGGGACAACACTAAAAGCTTCATTAATTTCCCACATGGAAACATTATGAGCTTTTAAACCATTTCGGTCTAATAATTTTCTCATGGCCTCAACTGGAGCGATTGGAAAATCGATTGGTTCAATTTCATTGTCAGCATAATCGACAATCTTAGCCAAAGGTTTCAATCCTAATTCTGTGGCGGTGTTTGACCTCATCAATAGACAAGCAGCGGCTCCATCGTTTAATTTACTCGCATTGGCAGCGGTAATGGTTCCGTCTTTTTGGAAGACACTTTTTAGACTTGCCAATTTACCGAAATCAACCTTGTGATACTCTTCATCGTCACTAATTGTCTTGGTTCCAGTTTTTCGATCGGGAATGGCAACGGAAATCCTTTCCTTGTCGAATAGTCCAGATTTAGCTGCGGCAGCGGCTCTCTCGTAACTTGCGATCGCGTATTTATCTTGATCTTCTCGGGTGATTCCAAGTTTCTTTGCAGTGTTTTCACCGCAATTTCCCATGTGAATCTGATGGAAAGAGTCCCAAAGTCCGTCATGAATGATTCCATCAATTAACTGTGCATGATTGTAATTGGCATCACCTCGTCGCAAATAGAAAGGTACATTTGACATGCTCTCCATACCACCGGCAATCATGATATTGGTATGATAAAGTGCCAAAGATGAAGCGGAAAACATGATTGATTTCATACCAGAGGCACAAACTTTATTAATTGTTGTGGTAATTGTCTTGGGTGGTAGACCAGCATTGATCACGGCCTGACGGGTTGGTGCCTGTCCAGCACCAGCACCGACAACATTACCCAATATAACCTCATCTACTTGTCCAGGTTTAATCTTGGTCTCATCTATGATGGCCTTAATTGCCTGAGAAGCTAATTGTGGACCAGATAATTGAGACAATGAACCACGAAACGATCCAATTGGAGTCCTTAAAGCTGAAACAATTACAATCTCAGGTTTAGATGGATTTGATTTTGTACTTAATTGTCGACCAATTGATCCAATGGATGAGGGTGAAAACGCTTTAAACACTCTGATTAGCATGTTGTAAACAATTAAGAATATTTATCAAATTGTAGAAAAAAACAAAAATTAAAAAGAGAAAATCAATTAACTTAAATGTAAACAATTCACAAGGTTACAGACAAAGTGCTAGACGTTGAAAGAGAAACAGATGACCAAAAGAAAGAGAAAAAGAAAGAGAAACAAAAAAGAATATGAGAAAATCCTTAGAAACGAATAGTTTATTTTTCCATTTGCTTTTAATTTCCACTAATTAACTAATCTTAATAATCTTTACCGTTTTGATTAACAATCTAATCAGAAGAGTTTTTACTTTATCTATCAAAGTGTTTTCTTCAATCAATTAACATTCTAATTGTTACAATTACTTAATCATCTTAATTAATTTCACTCATTTTCAAGGTAATTTTTTTTCACAAATTACATTCACTTCTCAATTTGATCAACAATTTATTAAATTGTGTTCCTTTTAATTGTGTCGTTGTGTTTATGTTGATCCTTGTTGTAGGAAGGAAATTATTTTGATTCAATTATAAATCAAAATCTATAAATTAATTAGATCAACAACCTTTTCATTGGTAATCCGTTTGTGTGTTGTTATTAATGTACATTTTTCTGGTTAAAACAGATCATTGTCAGGTCACCTCTCCAATTCACATTAATTGTTTGACTAATAATTTTAATTCAATCAATTGTTTTACATTTAATTGTTACAACCTGATTTCTCATCAGTTTGAAAAGTTTACCAAAACAACAAAATCTATTATAGAAACGTCCTATTAATCAGCTGTAAGTTCAATCATAACAACAACTTAACTGACACTCAGCTTACAATTTGCTCTTGTTTAATTGTTAATTATCTGCGTATTAAATTTCAATTAATATTTATTTTCAGGTATTCCTTTGAACAATCAAACAATCTGATCAATGGTAATTCAATCAGGTAAGTTGGTAACTTGTTTTGCTAGAATTTAACCTTCATTAGAATCATTTGTCATTCCATTTTCCTGGTTTCGGTTTTCTTTTCTTGGCAAAAAAAAAATAAGAATAAATTTCTATATGTATAATTGTTATTAATTAATTCTTTTCTCTTTTCACAGATTAAATCATCTTCTCTACTATGTGAACTTTGTGCTATCATCATCATCATCAACCTGTGAACCTTTTAAATGTATTCAAATCTATTTGGTTAATTTTATCGAGTATTCAAATTCAGTGTTCATAAATATTAGATAATAATGAAAGGGAAAACATTGGATGACGAACCCGCTACATATCAATGGCCTTTTTTGACCATTTTTTCACCGACCAAAGTGATTATCTTCTTATGGAGTACATTTAATCGTTTAACATTCATTTTTATCGCTTTCCTATTAATATGTTGGTCTTCAATGTTCATCTATTTAACCTTTTACTTTCTCTATATACCAACAATAAGTTACACTCGAAATATTAATTTCCAATTTGATTCTCGGTGTCAAGATGAGTGTTTAAATCCTTATGCTGAAGTTGCCCTGCAAGACTTTAAAACACCATCGATATTTGCTCGTGGTCAATCATATCAGTTCACAATTGATATGGATCTTCCCGAATCGGAGGTTAATTGGAATCAAGGGATGTTCATGGTTAGATTGAGATTATTGGATGAAAAAGACAGAGAATTACATAACAATGCTTCACCATCCATCTTATATTATAAATCACCAATTTTAAGGATCATAAATATCATATGTTATTGGCCTTGGCTTGTTACTGGATTAGCCGGAGAATCTCAACATCTTTCAGTTCCATTGAAAAAAGATTATATTGATTCAAATCAACCTGGACATGGATCTGCGATAAAAGCATTTATTTCAATTGAAGGTAAGGTTGATAATTTTGTTGGAAATTCATTCATCTAATTTTTTTTTCATTCACTTTAATTTTCCATTAGCTCGAAAGATCCAAATTTACTCAGCAATGTTAACTGTAACTGCCAACCTTAAGGGTCTCAGGTATGATTACATTTCTGTCAATGGTTTTTTTTTAATTTATGGTCATTAAAATGATTTGTTTTCTCTCTTTGATTCTATTAGATATATGATGGTCAATTGGCCTTTGACCAGTGCCTTTTTTGGAACTCTTTCCATTGGCTCTTTCTTGTCCATTATCACTCTACTTAGTGTTTATCGAGCTTTAAGTAACCAGAACAATGAGATTATTGCTGAAGATAATCGACCAGAACCGCTCACAATTGTCGATTCTAAGAAAGGAGTTAACATTGATTCTAATTCTGGATTAAGTGGAGATCTTGATTCTGGATTTTATTCAAAAATCAGCGATGATTCTGGTCCTGATTCAACCAATCCAATCTAGTCCATTGTACACATGAACTTTTTTTTCTCATATTCAAGTTAAATACTTACAAAAACTTTTTTATTAAATACAAACTCAAATAGTAATAAATATATTTTTCTTTTAAAACAAATTTATTATCCAATTTGTATATAAGTTTTTTTTTCTCTTAGAATATAATTTTTGCTTTTATAATTTCGGCACAAAATTGTTAATCCAAATCGCTGGAAATATTAACAGTGACTATGGATTAATGGTCGTTACAAATATTAAAGAAATTGGAAGAAAATTTCTCTTTTTCTGTAATAGTTGCGATTGGAATCTGACTAAACTGCTTGAACGAGCATAGCGGATGAACCACCACCGCCATTACAAATTGCAGCGATTCCAAATTCACCAGATTTAAGAGTATGAGCTAAATGAGCAACGATTCGGGTTCCAGAAGCAGCAACAGGGTGACCCAGGGCAACAGCACCACCGTGAATGTTGACTTTACTTGAATCCAATTCAAGAATCTTAATATGAGCCAAGGGAACACAACTAAAAGCTTCATTAATTTCCCACATTTTGACATCATCTTTACTGATTCCATTACGAGAGAGTAATTTTTTAATAGCACCAACAGGAGCGACAGGGAAATCAATTGGATCCAATTCATTGTCAGCATAATCTACGATTCTTATCAATGGTTTCAATCCATGTTCCTTAGCAGTTTCTGATCGCATCAGAATACAACCAGCGGCTCCATCGTTTAATTTAGAAGAATTGGCAGCGGTAATGGTTCCGTCTTTTTGGAAGACACTTTTAAGACTTGCCAATTTACCGAAATCAACCTTGTGATACTCTTCATCGTCACTAATTGTCTTGGTTCCAGTTTTTCGATCGGGAACGGTAACAGAAATCCTTTCCTTGTCGAATAGTCCAGATTTAGCTGCGGCAGCACTTTTCTCATAACTTGAGATTGCAAATTTATCTTGATCTTCTCGGGTGATACCGTACTTTTTAGCAGTATTTTCACCACAATTTCCCATGTGAATATTGTGAAAAGCGTCCATAAGTCCATCAGATAGAAGAGCATCATGCAATGTAGTGTGTCCATAGTTGGTGTCACCTCTTTTCAAAACGTAAGGGACATTTGACATACTCTCCATTCCACCGGCAATCATGATATTTGCTTGTTTAAGTGACAATAAACCGGATGCAAGCATAAGTGACTTCATACCTGAAGCACATAATTTATTAACTGTTGATGTAACTGTGCTTGATGGAAGGCCCGAGTTTATTACTGCTTGGCGAGTTGGATGTTGTCCACCACCATGAGTCAAAATGTGTCCCATAATCACTTCATCAATTTGCTCAGGTTTAAGGCCTGATTGACTGATTAAAGCTTTAAACACCTGAGTGGCCATTTGAGCAGCACTTAATTGTGACAATGATCCTCTAAATGAGCCAATTGGTGTCCGAAGGGCAGAAACAACAACAACATCGGAACCAGAAGCATTACTTAATTGTCTAATTGATCTTACAGCAGAAGATTTTACTAATTGAAGAATAGCCATTATTGTGGTACAAAAATTGATCTAAACACAGAAAAGAAAACAATCAAAATTAATTAAAAGGAAAACACAAAAGAAAAAAAGATTTTACCAAATCAACAATGGAAACAAACAAATACTTTAGATAGCAACAAGTAAAGATTTTGAACTTAAACCAGAATATAATTCAGCACTCAGGTTATACTTTTTATCAGTAAAGATTAACTTTTTCTTTTAACAATCAACAAACGACTCTGATTATCTCATGATAACAATTCCAATTTGCTTAATCAGATTTGATCACTTGGTTTCTAACAAAGAGTAACAACTTGTTCAGTCTTTGTTTCTAAGGATCAAACAAAAGAAAAAGAAAACCTATTTCACTCTAATCGAATTTCCCAAAATTCTCATCTTTCTAAACCCCCAAAACAATTAAAATCCAAATTAAATACTCACTTTTACAATTAAAACTAAATTAAAAAAATTCCAAATTCCAAATTAAATTAAATTTGTTTTTCTCTCAAAAGTATCGATAGTTTTTCCAAATATATCGATTACTGTCGATTATCGATATTCGATATTCGATTCTAAAGTAAACAGAAAGAAAGAGAGAGAAAGAGAAATGAAGAGAAAAAAAATTTTTGGTTTTGTTTTGTTTTCTCAGTTAATTTGATTGATAATCTTTTTCTTTTTTTTTATAAATATATAAATTGTATTTCTTTTTCCTGTGTAATTGTTAAATAGTGTTGATAATCAAGTTTACCTGGTTATTAGAAATTAAATTATTCTTCTTATTATTATTGTATTGATATTATTTTGGACAAGATGACCAACTCAATGAACACTGGACAAGATTGGAGGTTTTTCTCATTAAAATATGTTGGTTGTTTGGAGATTAATACACCCATGAAAAGTTTAGATTTTTAGATCAACAAGTCCTTGATTAACATTTTTCGCAAATCACAATCAATCTTGATAGATTCAAGCGTGACACCTACAAGTTTCATCCACAATTAACAGTCAACAATCAACTGATCATATTCGCAATCATAATCTAATCGAAAATTAAGTTTTACCTTCGTTTTCTTCATCTTTCTATCTCTCTCCTTAATCTTGTCCCTCTATCGACTTTTCATCTCATCGAAAAACGGATAACGTTCAATCTGACGATTTATCCTCATAATCTCATATAATATAATCACAACAATTAATCATCAATAATTAACCTTAACTTTGACCTAAATTCATTGATCGAATCCGCAGAAGACAAAAAAAAGTTATCACTTCTATTTAGAAATCATAATTAACCAGTTTGATTGTTGTGAATACTTTTTTCTGTTGTTTCTGTTGTTTAACTGCTTACAATTAATTTTGATTAGAGTTGAAGAAAAATTTCTCTTTAATTTATATTAATTCACAGTTAAATCATCATCATCATCATCATAAATCATCATCAAAGTTGATCAACGAAAATTATCAACAATCAAAATCGCCGAGAACCTTTTTTTTTGTGATTCACCGTAAACTTAAGGCAGAGCGACGATACCCAAAAGTCCAAACGGTTCACCCTTTACCAGGTCATCACAAGTGACCCCGTGTGACGTAACGGGAAAGTGTGAACCCATAGGAAATCGTTACCGTGATTGTTGTAACGGTTTAAATAATCAATCAGCTGATCCTGATAATCAACCATCTAAACAGGTAACCAACATTCAGCATCACGGATTATCATCAGGATCATCAACAATCAAACCGATTGATTTGAGTGGTAAAAAGTTATCACCACCGTCAACAAATAACATCATGTGTCCACCTCAAGTGACCACCGTTGATGAAAACAATCATGTGGCCGTTGTCTGGCGAAACCTTACCGTTTATAAACCAATGGATCTACTTGACGGTTTCCTGGTTAAATCCATGTCCCATAAATGTCGTAAGGCCATTTTACGAAACATTTCAGGTGTCTTTCGATTCCATGATCTTTCCGCTATCACGGGACCATTCGAGCACGGGTGCTGGTAAAACAACATTGTTACAATGCTTATTTGGTACATGGTCAGGTTGTTATAAGGGTAAAATCTATCGTAATCCATTAGCAAATAAGGCCTCATTTATAACCCAAAAAGAGGAAGATCACTTGTTCCCTTGTTTATCGGTTATTGAGTCCATTTTTTATGCTTCCCGTTTAAAGGGTGCTCAAAATGAGTCCAAGGTTGTTGAAAAGCTTATTGATCAACTTGACCTTCGTAATTGTCGCCATACTTTGGTACACTCATGTTCGGGTGGTCAACGTAAACGTTTGGTTATCGCTCAAGAATTGGCCTCAGAGGTTAAACCTAAAATTTTATTCATCGATGAGCCAACATCAGGTTTAGATTCAAACGTTTCTTTTACCGTATTAACTCAATTGCAAAAACTTATGGCCCATGGAATGGCCATAATTGCGACAATTCATCAACCCTCATACAAGATTCTTAAACTGTTTGATCAACTTTAAGTTCTTTCACGAGCAGGTAAATGTCTTTACCAAGGTAGACCGGAAGTACTTCGCTCATATTTATCTCAATTCCAGGTTAATTGTCCAAATGGACATAATCCAGTGGATGTTATCATTGATGCCGCTTTGATAAATACAGTTTGCCTTTTGGACGAAGAAGAACCAACCGATTGCTTTAGTCGAAGCCATCGATCATCTCGATCATCATCTAAATCCTCATCAGCAGTCGCCAAGTCACAAGTCAATAAAACGACAACCAATTTATCATCAAACTCCCTGTCACCTTTACCCCTTTCACCCTCACATTTTACAACAACAACAAATAATTGTCTCAATAACTGTAATCACACCAACAATCATAATAATTGTCTTCATCTTTCACCACCACCAACATCCTTCTCATCTCATCCAATTTCATACTCATCCTCATCACCACCAAATGGACCTGCAAGTCAACAACAACAACGTAAAAATCACCAACAACAACAACAACAACCCAAAGAGTCAACGACAATTTCAATAGTAACACCATTAGATGAGAAAGAATTATTAAAAGTTCGATTATTAGAAGAATCTTCTGCCAAGTTGATTGAATTCGAAATGGATTCAATTGATACCAGTTCAATGTCTGAAGTTGAAGAAATGAGAGAAAATCGGAATCACCTTAGCCTTCGCCATATGATGTATCTACTTCGACGTTCATTTCTCCATGGTACTTGTCGTGAACCTTTATGGTTATTTATTCGTGTTGGTTTACATGTATTCGTTGCCCTTTTACTTTCAATGCTTTACGATGGTAATATTGGTGTAGATGATGGTTGCCTAAGGGTAAATTCAGCTGGATACTATTATCGTCCCAATAGTACGGAGCAAGTTCCACTTTCCCGTCTTCGTGAGGAATCAAATATCGATAGGAACATATCTTACCTATTTTTCAATCTACTTTTCCTCATGTTTGCCGTTCTCATGCCAACGGTGTTAACCTTTCCCTCTGAGATAAAAATCTTTATGAATGAACATCGTAACGGATGGTATTCAACCGCCTCCTATTATATGGCCAGAACATTAACAGAATTCTGGATTCAGTTAATCCTTCCCTACCTCTATTCCCTATTCACTTATTATACAACCCAACAGATTGGCCTGAATTCATGGGTAGACGCGATTCCCTTTGTCACCAAGTCATCAAGATTTAATAACTTTGTCTCAATATCAATTCTTGCCTCTTATATAGCCCAAGGGGTTGGCTTCTTTATCGGAGCCATTTTCACCACCAATTTTAACATCTCCATATTCGTGGCCACCGTTATAATGTTATTCAATTTTCTTTTCTTTGGTTTCTTTGTACGATCCAATTCAATGGGTCGAGCACAATTTATAACTTACCTTTCCTTTATACGATTCGCTTTTGAGGCCATTTTATTAACCATTTATGGACAGAAAAGATGCCACTCCGATGAGAACGGTGTCCGTCTAAGTGATTCTGGTTCGTCTTTTTCATCAAACGATCAAAGTGATTCTGAGTATAATAATGTGATCTCCGTAGTGATGTTCAAATTTGAGCTCAATGATAAAGATTATTCAACCCATTTTACCGCTCTAACCTTTCACCTTATCCTTTGGAGGTTGGTGACATTTTTCATCCTTTACTGTAAAGTTAATCCGGAGATTAATTTCCGTTTCCCTAATTTATCCTGTTTATCACCAAGGAAAATTTTCTCAGCCAAATGCTGTCTCTATTTTTCAACCCTTGTAATAATTATATCTTTAGCTTTTATCATTTTTTCCGTCTATTATTTAATCACTGAGTGATTAATACAACCTAAATTTAAATCGTAATCTCGTAAACAAAATCAACACCATAATCTATAAACACACACACACACACAATACAATTAATTACACCTGGATGATGATGATGATGACCACCACCACGATTACCACCACCTTCATCAATCTCTGTCCCCTTCCTCCTCCCAATTGAACATCTAATTTTTTTTTCATTCACTTTAATTTTCGATTAGCTCGAAAGATCCAAATTTACTCAGCAATGTTAACTGTAACTGCCAACCTTAAGGGTCTCAGGTATGATTACATTTCTGTCAATGGTTTTTTTTAATTTATGGTCATTAAAATGATTTGTTTTTTCTCTTTGATTCTATTAGATATATGATGGTTAATTGGCCTTTGACCAGTGCCTTTTTTGGAACTCTTTCCATTGGCTCTTTCTTGTCCATTATCACTCTACTTAGTGTTTATCGAGCTTTAAGTAACCAGAACAATGAGATTATTGCTGAAGATAATCGACCAGAACCGCTCACAATTGTCGATTCTAAGAAAGGAGTTAACATTGATTCTAATTCTGGATTAAGTGGAGATCTTGATTCTGGATTTTATTCAAAAATCAGCGATGATTCTGGTCCTGATTCAACCAATCCAATCTAGTCCATTGTACACATGAACTTTTTTTTCTCATATTCAAGTTAAATACTTACAAAACTTTTTATTAAATACAAACTCAAATAGTAATAAATATATTTTTCTTTTAAAACAAATTTATTATCCAATTTGTGTATCACTTCATCAATTTGCTCAGGTTTAAGGCCTGATTGACTGATTAAAGCTTTAAACACCTGAGTGGCCATTTGAGCAGCACTTAATTGTGACAATGATCCTCTAAATGAACCAATTGGTGTCCGAAGGGCAGAAACAACAACAACATCGGAACCAGAAACATTACTTAATTGTCTAATTGATCTTACAGCAGAAGATTTTACTAATTGAAGAATAGCCATTATTGTGGTACAAAAATTGATCTAAACACAGAAAAGAAAACAATCAAAATTAATTAAAAGGAAAACACAAAAGAAAAAAAGATTTTACCAAATCAACAATGGAAACAAACAAATACTTTAGTTAGCAACAAGTAAAGATTTTGAACTTAAACCAGAATATAATTCAGCACTCAGGTTATACTTTTTATCAGTAAAGATTAACTTTTTCTTTTAACAATCAACAAACGACTCTGATTATCTCATGATAACAATTCCAATTTGCTTAATCAGATTTGATCACTTGGCTTCTAACAAAGAGTAACAACTTGTTCAGTCTTTGTTTCTAAGGATCAAACAAAAGAAAAAGAAAACCTATTTCACTCTAATCAAATTTCCCAAAAAAATTCTCATCTTTCTAAAACCCCAAAAACAATTAAAATCCAAATTAAATACTCACTTTTACAATTAAAACTAAATTAAAAAAATTCCAAATTCCAAATTAAATTAAATTTGTTTTTCTCTCAAAAGTATCGATAGTTTTTCCAAATATATCGATTACTGTCGATTATCGATATTCGATATTCGATTCTAAAGTAAACAGAAAGAAAGAGAGAGAAAGAGAAATGAAGAGAAAAAAAATTTTTGGTTTTGTTTTGTTTTCTCAGTTAATTTGATTGATAATCTTTTTCTTTTTTTTTATAAATATATAAATTGTATTTCTTTTTCCTGTGTAATTGTTAAATAGTGTTGATAATCAAGTTTACCTGGTTATTAGAAATTAAATTATTCTTCTTATTATTATTGTATTGATATTATTTTGGACAAGATGACCAACTCAATGAACACTGGACAAGATTGGAGGTTTTTCTCATTAAAATATGTTGGTTGTTTGGAGATTAATACACCCATGAAAAGTTTAGATTTTGATACTCGAAGTAAAGTGGCTAAAGAATGTATTAACCGAGTCTGTGAAGCAAGTGGCCTTAAAACGGTTGACAAGAAACGTCGTCCAGATAAAAGGATTTGTAAAATGTTAGCTGATCGTCCGAATATGGATAATGCTGGTTCAAATGTTAATCTAGAGATTACCAGTGGTTATTTAAAATTATCTGTGATGGAAACGGGAGAGATTATTGCTAAACATGATATGCCAAACATTTCATTTGCCTCGGGCGGTGATTCGGATACACTTGACTTTGTTGCTTATGTTGCTAAAGATGATAAATTTGTCCGTGCTTGTTTTGTCCTTGAATGTGGCGGTGGTAAAGCTCAAGATGTTATATCAATTATTGGACAAGCGTTTGAGTTAAGGTTTAAAGAGTTTCTCAAAAAGCAACCACATAAAAGTATCCAGGAAAGATATGAAAATCGACGAACACAATTTAATGGTTTAGCCTATCAAACTAATCATGGTCCAGTTGATGGAGCGATTGGAGGTGGTGGTGGTTGTGGGGGTGATGATCGAGATTATTATAATGATATGCCCGGGAAAGTTCCGCCTGATTTACCTGAGAGGAAAACTGATCGACGAAATGATGATAAATTTATAAGGAACAATAATCATTCATCTTCAGGCCGATGTTCTATTGGAAAATTTAATTCTCAACTATTATTACCTTCAACTTCCGACTTGACACCTAATCTAATTGATTTAACTTCTGATCTTCAAGTGATGCCAAATGAAAGTCCAATAACTGTACCTCTTACAGCGGAATCAATTATCATGCCAAATAATAACAATGTCAACACTTTAACGACAACAACAACATCAACAACAATAACAACAAATTCAACACCATTGTCATCATCATCATCAATATCTAAACTGAGAACGATCTCAAATAATTCTGCTTCCTGTTCACGGACTTCATCATTTAACTGTAAAACCGAACCTGAATATGTTAATTGCAATCCAGATGAACTATTTAAATTATCAGCCACCGAATCATCCTCATCATCACAACCATCAGCCATTAAAGATCCATTTGACATGCGTTAGTACTCATCCTTTACAATTTACCGTTAACAATTTAACAAAAATTAGTATACTTATGATTTCCGTATCAATTTCATCTAAATGTCAAGTTTGGTGACGTTTTCCAATTTAACCATAATTTCCAATAGTAACGAAATTCATTGGTTTTATAATAATTGATGTTTTATCGATCTGTAAATTTCACTTTTTAACATGAAAATCTTTTCTTTTTTTTCCTGTTTCTAGAACCTTTTTGTGGAGCATTGGAAAACTTATCGAATGACATGGAACCAAGTTCGTTATTATCATCAATTTCACCCATCAATGAATCATTTAAATGTGGCTTGGATGATGCAGATCATAAAACTCAAACAACAACAGTAAATACTAATGAAGATTTAGCGAAAGCTGAATGGTTCCATGGTGCCATTGGTCGACGAGAAAGTGAAATGCTTGTTGTTAATGATGGAGATTTTCTTGTTCGTGAATCACTTCATTCGCCCGGCAAATATGTTCTAACTGGTATGCAAGGTGGATTAAGAAAACATTTTACTTTAGTTGATCCTGAAGGAGTGGTAAGTGTTACACAAGGGAACAGTAATTTCTATATATTGTATATGTATATTGTAAATTGTTCTTACAGTTGCTTCTATTCTAGGAAATTAATTGATTTTTCTTTTACTTTCTGCTTCTCTTTCTTTTTTTGTCTTTACAGGTTCGAACCAAAGCATGTACTTTCGATAGTGTCACTCATTTAATCAATTATTACCGAGACAATCAACTTCCTCTGATGACTGCTGACAGTGAATTAGTACTTATTAATCCGATCATCAGACGTTCTTTAAATTTTTTCTAATAAAAATCTGGGCTTCTTAAAGCTAATTCAGGTTTATCATAACCAAGATTCTCAGGGGTACTGATTCCAAGTTCTTCCAAAACTGGCTTCAATTCTTGTAACAAGTAGGGATAAATATCCTTATCGTGATTGTCTGCCTTCCATTTAACGGCCTCCAAGTATCGAACACACAGTGAATGATCATTAACTCGACGACAAGCTCTTAAAGCTGCTTCGATAATCCTAGGTTCGGGTATAAGATCCATTCCCATCAAATCGTTGAAAGCTTTTCGGATCTCCCAACCATCAATATCGGGTCTATTGATTGATCACAATTACAAAGGGAGAGAGAGAGAAAGAGAATCAAAAGAAAAACAAAATAATAATCAATAACACCATTAATATAGAAATAGAGATAAAGAAAGAAAGAAAAAAGTAAAAAACAAAAGAGGAATATTGAAAACGACGCATTCATTTTTCTCTTTACCTGGAGAAATATTGGTAATATCTATTATCAAATTCTTCGTCTGTCTCTTCTACATCATGAGGTGGCTTGTAAATTGCTGACGAACCTTCCGGTGGCTTTTGGTGTGCCAATAATCCTGAAGAAAAAGGTAAATTAAAAGAAATAATTAAATAAAATGATGAAAAGGTTAATAAGTCAAGCTAATGAAAAGTAAGGGCAAACTCAAGGACATGTAAACTTACGGGTTTGATTGAAAAGAGTGGAAACCTTGGGCCTAACTGGTAGTCTTGCGATTGAAATAAGTGTCCTGAACATTATTCAATTTAGAATTGAACCTGAAATAATTTTACAATTAACGAATAACAATTAAAAAAGTAACTAATCACCAACAAGAAAAACTGAAATTAATGACCAACTGTTTAACCGATACTATCGAATATCTTTACTTTGTATCCGATATTTTTATCGATTTTTTCTCAGCGAAAGTTACGTCATCTGGTGGTCGAAATTAATCCTTTCGAAAAAAAGTTCGAAATTAAATTCGATAAGTTTTTTGTTCTGAACTTTTATTTACTTTTGAAATTTTCTTTGGTTAGTTGTATTGTATTTTCCTTTCCTCAGAAAATTGAATTAACTATCATTGGTTTCAATTTGTTTTAGATAATTAGATAATCTCTTTTTTGAGTTGATTCTATTTCCATTCAGTGAAAATAATAAAAAGTTTTAATTTCTTAATTTTAATTGTTTGAAATTACATTTTTTTTATTACAATTGAAAGAATACAAATTAATTAGTTAAAAATTGATTTATCTTAAATACTTGACAACAATTTAATTTTGGACTTAAAGTTGACTTGATATTTCAACATTTGATTGGAACCTTTTAACTTGATGATTTGATTTGATCACATTAATTGATTGATTATCTTGTTCAGATATTTGATTATCATTGATAATATTGTTATTATTTTGATGATTCTCATTAAAATTAACGATACAATTGATTGTTAAAATATCAACATCATCAGTGGCTGTTAACTGTTTCTCACCACTAATTGTTTGCCTTTTAATTTTCTCATCATTTTCATTAAATTGATTGTTAACATTTTCCTTTAAATTATCAATCGACAATGATGGATAGAAAACTGATCGATCAATTTGATTAATTGATAATATTGGTTGAGTTAATTGTCTATTACGAAGGAAAACTTTACCACGATTAGGAGTTACTATCGGATTACTTGGTTTAATTGTGTTAACTGGATTAACAATTTTATCTTCTTCTAAGTGATTAATTGATTCAATTGTCGATGATTCCGGATAAATGACTGGATTTGTGGTCGTTGTTGATTCAATTACTTTAGGTGTAAATGATAATCTACTGGTTCGACCATTAATTAAGTTTCGTCTTAAATTGATCGGTGTAAATATTGGTTCAACTGATTGTGTCGACAATTTAATTGATTCTTGATCATGATTATCATTAATTTCACTGTTAATTGATCTGGACGGTGTTTGGTAACTTGGATAATCTTCAATTAAATCAACCGTTGTTGAAGATGATGAAGATGATGAAGATGATGGTGATGGTGTGGGCGATAAATTGTGCGTTAATTGTTCATTGGCAATCGAAACAATTTGATTTCGAGCATTATTATTTACCGTTAATTGATTATAAGGTAAATTTTGATTGTTCTTTACATGTTGATTGTGTGATTTAAATGATTCCCAGAATCGTCTCTCAGGACTTCCCAGATAAACTTGACCATGAGACTCTTCAAATGACCGATGGCTATTTAACCATGAATTTCTCAATAATGATGATCGATGATAATTGTTCATCGAATCGATTAATAAACCATTTTTGTATTCAATTCTATCAATTGATCCATCTTTCAATTTACCATCGATCTGTTCATTATTTAACTGTTGATGGTTGTTATCCTTATCATGGTCAGTTGAGTTTATTATCAAATTATTTGGAGTTGATCCTAGTCGGTCAATTAATGATTTACCGTTAAATTGGTTAATTGGAATCAATGGATTTGATTTGAAATGATTCAAAGATGATAATGTTGCTGAAATTGATGAATTTGTCATGTTAATTTTTCTCTCGTCTACCAAATCAGTTTGACAATCAGTGTTTCTCTGATTATGGTTAACTAATTGCGATTGTCCGTTAGTTTCAGTTTTTTCATCGTTCTCATCACATCGAGCTTGACAACACCAACGGAAACAAGGAGCAATTTGAATCAATCTAGAAGGTAATTTAACTCGTTTAGATGCTGAGGATGATGAGGATGTTAAAGATGATCGTTTTTCGGACTCCAAGTCTTTCGATTGACGTCGAGAAACGATGAACTCGTAGGTTGAAAGGCCGATACAATCTGATGAGAATTGAGAATTTATCAAAAGAATCGATTAGTTATCGAAGTTGATTAACTTTCACCAAACATCTCAGAATACAATCGAACCTTGAGTTTTCTAAGTTCTCTCGAGAATTTTAGGTTACTTGAAGTTTAATTAGCTCGAATTTGGATAAAAATGTAAACATTTTCGTGGAATAAAAAAAAGATTTCGTGATCGACAGGATTCGAACCTGTGCGGGAAAATCCCAATGGATTTCTAATCCATCGCCTTAACCACTCGGCCACGATCACAGATAAAAATTATCGATTATAATTTCGTATAAAAAACCAATTAATTCATCACAATCCCCATCAAATTCAACCAACATCAAGTTAGATAATGATATTCAACTATAAGGTAGAATCGCCTCAGGGTGAATATCGATCTAAACTTGGTAATTATAACAAGAAATTGAAAAAAAACACTTCGTAGACAAACTGATCAATCTAACAAGTAATCAACTAATTAACTGTTACTCTGCCAAGGTAAGAAAAAACTAATTGTTTATGACAAGTTAATGATTGATCAGAGTAATTTGTTAAATTGTTTCCAATACTTTACATTACATTGTATTAACTTTATTCACGTCACTTTATTATTATAATAATAACAAGAAAAGTCGTTCGCCTTGAAAATTGATTTCCAGACAGAGTGATTAAGCTGTAATCAAGTTGATTAAAGGTTGTTGATTGTGAATACAAAATATAAACAATAAACAATTAATCAAATGGTAAAACTTTATAATACAGTCATGATAATGTAATATCATCACCACCACAGTTGATTAATTACCCTTGTTATTTATATCATTCAATTACAGTTATTATCATTAATATAAACCATTCATTTGGGATAAATATTGTTAAAACAAAGCTGAAGGATGCAAAAAACAAAACAAAATACTGACCATTGGTTTGTATTAATATTAACATGATGATGACCATTGTTATGATTATTGGATCAATAATTTCATCAGCCAAAGTCAAAAAACTTGAACCAATTGATTAAATAATAGGAAAAGTGATCAACACTTATTGTTTAATAATCAATTGTAATGGTGATCATAATAATAACAGTAGTGGTCAATTGTTTAGAGGTCAACATGAGCAAAGTTTCATTACTAATGATCATAAAATAATGATGAAAATCAAACCTTTAAATCTCATCTGATCATAATTACTTAATGATAATAATAAAAAAGTATCATTTTCTCATATGTAATAATCATTAAGATGATGATGATTAGTTTAATCATTAAATATAAAGTAATTGATATATTATATGAAACTGACCAACGAAAACTGGACACTCAAGATTGACTAAAACAAACAGATACAAAGTTTGTTGTTATATCTTGAGGTTATCAACTGAAAATACATCATCATCATTAGGAAAACAATTTACCATTGAAATAATCATCTTTCACCATCAATTCTGTTTCCGTTTCCATTAATCATTACATAATCTTATTCCTGTTAATCTTTAGCTCAACAGATTAATCTACAATCAAATTGATCTTATTATCATTCCAAGTTGATTTTGTTCAATGAAACTGTTTGGAAAGTTAATTCTTATGATGCTGGTTCTTGAAAATTCAATCTATTTACACTATCGATTATATTTGATTGTTTATCAACACTTGAAAGTATTAATACTTTGAATCAATTCAGCTTTTCCCTCATTAAAAGTTATATATCATTAGTATTATTATTATCTCTATATATTTATCCTGATTAAAGGTTATCCATTCAAGAGATGATAATGATTAGATCAATATTGATATTAAACATATTATTCTGCTTGAATAATATCCTGTAAGTTGTTTAATTGTTGTGCTAATATCAAATTGTTTGATGGATAATCAAAAACAAAACAAAAAGATTCTGAATATAATGAATATCCAAACTGAATATGTATGTGGATTAGATTTACTCACATGTATTAGTACATAAATCTCATATTGATTTTCTGATCTTATAAGCATAATGTTATTTTGCTCATCCTATTATCCAAAAGTCAATGTATTAATTTGATTAATCAATCAGCAATCATGCTAATAATCATCATGATAATTTAATAAACTGTATATATACACATAGCCAAGGCAATGACAATCATCATGTATATTGACATACTCAGAGTATCCAAATTGATTATGATATTGAAACTCAACTATTACTAACATTTCATGTAACAGAATTGCCTTGAGAATGGTAAGAAATTAAGGTTTACCACTTGTTATATATCAATATTATTGTAACTCTCATGAAATTGAATAATCAATTTCAATCTTAATCTCAATTCATCACCAGGAAATACTAAAGTATCTTATATATACATAGAGATGAACCTAAACAAATTAGTCAATCTAATTAATTGGACACTTATTCACCATGTAATTTATATTATTTTATCCAGTCAATCATTGAGAGATGTTAATATTAATTTTCCCCTGAATAACCAATTCACCTACATGGTAAATTGAATTCAAGTGATTCATATTAAAAGGTTATCAATTGGTTATTTTTTTTAACAGAGAAACAGAAACAAATTAAATCAGTTAATCAGATTTTTATCCTAATCAATTTAATCTGTTGTATTACTAATAATAAATTGTTATCGAAAAGAAAAATGAACTTTTTTTCCTTTGGTTTCCTATGTAATTTGTATCGGTGGAAAGTTAATCAATGTAATGTAATAGTAACATTTAAGAAGCTTATGTGAAAGAAAAATGATTTAAACTAATTGACTTATTACGATTAATGGACATTGAACATTTCCTTTTCCTTTTCACTGAATGTCCAGTTAATAGTCAACATTTGAAGGAGAAAATATAATAAAAAAAAAGGTTATAATTTAATAAGAAAAAAATTATATTTATATAAAGTAATTCTGTTCAGTAATAACTATTACTGGACAGGTAACGAAACTTTTAGGCTAATTGAAGGATTGGATAAAAGTGAGATGGAAGACAATCAAGACATTTAATTGTTGGATGTTAATCAATGTTGGATAACCAATATAAGGATAATCAAAGTCAACCATTTTACCGTTATAATAATAGGGAAAATTGGACAATTAGTTGATGTACATATTCAGATACCAAAAGAAAAGGTTGTAGTTTCTTGTCCTTCCATCTTGAAGAAATGTGATTTTTTTTTATCCTTCTGCCTGGTGATGACCATTGAGAGTGATGAGGATGCTGACCAATGTTGGGATCGATAAATAATAACCTATCAGGTTTTTATATCAGAGGTTTTCTCGATAATAATAATAATAATAGGTAACCTTTTGCTGAGTTATATTCATTTTTTTTATCATGAGAAATTGTTTCCTACATGAATCATAATAATAAATCATTTTTTTGTTCACCTTCATAGTTGTGATATTTTTTTTTTCCTCTTCTTGATTATCAAAGTTACTAATGTTATTATTGTTACTATTCATTTGGATTAAGATTGATTAACAAGAGTAATTACATTAAAATCCTCATTGATGTTTAGCTAACCAGTTTTTCTGTCACATCATGAAAATTCATGTTCCAAGACTTTCATGATAAATGTTCACAGATTATACTTGATGATCATTGTTGTTATTGTATTTTTCTTGTTTACAGAAAATGTTTTTCTTTTTTTTTTGTTATTTTTGATTAGATTGTAATAATAATAATAATAATTGTATTAGTCTCTTTATTTTCTTGGTTAGTATAATTGTGATTAGAGTTAATTGTTCATATGAAAGAAGAGTAAAAAAAATTGTATTCATTTGCATGCAAATGAATGATGAAGTTTAAATCGTTGGTTCAATGATTTTCTGGTTCGTATTCAGGTGATTATCATGAAGAAGATGATGAAAAGTAATAGTAAGAGTGAGATGATGATTGAATGGGAAGATTTAGTGAGCAAAAACTAAGGAAAAAGAGGAGATGATGAGGATGCTAAAGATGAAAATTCCCAACATAAGAATAATATTATTGTAATACAAAATCTACTCGCAATTCCCATCATGAGTTGTCAAGAATCATAAACTAATTGTTATGAATAATTTCATCCATTCTGGTTGAAGTAATCATATCAAAAGAATATCAATTAATATGTAAATTTGATAAACAATAACAATATTAATCAAAACACACTTATTATTAATAACATACAGAGTTAAAGTCTCAATTAATGTTTCAAGTATTCAATTCAATTTAATCATGATTATTGGTTATCATACCTTTTCTTTGATATTCTGATTAATGTAATAATAGTTTAGACTGGGACAATAAACTATTAATACAATCACATATTTCAATTAGTAATGAATGCAGGTTATTAATAACTTATCATGAACATATGATAATCGATAGTGAAAGGTAATTTATTGAGCGATTTGTCAGGTTTATATATGCATGTTTGCACCACGTTCTGTCATGAATGACTCGAACTTGAGTTCGAGCAGTTGAACTATTGTATTATCCAATGATGCGTTCTTTTTGTGCTTCTATTGCTATTACATTGGAGAAAAACTTATAGATTCCTGAGCTTAATTGTAATAATCTTTTTCTTGAATATTATCATCGAAATGTGCATATTGATGGAGATATTTATGAATATTAAAAGAATAATGTAAAAAACTGATGCTACCGATGAAAAGTACACATGAGAAACTTTGGAATGATGGAAATGAGGAATAAAAAAGAATATTGATTTTATTATTTTCTCTCTTTTCCCCATGTTTTTTATCATTTTTTCTTCTCTTTCTCTCTCCTGAATTCCTTGTTCACTGATTCTGCTGAATCAGATTCATTTTGATTCAGGTTTTAGGTGGAAGGACAAATAGTCATTCGAGTTCAATAGAATGGATAAGTAACTAAGTTTAGGTTTGGAGTAGAAGGAGGAGAGGCATGATGATGAGAGAGAATGTTGTTGTTGAGAGATGAAGACTGAAGGGAGAGCTGAAGGAATTATGATGATTATGATAATCGTTGACTCTCCTTGTTGATGGGAGCAAATGGAAATGAAAGAAAAGTTCTGACATGAGTGAGCATTTACCATGGTTAAACATGAACTATTTCCCTGTTTCCCATCCAAATTCTGACAATATATCATGTATTCCTGAGGATTTTGAGGTTTCTCTCTTTTCATATTCCTGCTTTAGTAAATATTTCCTAATGGTTTTATAGTTCATCCCGTTTTTTATTATCATCATGATATTTATCATTCAATACTGATGATTTGCAGCATAAAATATTCACCATTCATTGGTTTAAATCAAAAGAACTGCTATTATCATCAACATTGATTTAGATTCGATTGTATTCACTTGAATCATTTTCGAGAAGATGAAAATCAAAATGAAACGATAATATTTCAGAATTTCCATTCTTATTTCACAAATTCGATTCAATTAAAGTTCTAATAGAAAAAAAAACTAATTCGATTGTTCAATTATAAGGAAAAAAAAGTTGTCCAACTAATGAAAAAGTTTCGAAGTACAGATTGCGAAAGATCAAGAACATTTTCCTCGAATTTGCAAAAGTTTCAACCAATCAATAGATTTAGATCTTCGATCGTTATTCTCAAGGTGATAAAAGTCATAATAAGTTTTGATTCAGTTTAATAATCTAAATCGTATAAGATAAATAAAGTAAATTAAAGTTTTCTACCAAATTAAAGAGCCTAAATTGTCGTTGGAAGAAAGAAAGTGATTATAATTAATAATGTGAATCGTTACTAATTCCAGGTAATGATTAAGGAAGATAAATAGAAAATGAAACATCATTAATATCGGAACGTATAAATAACTGTTTATATGAATGATAAAAAATCGAGAATAGAAAAAAAAACATGGAAAAGTATTGAAATAATTTCCATTAGAATCAAATTATTTTACCATTAATCAATTCTAACGATTAAGAAAGTTTCAAGGTAATCAAAGAGAAACAATTTGTTACGATCAAGAGGAAAACAATTAACCAGAATTTGCCAAAGAAAATGTTATCTTACTAACGATAGTAATAAATAAATAACAGGACACTTAGAAGGAATCATCAGAAGGATTTTATCTCTATTCAGAATTTCTGGAAATTGTGAAGAAAAAAATAGGCGAAAGTTTTTCTCAATATTCATGGATGATTATCGGATAAAGGAAAAAGGAAAAAAAATCGACATAATAATAGATGATAGATGATTAATTGTGAATAGTTAATAATGAGGTTCGATTATATTTGAGATGAGCTTCATAATAGATTAACGTTAAGTGCTGGAAAAGGGTATTAAGATTACTTACTAAGGAAAATGTGGAAACATAGAAGATGCAAAAGTAGGATACCTGTGACAAGGGATAAGATACTTGTCATCATGATAATCGTTATCCATATTGAACGATAACACGTTGATGGATTGATGATGTAGGCACGAAGTAGACCATTTGTTATAAAATCATCTTCCCAAATTGATTCATCTGAGAGAAGAGACAATTAAAGTAAATTAATTTGTTCCAATTAGTTAATTTTGGCGAAACAAGAAAAAAAAACAAAATGAGCTTAATTGATATAATCAATTAACTTAATCGTTATCAAAGTTTGACTGAGCACTGGGAGTGAAAAGTGATAACTTATATTTATATGATATTTGAAAGACGATTTTATTTTCAGTTGAGTTGAAAATAAATTCAATTCTGTTACTGTTTCATTTAAATTGCTATTAGTTAATTGTCTGGTTTTTGATTTTGTATTAGATTATTTTTCTTTATTGTTGAATTAAATTGTAAGAATTTGGTTTTTATTAATAGTTGATTACTTTTTCTTTTCTCAATGAAATGGTTAATTAACCTTTAAGAATATCATGAAATTATTACCAACAGAAATGTGGAATCGATTCATTCTTAGCATAATCTTATTAAATAAAGTTTCATGACGATGATGATATTGAGATGGAAAATTAATTTACCATATTATTCAACATTTAGTATAGATTTTTTCTCCCGTTGATTAACTTTAATCTAATAACATAAGCTGAAAATAATCAACAGATTATTAGCTTTTAGTTAATCATCAATTGTATTGGAATTATTTTTTCGCTCTCTCTCTCTCAACTATTCAATGTTATAAATATCTCTAAGAGATTATCGTTAGATTCATGAGATGAACATTCTGAGAATTAGTTTCTGAGAAAATGATGTTCATTATTCATTTACAAGTTGAAAATTACATTTCACATTCAACTTGATATTCATTGAATAAATTTTTCCAATGAGAAATAAACTATAACTCTTAATAGTCAATTCTTTACTTTATCTACTCCCTGTTTTCCCATGGATCATGGTTATCGTTAACTCAGACCATCATGATGAAGATGATTCTATCATCTTTTTTTTCTGCTTTTTCTCTCATGATAAATAATAACCTATGGTCAGTTCCAAGATGTGATAGAGATAAATGTCAAGTGAAACTTTTCCAGTGATTTCTGTTTATTTATAAATAGTATTAATAATAATATTGATTCAATCCAATGTTATCATTTTCCATATTAAATATCAGTTCAATTTCTCACTCCCTGGAAATTGGATATAAATGTGTAAAAGTTGATCATCTTTTACAGTTGTATATACCTTTTGGATACTGATTCATCATCAGAATTTTAAATAGATCACTGAATTCATGGTTACCTTAATTATACGAGTATCTATTTAGATGTAGTATCATGAAAATCACATGATCATAAATCTCCTTTTCCCTTGATCTTGAATGTATTTTTTTCATCATAATTCAAGTTATCAAATTCACTCAAAAGTTTAGTAATCTATCATGTTCAGGTAAGTTATCAACGTGATCAGTTTATTTTTTGCTTCATCGTTAATCTCACCATTGGATACTCAATGTTGTGATAATATATTTTCTTCAACATTGATCATACTCTCGAGTGAAAGTTTTGATTTGGAAGAAAGAAAAGTTCTAACAAGTGAAATTAATTAGCAATTAATCAATAAAGCTCGAGAGAGAGAGAGAGAGAGAGAGAGAGAGAGAGAGAGAGAGAGATTTTTTCTTGGAGAGGAAGAGAGTTAAGAAAATTGTTCCGCTCTTTAATCATGGAATAAGTTTTCTGAATCATGATTAACATAAATAATTCTGATTTAATTATTATACAAGATGAATACTACTTATAATATATCAACGACATGGAATCACCTTCTTGCTAACAAGGTGAATAAGAAAATCGTTAATCTCATGAGATAAACAAGAATCAATAAATAAGAGAAAAGTTATCACTTTTAGAGACTCGAAAATATTCAAACATGTTATTAGATCAGAATTGCAAAAGAAACAATCAAGAACCATGATGGTGAATAAGAAGCTCAGATTATTCTCGAAATTTGATTCATGATGGATTATAACACTTGAGATTTGCAAATATATAATTTACATTGTTTTTACCACGTGAAAATTTATTCAATTTATAAAATTATCATGAATCAATTACATTCCAAACATTTCAGTTCATTCCATCAGGAAAATAGGAATACTATCAAGCTAAAAGCTCAGTCTCAGTATCAATATCTTAATGATTATTTTGTTTGAGCAAAAAAAGTCCAACATTTTTGATTGATTTGATGAATTGAATGTTGATATGAAATGAAAATTGAAAACTGTTCATTAAGGGTGTCATGTAATATTATGAAGGGAACATGGTGATGGAAAAGCATTCAAGTAAATATTAGAAGATGATAAATTCAGGGGGATGACGGAGAAAGATGATGAAATGAGAGTGTAAAAAAAGGGATTTGACATTTTCTCACAGGAAACAGAATAGATGAAATTTTGAAAGAATAAAAAAAGCAGGAAAGAGACAGTGAGTTTCCATCTTCATCTATCCTTTGATGAGGAAAGTACATATAATACTAACCTATTAAAAGAGATGCTCAAGATAAACTTATATTATATACAAACGAATGAAATTGTTTATTGATTTGAGAACAAGAAGAAAAAAATTTTCAGTAAAAAGAACTTTTTTTTTCTTTTTCGTCTCTTTTTTATATATATTATTTCAATCGATAAATCAAGAAGGTGAATTGATGGAAGTAAATGGAAATGGATGAAAGATGCTGCAGCTACTTGGCAAGATGAAGATGATAATGTCAAGATGATTCAGATTATCTGTTAATATTTACCTTTATTTACATGATTCTGATTCTTGTTTGAACTTTTTTCTTCCATCATTTTTTACCTAAAAGTGAACGTGACTTTTCAATGACAACATTTTTCTTAAAGTTCTGACAATTCTCATTGGTTACAAGCCGATTACATTTTCTACCTTTTTTTTATTACAATTTAGTCCAATTTTTCAATTTGTTTCGATTTTATTACATTTGTGTGTATTTGTAATTTTATATATGAATATCATATTTAGCATTCTGATTGGAACAATTTCAGAATTTCCATATTCATGTAAGAAAATATCCTAGACAATTATGTTTCAACATTCATCTTAGTAAATGTTATTTCCCTTTTCCAGCTCTCTAGATGGAAAATATTGAATCGATTTCCGGTTCTACCTTTTTTCCCCTTTCAATGTTATCGATTCTATTTCCGGATTTCCAAGTTTCATGTGGACATTTCCTATCTTTTACTAATTATTATCATACTCAGTATTATTATAAATGCTAAGAAAAATATTGAAGAAAATACAAAATGCTAGCATCGTAATAATAATGAGAGAGATTATTATCATGCTAAGTACTTTTTACTTCCGTTTCCTAGTCTCTTATCATTTATATAACTGTCATCCTATTGGACTATTAATATTATCGATGATCAATCAATCATGAAAGTGAAACAAAACTTGAGCATTAATGGGAAAGGTGATAAACCCAAATGTCAATCAATGAATTGAATGTTTCAGCGAAAATGAAAATCTAAATGATTAAGTTAATTGACAGTTCAACTACTCATCAAGACTAATTAATTATTGTAATCAACATTTTCAAGAGCAATCAGCTCAATGGTAAACTGAATAATCTACTAAATCATTACCATTCTCGTTCATTGCTGTTTGAAATGTTTTTTTATTTGTTCGTTAAGCTTATAATGTTATATAGCCTCAGGGTAACAAGATGAAATTTTTCTTCTGTTGAAATTTAAGCCAATGGGCAAACATTTTATCAGTTTATCTCTTGAAGAATTTGAGAAAAGTTCTAAATTCTCAACAGAGTTTCAATATATATACAGAGTTTTCGTTTCATTTTCACCCATCACCATGTAAACATACAATGAGAATGAAAAGTTTGTTTTATCTTTTCTTTTCCTTGTTAGATGTTTACTTTTTTTCATCTCCCCTGTAAAGATTGAGTTTCATGATAAATGTCAATGCTAAGGTTGAAAATGGAAAATGAACCAAGATCAAACTATTATACACTTTGTGGTCACTTTAAGCTGATTAAACTCACGAAAACTTTTGTCCAGAAAATGACAGAGAGAGAGAGAGAGAGAGAGAGAGAGAGAGAGAGTCAAAGTTGACCATGAGAAATGAAACACTCAAAGGTTATCAAATTTACTGAGTAACCAGAACATGAGTTTTCATACCTATTTTTCAGGGCGAATCATTTGTCTAATCAAATTTGATTCACTTGCAATCAATAATTCATCATATATATATTTCTGGTTGACATTTAATCTCATTGACATGATGATAATCTAGAGCAAGCAAAGAGATGACATAATTTACCTTTGAAAATCATCATAACAATCAGATTAACCGAATAGGACAATGTAAATGAATATTTATTTATTTTTCTATCCATGATTGATTCATAATTAGATCTAGTAAGTTAATTGCTTTAACATTTACGGAGATTATGTTTATAGCTCAATTTCAAAGGGTATTCATCATCAAGCTCTATGATTCAGTTTCTTTTTCAACAGTTTACATTGTACATTAATGTTAGAAATTTAGAATTTAATTATCTTGAAATAGTTTAAAACTGCTAGAAAACGAAAACGAAAACGAAAACGATTATTAGATTTTGAAATTCGACATTTTTTCATCTGAATATATTTGGTGAACTGTCAATAAATAACACGATTCCTCAGTAAATGATATTATCGTTAGCTCATTAGCTTTTACTTGAACTGTCCAAGAAAAGGTCAAGTATAAAAATAATCATATCGGTTGAAAAGGAAATGATTCTGAGTGAAATGTGAATATCATATTAACAAATATTGTTCAGTGTTATGTGTTGTTAGGTGGAAATCATTCAAGTGCTATGCATGTAATGATATTCGGCATAGTTGAATGTGATAGAAACGAGATGATGATAACTGAAAATATTGGTTTCATCTTTTTGGTGTATAAACTGAAAGTCTGATCCATTTTCTGTCCTCACATTTCAGAACTATTGGTAAGCTATTCGTTCAAATATCATGAAGGAGTCATCATGAAGAAGATTAAAAATATTGCGAGAAAAGCAGAAAAAAAGAATGTGTTTTCATCATCTTTATCTTCATCCTCTTGTTTCCAATGTTATTGTTATAACAAGAATTATATCAAGATGAGAAATAATCATCACATTGATGAAGAAAAAGATAAGTTAAGTTAATAGTTGCAAGTAGAAAAGTTAAGATTAAGAGGATAGAGTGGAGAGAGAGAGAGAGAGAGAGAGGATAATGATGATTATGATGAGAATGGTGATAACTAATATAATGAAGATGAAAAGGATGAACTAGAAAAAACGGTCAAGATGAAGATTAAACCAAGAATGGAAATAGTTCTGTTTCTATTGAAAGATTGGGACGAAATAAAAAGTGTCAACAAATTGATGCTCATCAAGAAAACAGTTACATCGTATTTGTCTGATTCTCTCTCTCTCTCTCTCTCTCTCTCTCTCTCTCTCTCTCTCTCAACCTTTACTTTTCAATTTCCATCATCAACTTCATGTCATTTTCATGAGACTCAGTTTGTATTCCTATTATTATAGACTGATTATTGGGTCAAGTCTGATTTATGGTGAGATAATGTTTAAATTGAGTAAATTGTGAGTTATATCATGATGACATTTTCGTGTGTCTATTGATATCTTGAGATGAGAAACACTTTTGAATCATTAAGTACTCTTAATGAATGGGTGGGAAAAAGCCTTTGGACACATATTATTATTATTAGTAAATCGACAGCTATTGGTTAGCAATAATGGATGGAGAAAATGTTTAACGACATGTAACTGACAATCAGAATCAACCCAATCAGTGTAACGTTAATCAGTTTTCAGTTGATCAATTCCTGACCAAGAAATGAATCGAGAAAAAAAATAGCAATAATAAGACAACCTTGAGAATCCAAGTTAATTCAATTTTCAGTTTCTTTCCCTTAGCTTTACAATATCAAGAGAAAAATGATCAGAAATGTATCAGAATTTCAATTAAAGAATAAATTTCAAATTCAATTTCATCAAAATCATCAAACGTGTTAAAAACATTATACGATTTCTGATGGAATCAGGCAACAATATCATCACAAATTCTGATATAAGAATAAAATTTCAAATGATTATCTGATGTTAATGTGACAGATAAAGAAGAAGATGAAAAAAAAAATTTCACTTTGATTTATTTTCTAACATATAAATGGTGATATTTTACAAATTATCATTATGATAATAGGAATCATTTCCTTGATTAAATTGATAAAATGAAATTACATGAAAATAGTCATGTTATTGTTGGATAGTTTTTCTCCCTCTCTCTCTCATTGCTTGATTCTCCTTCTGGTCAGTGGAAAGGGAATTGAGCTGAAAGAAAATCAATAAAATCCATTGAACTGACCAACAATGAGTTTAATTTTTCTCATTGATTTTTGTTTTCCTCACTTTACTTTAGGCTTTTTCCTTGATTAACAAGGTAAGTTTTTTTTCTGATAATGTATTTAGAATTGAGTAAAAAACCATAGTAACCAATGAGAATGTTAAAATAATAAATGATAATAACGTCTACCAGTTTGCATAGTTCATTGTTTTGACTGAACTCAGTCATCATGATGGATTGAAATCATTTCACATTTCAGGAAATTCATTTTCATATTCATTCCTCTCTTTTTATTAACTAATAACAATTAGATTTTCCGTTTAAACTGATTGTTACTCGATTAACATATTGTACATATAATACAAGATAATTAGATATTCACTACAATTTTGGATTCCAAGCTTATCATGGATAAGTTTCTTACCATCATTGACATTTCATCATTCTAATTCTCTACTATAATGTTACCTGTGTTGAGAAAATAATTTTCCATCAAATTATCTCATGAACTACTCACATATTTGCATAGAACTGAATTATTCTCGAACAGTCTCAAAGTTATTAGGATATTCTCTTAATTATGTAAATCATTTTATTAATTTCATAGATTTTGTTTCTTTCGCTGGTGAAAAAGGTTCAGATGTTGAGTTTTCCATCACCATGGATATGAACACTTTTTAATATGGTGATAATTAGAATGGTTATTTATTCATCCAGAGAATTTAAAAGTTGAATGATAAATTAATCTAAAGCTCAGATGATTTTTTTCTCGTTTTCAAGGTAAATCTGATTAAGGAATTGAAACTTTTCGGTTGAGCTTAAACTTGATTGTTATTCATGTTTTGAATCATTTCCTGAATCTAATTTACTTCAATCATTTTCGAGTTAAGAATTTTTCTTTTTTCTCGTTATTTTCCTGATAATTGGAATGAAATTTTCTCTGAGAAATTTACTGAGTCATTAAAATCAATGGAAAAGTTTTTCTTCTCTATTCTTTATTATTATTGTTCTTTTCTCCATCATCATGGTGAGATTGTGTATTTCTGGATGAATTGAATTGAATAGAAATAAGAGAAAAACAGAGGAAAATGATGATGATGATGAAACGGAAGAGATTAGAATGATAAAGTTGAATGAAGACAAGATGAGAAAGTGATGATTGAAAATTGAATACAAAAAGATCACGAGAAGAGAAAATATTTATCAACTTTTCTATTTCTCATCACGTTCATATATATCTTATTCAATTCGTTAGAATATTTATCATGAAACTTGTCAAGACAATTAACTTTGTCTCTTATTTTGAAATTCCAGAAGAGAAGAGGAAAAAAAGTTCTGTTCGTTTTCACATCTTATTCAATCTTTATCATTCTGTAAAAACAAGGAAAACTACTTAGAGATAATTCTGCCCTCAAGCATTTCGAACTGAATAATCAACACTAACATGACCGAAAAAAACTGGACATGAATTGACAAAAACAAGAACTTTTACTGATTTCGAAAGAAAAAATAAACGATAAACATATTGAACTTCTCAGTTCAATATTATCTCTTTCAACTTATTCTCAGTGTTGATATTAATAGATGACGAAGATTCTAACATGTCGAACATTTAATCTTTATCTTATAAGTAAATCACATTAACATTTTTCTATTAATAACAAACTGGATGTTAGAAAATTCTGAAACTAATATCATGCTAGAAGAAAATATTAAACTAATACAAGGCTCGAAAACTAATTCCATGCTCGTTCTTTGAACGCTCATAAAGTGATATTTGAATTTCCAAAGTAGGATAACTTGATATTCAAATTAATTTTAATAATTTCGATTACTACTGATTCAATAATTAAATTGATCTACTGCAATTAACTATTGGAAATTTGATTTGTAGTGTAAACAATATGATCATGTGAGTTATATAACTAATTTGTGAGAGAGTGAAAAAAATAACGGTAAATATTAATAATAATTGATCCATATCCTAATGAAATAGCTGTAGTAATATACTGATTGACACATAATCTTCGTGACCTTGACCTTTCGGACAATCAAGTATTATTTATTGTTTACTATTGAACCATTTTCTTGAGTTGGTTAGATTATAACCAATTAATTGTGAGTCAACCATTTGAGTTACGGTTTAATTATTACAACGATTAAATTTTTATCATGATTTACCTTAAGGCGATTTTGTAAATTCATTATTTGATTGCATCAATCGATCAATTACCAATTAGATAAAGATACTGAATAATTAACGCTAATGTTGTTTAACTTAACAGTTTAACAATTATCTGGTTGTGATTAATGATATTTGACTACTATAAATGATTAACAATCAGCAAAAAAAATATCAACTAAATCTCGAGACAATTGAAAGTTAATGATTCAAGAAGATACAGAAAAACTGAAATCTGATTACATTGATCGGTGAAAATTGATTGTTAATCACATAATCAAACATTTATACAATCAATTGATTGTTAACTGAGTTAATGATATACCAAACCGTTTGCATGATCATAATCAAGGTTAATCAATAATCAAATCATTGTTAAACTTTATCAATATATTGGTTATCATTGACAAATAATAGAAAATATGAAAAAAATATTAATATAAAGGTTAAGGTTAATTCTGATTATTTCATCATGGAACCAACTTTTGTTGAATTACAATTATTAATACAATTAAACAAATTGCAAATCTAAATTACTGACGATTAATTCACAATTTGATTAATATTAGCAAAACAAATAAAGATTTAATTTGTGAAATCAACTGAGCCTTGAGAAAAGTGTTCAAGTTTATCATATTATATCACTCCCAGTGAGATTAGCGAATTGATTAAAATGGTAAATTGAAAATAATTTAAACATATAAACTAATTAACTTACCATAAAACCAACTTGATTGATTAAAATAAGCAATTGTAAAGACAATTGTCAACCCGAATATACTAATAGATCCAATCATTGCAATTGTAACACAAACCAGGAACAGTCTTGATCGTCACCATTGATATTCATTAATTTCAATGTTTCCATGTCAATATTAATTCAGTCAGGGAGATAAATATCATCAGAGGAGCATGATAATGAAATGAGAGAGAGAGAGAGAGGGAAATGGAAATGAAAATGAATGAAAAAAAGTTTTCTATTAAAAATTGAATATCTAAATAAAGATAACATTTCAAAGGTTGAAACATTCATTACATGGAGAGATAATATTGATTAGTTGAATGAATCAATTGATCATGAATTATGAAGAAGAAGAAAAGAATTGATAAACTATTAGATAGACTAATACATAATTTGTACTATTTTAGGTCAAGGTTTCTAACTATTTACTATTATATGTTAATAGTAATCAACAGAATCATCAAACAACAACAATACAACAACAATTAACTTTTTCCATTCTACATTTATGGTTAATTGTGAAAAAAAAGTTCAATCTATTGATTAACCCAAATAGACTTGACAATTGTGCTAACATATATTGTTACTGATTAATCACATAAATCAGGGAAAAAGTAATCACATCAAATTAACGATGTATCGTTGATATTGTTTACTTTTCAATCAGAAAGCCAATTAGCAATTCTGGTTGGAAATTTGTTTACACATTAATATTACTATTTGGTTGGTTGAAAGCATCGACAATTTGATATGATCAGGTATTAATTAACTTACCTGTAATTAGCTCCACCGACACAATTGTTTAACCATTTACAGTGATGATCAAAATTGGAAACGCACTTATTACAAACTGAACAGTGTTTCGATTTAGGTCCAACATTAACTTCACAAATGTAACAGAATTGATTCTCGATGACGTGATTATGTTTCGATCTGTCGAAAGTTTTTGGTCCTTTTCGATTAGTTGATTGGGATTCATTTTGTTGTTGATTATCATATTTATCTATCACAGCAGGATCAGCGGGATTAATTGTTATATTAATCAGGTGGAAAATTAAATGGCTCACAAATAAAAGTCCAGTTAATGGATAAACGATATACCGAAGTGATGAAGTTGGAAGCATTGGTAACATTATGAAGAAACATATTCCTAAAAGGAAAAGGAAATAAAGAGATAAAAAGAAAAGAAAAGAAAAAATTTAATCTAATTATAAAAACTACAAATTCGATTGAATAAGACTAATCAAATGTTGTAATCAATTGAATTTTCTATTGATAAAATAAATGATAAACAATTAGAGATCATGATTGGAGATGAAATTAACTCTTTGGATGAGTTAATAATAGTCTATGAGATTAGTTATCAATAAGATTAACTTGTTTTCCAAGTTGATTGGTTGGTTGTTTCTTTTTCCAGGTAATTTTTAGCCTTTTTTATGCTCTTAATTAACTTTAATTTTGATTATATCTCATCTTTAATTATGGTTAAATCACTGGAGTAACAAATGAAAATGGACTTTGCAATTAAACATTTGAAAATGTCAAGGTAAAGATTGAAAAAGATTTGCATGATTGCCCATTAATAATAACACCATAGAGAGAGAGACGAGAAAGTTATTAACTTAACCATTACATTAATTGCTTTTTTTTCATTCTCAAAGTTAGATTATAATTAATCATTAAATTTGCAATTAAATTACTTTTGCAAAGTTAAACCATTACAAAGAAAAATGTTATTAGGCACAGAAAAGGATGCGGAAACCTTTAAAAATGATGATGAAAATAACATTATCTCAATTGAGAGGAGAAAAAGTTTCAATGTTTTTTTATTATTATTGTGAGGTGAAAATTGTTGCTTTTAAAATGGTTTATTGTGATGATAAAACTTGTGGGTGTATTGAAAAGGAAACGGAAATGATGCTTACCTGTGAAGAAGAAGAAGAAAAAGAAAGCAAGAAGTTGAAGAGGATGAAAAGGTTGAGTCCAACCATTTATTTTGAAAAATTCTTTGCTCTTGTGGTGATTAACTGGACGAATTGATAAATTATGATTATCATCGATTTCCGAGTTGATTGTTGGATGAATTTTAGATTTAGATAAAGCTCCCATGGTGAAAGAATTAGTGATGATAATGTTAGATAGATTTAATCAGAATATATATGATGAGAAAATATAATGGAAGCCCTTAAGCCATGATGATGGTGATGAGGATGATGATGATGATTAACACACAATAATAATGAAAATAAACCCGAACGGTGATAATCAGATTTGATCCGATGAACAATTTATATATAAACTTGATTATTGAGTTTAACTTTGGCCAAATAATTTAAGTCACTGATTATTCTGATTTTGATCGGCCAAAAATAATGATAATTAGATTGTTATTATTATTTCCAGAATCAATTCTGTTGTTGTTCATAGTTTATTGTTGAGATAAGTGAGTTATTCGGAGGTGAGAGGTGATTCTGTTACTCTGTTCATTCTGGAACTGAAACTTTATTCAGCTTTTTTGGAATTACTCTCAACTTACTCATGATGATGACATTGTATATTGCGCATTCCCTGTAACATTTCAGCTCATCCGATTCTCACTACTCTCTCATTGCAAATGTGAATACAACAAGTTGCTAGGAGACGATAGAGAGAGAGAGAGAGAGAGAGAGAGAGAGAGAGAGAGAGAGAGAGAGAGAGAGAATAAATATTTCAACCATCTATTAGATGTGAATCTCAAGTAATAATAAGACTAATTAAGACTAATTAGTTAACATGGGGAAAAGCTGATTAATATCATAATTGCTGATGATAATTTTCTGAGCCAATATCATCAATACAAAGAGGATATAATTAGAAACAATGTTAATTGTTGATTAATAATTGACTATGATAAACCTTATAAGCTCTTTAGATAAATTCAACTATCAACTAATCATTTTATTCACCATATCAATTTTGATATTTCTTAATTATGTTGATAGTTTTGCTAAAGATGCTATTCTTAATATGGTTATTATGATTAATGATTATCACACTGATAATAATTCACTGTACCCGATTAGATATTAATAATTGAATATTCAATATAAATTATCTGTGAAATATTTAACCTGATAATATGATAAATGCTAATTCTTTGATTCTAATACTTGATTAAGATTAATTTGATTCCTTTGCTTTTTCTGGATTAGTGAATCTATCAGTTATATTGGTATAATATCAGATTAAGACACGAAGACTTGATTAGTAATTTAAACTTAAATTGTTTAATCTTTTGTTAACAGACAATAATAAATGATTATTCTTGATGATTTACTTATATTAATTTTCCTCTACAATTGAAATGTTGTGTTGATTATCGAGTAACAATCTATTGATTGTTCGTTATGCGCGGTTTGAATTTGATCTTTAAACTTTCAACTGAACGATATGTACCAAGAAAAGCGGTATCGATGTTATCAAAAGTTTCACAATTCTCTAATTGAAAGTTTGCTATCACTTCTGCGATAACTACTTTGATCTCTCTCATGGCTAACTTTTGACCTAAACATTGTCGTTGACCAAAGCCAAAGGGAATGTATGCAAGTGAAGGTCGAGATGAACAAAGGTCCAGGGAAAATCTTTCAGGTATAAATTTATCTGGTTCAGGCCAAAATTGTGGATCACGATGAATGTAATAGATACTTAAAGCGAGGACACTTCCTTTCGGTAAAACTTGACCTTTGTCCGTTGTAAGATCTTCATCTAGCCGTCGTGTAGTTGTATGAATTGGTGGACAAAGACGAAGACTTTCTTTAACGCAACATTCTAAATACTTTAACGATTTAAGTCCATCTTCCGTGTAGTCCGAACTTCCTGGTCCAGTGAAACCATTTTCAACCAATTCCAAGTAAACTCTTTCCTGAATTTCCAGATTAGCGGCGAGATGGAACATTGTCCAGGCCATTGAGCCAGCGGTAGTTTCGTTCCCTGCGAAAAGAGCACTATTTGTCTCTTCAAGAATATCAGCCGTAGAAAATGAGTAAGCTTTATCAGCCGATTGACTTAATAAGTGTAAATCGATTAGACAATCAAGTAAACTAAATCTAACCGAGGGATTATATTTCTTTGGGTTTATGCTTCCGGGAACATGGGTGACCTTTCGAGTCTCAATGAGCGAGGTAGGAAATGAACGGATATATTGTGAGGCGATTCGTGATCTTTTACCGTCAACTGTCCAACGGAAAATTGACTCAAACCAGTAAAGTGGATTAATTGCTTTGATTAGCATCATTTCGAGAGCAACGTCAATAGATTTACGATATAACCAACCAGGGGTTCCTTTGGTACCGCTTTCAATTCCCAGCGTAATTTCACACGTCATGTCCATACCAGTTTCTTGGGTAAATCGTCGGGTATCAATTGGTTCGTCATTGGAAATTTCTTTAATCAATCGAACCCGATTTCGAGCAACTTTTGATATCGTTGGTAAATAATTTGCAAGAGCCGAAATGTGATAACCTGGAGCCAACAGTTTACGTCTACCTTTCCATTTACGAGAATTTTGTACAACCAAACCATCGCCGAAAAAGTTTCGAGCCACATCAGGACCTGGACCTTTCTCTATTGTTGCCGATGTTAATTTCTATCAATTAATTGTAGAAGGAAAAAATTAAATTGAGACAAAAAAAGAAAACAACTAGAGCCATCTAACGATCGAAATCAAAATGAATCAGATGAACTTTTTTTCTTTTCAAAGTTGAGTTTCTTAAATTAATTTACGATCGATATTAATTGTTTCAAATTACCATTAAGATTTGATGATCGGTTATCATGATAATTGGAAACCATGATACCCAGAAGACCATTAATCCATTTTGATGGAGAAAAGTTTCCAATCTGTCAACACAATTCTTGAGACCTTTGATTAATTGTTAATGATGAAAGGACTAATTAGTAAAGTTCTTGTTAGTTTGCTAATAATTAGTAAATTGTCAACTTACCTTTACCAAATTGATTGTTTGAGGTAAACGGAGGAGGAAGTAAATTACCCAAGTGTCCTAATAACCAATTACTTGATTGTTGAGGTAAACGTTTTAATTTGATCAACATTATAATCAAAGGAATCAATTTACTTAAGGTAAAAACTGTTAATATCACAATTAAAGTCGCAATTAAATTGGTTAAATTGATTGGTAATTGTAACGGTAATATTGAAGATACAATCGTGATTGTTTTTGATAATATTTCAGATGATTTGTTTTGATGATCATTGTAAGAGATGTTGTTGAATTCAGATTGATTAACAAGTGACATTTTTAATTGTTGAAGCAAAAGAATCAACTAATTGTGACGATTAAGATTCCAATAGCTTGTGGAAATGTTTAACTGTAATGATCACAGATTAATAGTTCACAGAATCAAATGGATTGTAAAATTTGGTTAAATAAATAGTCTCCTGTTAATTATATTCAATGATAACAATTTAGAATTAAAATAAATTGCTAATTGAAGACAATCAAGAAGAGATACAATTAACAAGACATGAAATTAACAGAGAAACTGGTTTAATGACGTTTCCATTAATTCAACGCCTCTTTAATTACAATTTAATAGTAATTCCTGTCCGTGAATCTAATCACAATTTAAAATCGTCAATGAAAAAAAAGAAACAAATTTTCAACAATTTAGATTGTTACTTGTTGTATTTAGTAAGTTGATTTAATAGAAAAAAAATTTCCAATAATTTAAGTTAATTTTTTTTTCTTCAAATTATTGGTCATTAGTTGATTGCGGGAAATTTATTCCACTTTAATTGACAATTAGTTTTTCAATTGAATTAATTAGACCTGAAAAGTGAGAGAGAGAGACAGAGAGACAATTGTAATTGTAATTTAATCGCGACTCGTTGATTTAACAATTACAATTTCAATCTATTGTTTTTAGTTCAATTGTCATGTGAAAATTTGATAAAATATAAATTGTTCATAAATTGAAATCAATCGTTTAAAAATAATCAAATCAATTAGATGATCAAAAAGTGATTAGTGTTAATTGAACCAGTTAAGTTCAATCAGATTTAATTAGCACTGGTGTAGTGATGATAATTGAATAACAGTTATCATAATCAATAGAAACGGTAACTGGATAACTTAGTGATTAGATTGATTAATCAATTGATTAATTGGTGAACTTTTTGAATAATGAAATTGAAATTTATTGAAAAATTTGAATATTCACAAGAAAAAATCTTCAAGCTATTGATATTTTTCAAGAACTTATGGTTCACAAGAAATTGAGTGGCCTGAAAAAGTGAACGGGTGTTTTTGGACGGAAATTTTTCACTTCAAAATCTTCGTTTTCTTGACCAATAACCTCATATACTTAAGCTAATCATATTCAGAATCAAGGTCACTTAGATCTATTAATAGTATCGGTATTTTCCCATTGAAAATTTCTCAGAAAATCGCGATTCTGGCCTCTAAATAATAACCACAGTCGCTAATAGACCTATGAAAAGTACATTGGTATCTTTTTTAGTCACTCGATAGATTATAATTGTTACTGCTGATCAGTGGGGAGATTTGATTGATCAATTTGAAATTGATTAACAGTCAAATGATCAATTAACCGTACAACAAATGGAATGGGATTGTACTCGATATGAACGAATTTTTTGCTCCACAATCACAATTAGTAGCAATCAATTGGGTTTATCTAAGCATAATCTATTAGAAAACCAAAAGATTTCAACAATTTAATTAATTCAATTTCATTTGAAAATCGAGGCAAAAATCAGAGTAGAAAGCGCGCGTTTTTTGAAATGAGTGGTTAGCCAACAATTAAGCTTTTAATTTTTTAATAGTTCTTGTAATTGTTTAATCAATATTTTCATAGGAATTTAATAATTTAATTACTTTGGATTGGATTAATTGTTTGCAAAGTTTTATTATCAATTTTTTTTTTCAATTTATATAAAAATTTAATTACATTTTTTGTTTTTGTTTAGCTGTTGATACAAATCAGAATCAGAAAATTAAGTTAATTGTATGAAATTGAATAGAAAAAATTTAGTTATTAATATTTAAGTTGGTACTTTAAGGCAATCAGTATTTAGAATAATTAACAATTTTAAATTGTTAATTGTTGATTTTATGGTTCCAATCAATTTGATAAATTATCTTTTTTTCTTGTAAAAATAAACTTTGTTAAAGTTAAGCTGCTTAATTATTATCATGGGAAAATAAATAACAATTAGTTAATTAACATTATGATTAGAATGCTGATTAATTATGATTGTTTAGACATAAGATTGTCAATCGTTTGATTAGATTTGGTTCCATAAATCAATTATATCCATTATTATGATGGCCTTTGAACGTTTGTCCAGTCATTGGATGGACACACTGATTACTAATTGGAGAGGTTGAATTAGTTGTTGTTGTGATGAAATGATGTTGATTAAGTAAATACGATTGATGTTTTTGATGTGAATTGTTGAAATGTTGCTTAATTGTTTGGTGATTAAATTGTTGTTTATTAGATGCAGAAGATGAATCTTTACTTTGTCGGCCATTGGATGAACTCAATCCATAAGTTTGAGATAAAGATGATGAGGTTTGAGGTGATGGAGACTGAACTTGTTGATTTGGTGATTTACTGATTGTTGATGATCTGTTTCCAAGTGTTAGAGAAAGTTGTTGTTGGTGTTGATTGTGGTTGTGGTGGTGATGAGAATAGGGATTAGATAATGTTGATCCCATGAGATTAATTGCTGAATGACTAGATGAATGGCTACTTGCTGATGGTAAAGTTGTCGATGCAATTGTATTACTATAAACTGCTTTCCAATTTCTCAATCGTTGATGAAGTTGACTAAATGTTGGTCGACCTGATGGATTCTCGGTCCAACATTGATTCATTAGAGAGTAAATGTTTGGTGGACATTCTGATGGACATGGTAAAAGATGACGACCTCGTATCATATCGATCACTTGTTGATTAGTGTAACCATAATAAGGTTGTAATCCATAAGAGAAAATTTCCCAAAGTAAAACACCGAAAGACCAAACATCAGATTCACTGGTGAATTTCCCATATAATATGGACTCTGGTGGCATCCAACGAACAGGAAGTAAAGATTTTGAGTGAACTCGATAATAATCTGATGCATAAATGTCTCGAGAAAGACCAAAGTCCGATATTTTTACCGTCAAATGATCAGAGACAAGACAATTTCGAGCAGCCAAATCTCGATGCACATAATGATGACTTGCCAGGTATTCCATTCCTGCTCCTATTTGGGTGGAAATGTGAAGAAAATCATTTATATCCAATACTCGAGCTCGACTTCCATCCTTTTCTTTACCTCCTCCTCCAACACCACCAACACCTCCAATTCCTCCGATTCCGCCGATTCCACCGATATTACCACCAACCATCTCATTCGTTATCGGCGAATGAGTAATTAGATACTCATGTAAATCTCCTTCCGACATAAATTCAAACATCATGCACATGGGTTCTTCTTTGAAACAAACACCAAGAAGACAAACGATATTTGGATGGATCAGATCTCCCATTAGTTCAGCTTCTCTTTGGAAATCTTGACGAGTCTTCATGTTTGCATCTTCTTTCAATGTCTTTATTGCAATTGGAACTGTATCAGTTAGTGACATCATTAATTCACCTCGATATACTTTACCAAAAGCACCTTCACCAAGAACTTCAATAAACTTCAAACATGATAATGAATATTCAGTTGCATGTGATTGTTTCTTTGGTAAAAGTGAATTCATTTCAACTGAAGATCCACTTGCATTTATATTATTACGACTTGTTTGAGAATTGGTTATTGATCCTTCTGATTGACGACCACAATTCAATTGTGAACCAGGTAATTTAGATCGTGGCTTTCGTCGTAGGCAACAAATGGCCAAACACAAAATGAACAAAACAAAAACACCGATCGCTGGAGCGACAATGAAGATCCAAAAACTGTCAACTAAATAAAAAACAATAAAGTTTCATGAGAAAAACGATCAAAGTAAATCAACACTTAATACTGACCACACTTTGGTACATCACAATGAACTTTCCTCATCTCTGGATCTCTGATAAAACACCAAGGTTGTGACTCCATTCCCCCTGGATTACGACAATAATTATGTCCACCAATTAATTCCGGATAATCAGCAGTTTTGTAGAAAACTTGTTCATGCCAAGGAGCACATTCGCTTCGAGAAACTGTTCTAGAAGTTGTTCCTCGATAATTTTCACCATTTCCATTGTAACATGTATCATCTAATTAGAACAATAAATCAACATTAATCTCTCCTAATTATTCACCATTAGTTAGAATATTATTTACCTGGAATAACCTGGATAACAGTTGGAACTCCAATTCTCAAACAATCGGCACTTTCAGGTGATCCAGATGGAGATAAGTTTTCACATTTAGGTAATAAATTTGCTTGACCAATTAGATTGTGTCGCTTGGCCAAAGTGTATTCAAGGTGACAAATTTTACCCTCAAGCATTTCACATTCATCACGACAAACCTAAAATATAATCAACAGATTAACACCCAAACCAAATTAGAGATTATCTGACTATATGGATTATAAGATTTACCTTTCGTGGTTTAGGTTGAGATTGATCTTGATTACATAATGGAAATGATGAGAAACATAATGAAGGAATTGCAAATCGATGACATTGAAGGGAAACATCTCGAGATGATTTAATTACGGTGAAAACTGCTCCAATTTTTTGTTCCATTGAATCTTGACTACCTTCAGAATCAACGTAAATTGTTTGATTACCAATTACCTGGGAACAAATTGTTCCTCGATATGGTTCACAGAATGGATAAGATTTCGTCTTCTCATCTGAATCAGATTTCTCAAAGTAACTTGGAACACTAGAGATTAAGATAAACATGATAATCCAGAGATAGAGAAACAATTTAGTATCTTAATTGTTTTTATATTCCATGTTAATCTTCAACAATCAATCAATTTAGTTGATTGTTTGGAGATGGACATTTAATAGGGAAAATAGATCATGACAAACAAATTGTGCCAACAATTAATAGCTAATTAACTTAATGTGTATTCCAAATGTTATTACAATTCGTGAACAATTGAAAGTAATTGGAAAAAAATTGTGTTCTTAATTGTTGTTGGTTGGTACAAAAAAGAAAAGCTGTTTACTTTAATGATTAGTGAAAGTTAATTGTTGGCGTAATTCAATATTGGGCTTACCTGTCTGATCCTAATTGTGGAAAATCAGGAATTATATCCTCATCAATTGTTGGAATGACACCAAGATGGGAAGATACATCTTGAAATAGAAAAAAAAGTTTTCAATTTGATTGATTGGAAGAAATTTTTTAATTTCTCCTCATAATTTAAGTAGATTATCCGATTTATTTACCAATGTAATTTAATAACAAAATTAAGAACATTGATAAACAATCAATTCATCATGTAAATTACATGTAAGAATCTTGGATATATGAGAATGAATTTCAAATATTGAATTTAGAAAAATTTTCTAAATTCAAATATCAAATATCATTTTCGTTTTAACTTGATTTTTGTTTACAGAAAATGTTATCATGTATTTATTTCAATTATCACCATGAAAACTAAATTAAAATCAATTTCAAACTGGTTTTACTGATCATCTAAATGACATTGATCACATTTACCATGTCAAATTGTTTATAATTTATCATGTAAATAGTTGAACCTTTTTTTTTTCATTAGCAATTACTCATTAATCATAATCTAAATTGTTACGAAAAGTTAATCAATGAACTTAAACTTACCTCCATCGACTTTAACAACGGATAAACTTTCAACCATATCGATCCCGTTGGTACCTTCACACTTATAGAAACCCGAATCGGTGAACATTATTGACCTGATCTTTAACCTTGCGACAGTTTTCATTGTTTTATGTTGACGTTTCTGTTTCATTTCAATTCTGTTATCATCGTTATCCAATTGAGCCTCATTCTTATACCAGGTAACCTCAACTTTACCTGGATTTGATTCAAAGGTACACTTGAGCAATAACGTTGATCCAATTGATTTAGTATAATTTGTTAATGGTTCCAATAGACGAAGATAAGTTTTCTTAACAATATCAGCTGATGAGTTAGTTGAGCTTTGGTTCAATTGATTACCTGCTAGTGGAAAATAAATCAATTCAATTGTGAGTTTCCTTTACCTTTTCCAAGGATAATGATCAATAATTTAAGTTTAATCAGTTTAGAATTAGTAATTTCTATTACTTACTTTTAATTACTTTTTCCTTTTGATTTACATCATCAGGCTGATTCTTTAATTTCATCTTTAATTTATCACCTTCATCATCACTGTTACCATGATTATCGTTTGATTTCATCTTATTATTAATCTCATGAGTTTCAATTGATTCTTTTGACAATTTAACATTAGGATCAACCATTGATCCTTGATCATCAATTGATCCATAAGATTGAGATGATGATCTAATTTCATTGTTTACTGAATTAATTGATCCAAAGGAATCAAGTGAACTTAGTCCATTGGGTGAACTTTTAATTCCTATTGAATTTACATTGTTATCCGATGAGTTGACCTTTTAATTGTTGAAATCAAATATCAGTTAATTAATCAAAATCAGATGAAACAGTAAACATGAGTTAACTTAATTTTAAAATGATCCATCAACAATTATTACCAAATCAATCAAATCAACTAAACAAACTAGAAATTTTTCAATTGTTACCAAAAGAGTAGAATTGATTAAGTGAACCAATTAACAAGTTGATTATAATCAAGAGAAATTATCTAATCAGAATAACGATTTGATTGGAAACAATTCTCATCGCAACGAAATATAATCTTTCCTTTGGATATAAAGCAAATATAAAACTATGAGAACAAATTAACTTTTCAACTTAATGTTAGTCTGTCAAAATTAATCAATGGTTGATGATTAAAATTAATTACGTTGTAGTAATAGTTTGGCATCAAATGTCAAAAAGTTGAACATTGGGTCAACACAATCTTCACTTTGTCCACACCAGAAACAATCCCATTGACCAACAACAACAACAACAACAACATGATCCTTCATCCCAACTTCCTCTCTCTCTCTCTCCATGTTTATTTTTGCTGGAAAGAAACACTGTAAACATGATCCTTATGCTTTCTCCATCATCATCATCCTCATCTTTCTCTGTCTTATCTTATATTTTTCCTCCTTTTCTGCTTATCATCTCAATCATCATTCAAACAGACCGTTAACTGTTATGCTTACATTTCAGAAAAAAAGCCCAACAGAAAAAAGAACCATTTAAATTTTAAAGTTTTTTCTCTAATAATAAACACACACAGAGGGAAAATAGGATAGGAGAACCTCTGGTGAGTTGTGACCTCTGAACTTTCAATTCTCTTTCGATATATTTATATATGTACCCTTGTTATTTTCTCTCTCTCCGTTTCTCCTTTTCTCTTCTATTTAATAATCTTCTTGTTTTTCTCCTATGGTTTTGTTCCTTAATCGTTAATTAGCTTTTAATCTTCTTGTTCTTCTTTTATTTCTAACCTTTAGAACTGTCAGAACTTTCTTGTTGTTGTTGTTGTTGTTTCAGGAGAGAAAAGTTTAACAATAGATGTTTTAACGCTTCGACCCACCGCTGATTTCAATGGAGGGAAAATATTATTCAGGGTATTCATCAATTCATCATCAATGATATTAATCAATTCTATTTGTTTCAAGGTTAATAATTAGATTTTCTCTTCTTCTAATATTTCATCCATTCTAAGTTGTTTCTCTTTTCTATGTATTCATTGAGATATCATTTTCCTCATCATCCGCATCACTTTCATCGTCATCATCATCATCATCATCTTTTAACATGCACTTCAATTGCTTCCAATTTGTTGGAAGGAAAAAATTTTTACCAAAAAAAATGGTTTACTTTTTATGGATTAACCAGAAATTGACTAATTGCTTAGGATTTACGGTTGATTGAAATTGAAATTGAAATTGCGATTGATTCATTTATCACAAATGACTGAGGAGATAATCAATGAATTTTGAATGAATAGTTCAACAGAATAGTTTGAGTAACATCATGTAATTACTTAGTCTTGAATTACTTTTAATTGTTGAAAGATTTAAATTGTATTCACTTACCGATAAGATGATTGATGAAAAATATATTGTTGTTAATATTGAAATGATTAAATTGTTTTCCATAAACATTTGATTGTTTTTGTTGTTGTTGATTTAGAAAATTTCCAAATGAGATGATGTTTAATTTATCACGATAATCAAATCATGGTGAATTATGATGAATTTGAACTAATCACTTTTTGGGAGAAAAGAACAACTTTTTTCATTCAGTTACAAAGATTTCCGATAATCCGATAATTGAGATTAGCTTAATTGCTGGAGAAAAACAAAAGTTGAACTCGAATAACAATTTATTTAGATTAAGTTACATGGTTGTTTAGTTAATCAGAGAAATAGATAATTAATATTTTATGTAAACAATTTGAAGAGAAAAAAAAATTTAACACTCACTCAAACGATTCTTAAAGTAAACTAAAAGATGAAGATGAAAATTTGGATAAAGATGAAGATAAAAAGATGAAGATGAAGATAAAAAGATGAAGATGATGATGAAGAAGAAGATGAAGATGATGAGAAAGAGAAAAAGAAAAAGGAAAAAGAAAGAAAAATATGATAAAAGCTGAGGAAAACATAGAATTCAAAGCTTGATTACAATGGAAAACTGATCAATTGTCTCATGCAAATTAATGGAAAGTAAACTAAATAAACAAAAGTTTAATTATAACAATTAACTAAACGAATTTCGAGCTGAATATTTTCCCCGATAGATGACGCTAAGTTCCGGGAGAATTTCGAATTTGATTACAGTTCCACCTATCGAGTGGTTGAAGAACTAAAAATTGACGCCATTTTGATAACATGAGAAAACCAGTTCTTTGATTTCTCGATTTATGATTAACAGTTAACTGGATTAATTGTGATCAATTAAATTTGACAATTAATCAGTGAAAATCTCCTTTCCTAGTCAATGTAATTTATGTTAACTTTTTTTTGTCTTAAACATTTTCGTTTACAATGTGAACTAATCAATAATTTATTAATCTCTTCATCAATTTAATAAACCATTTTTCTTTCACCAAGATGAACATCAATTTGTGAGTATTAATATTTATTCATCTCTTTGTGTTGATTATTCTTAATTTTGATTAACTGAAGAAAATAATTCGTATTTATTTTTAATTCTTTAATTGTTTGTCCATTTGGTTTAAAATAGGAATACTCCAAGTTATCTTGGTCAACCTGAAATTGATGAGAAAATGAGATCTGGTTTTTGTGAACCTTATCGAGGGACAGTTTGTTCCCAGGTAATTGGTAATCAAACAATTTACGTTGATTCTGAAGGTAGTCAAGATTCAATGGAACAAAAAATTGGAGCAGTTTTCACCGTAATTAAATCATCTCGAGATGTTTCCCTTCAATGTCATCGATTTGCAATTCCTTCATTGTGTTTCTCTGGTTTTCCTCTTTGTAATCAAGATCTACCTCAACCTAAACCTAGACAGGTAAGCCTATGGGTTAACAAATCATCAATTCCATTTCCATAAACAGAACATTAATCTTGTTTCCATACTAAACTTATTCCTTACACCATGAAATTAAACATTGTATTCATGTGAAAATTTGGAAGAAAAAAATTCACAACAAAAGCTAAACAACACAATAGGTCAGCAACTTCACTTAATAGTCTAATCTAAAGGTCTATGACTTTACTGTTATGATATGTAAATGTCTATGGATATTTATCTTTAAACTATAGATTCAACTTATTCAATGTTCTCATGTAAGAACTGAATAACTATTGTATGGAATTTCATGTAATCAAATTGCGTTCAAAATGGATCTTGAATGATGATTGTTAACTTTTTATTCTGCTGGAAATTTTTCTCTAGGATTTAATGTTTATCGAGAAATTTGTTATTCATTTCATTATGAAAAATGTATTATTATTATTATTTTATTAGGTTTGTCGCGATGAATGTGAAATGTTGGAGCATCAGATATGTCATCTTGAGTACACAATCGCTAAACGTCATCAGTTAATTGGTCAAGCAAATTTATTACCTGCCTGTGAGAAATTGGCTCCATCTGGATCGTTAGAAAGTGCTGATTGCGTGCGATTGGGTGTACCTAATGTTGTCCAAGTTGTCCAAGGTAATTACATAATAATCTCTCCGTAGATTTATCATTTTTAATATCTTCTTTTTATCCCTTAATATCTGCTAAAGATTAAGAGGTTAAGGGTAGAAAATATTGAACATTTATCGATTGGAACACAATTAATGACCACTTATTATTTTCTTATCCAATAAAGATGATACATGTTATAATGGAAATGGTGAAAATTATCGAGGAACAACTTCTAGAACAGTTTCTCGAAGCGAATGTGCTCCTTGGCATGAACAAGTTTTCTACAAAACTGCTGATTATCCGGAATTAATTGGTGGACATAATTATTGTCGTAATCCAGGGGGAATGGAGTCACAACCTTGGTGTTTTATCAGAGATCCAGAGATGAGGAAAGTTCATTGTGATGTACCAAAGTGTGGTCAGTATTAATTAGATTGATCAATCAAACTAACTTGAGTTTCTTTTGAAATAATTTAAAAAGTTATTTTTGTTTATACTGATAAACACAAAAAAAACTAGATGATGAGATTATACTTAATTAATCATGAGGATGATGATGATTGGAAATTGTATATTCTCACGGTAACTCAGACATTAATTTAATTGATTTTCTTACAACTAATATTTTCATTCATGAAAAATACACACAATCTAATTAGATTGTGATTTTGAATGGTTTATATCACATTTATGATTTATTGATTGTATCAACATGGTTTATTATTTATAGCCCTGGTCAATAGCTATTAGTTTGTCATCATAACTGTTTACTTAATGAACAGTAATTATCTTTTTAAATGTTCATTAATCTATTCAGATAACATTCAATGGCTTTTGTATATTAAATACAATTCACTTTAATTTCCGGTAAAGATCGTGCAGAAAATTATCATCACTGTATCTCTCTCTTCTAATATATGTTATCATCTTTATCATTATCATTCTCACTAGATCATAAATCGAACTCTTTTCCTCTTTATTTCCGTTCAATTAATTGTCCTCACAAAAATTACTACCATTTATGTTGACATTTTGAAGGTTATAATCTAATTTATCTTCACTGACCATAGGCAATTTATAAAATTATCATTCCCTGTTGACCATCACTCGAGTAGTAGTACTTGAAGATTGGACATGTTAATCTGTTGCATTATCATCAATATTTTTTTCCCTCAAATTAAGATTCATAGTTGTTACTCTGTTTACCTTATCGATTGTTCAATTTATTTGCTTTATTTCTGAGAATATAATCGATCTTCATATCATCAATCATGTCTTTTAATCAATCTTCTCATTTTTTGACAACAATGTTATTGAACCTGAAAAGTTCAATTTTGATGAAACTTGTTTTGTTTTACTATTTGTGTCTTTGGATTAATTGATTTCTTTTTTTTTCTTATAATTTCAGTTGACAATTTCTGGCTTTATGTTGTTGTTCCAAGTCTTGGTGCTCTTGTAATGTTTATACTTTTGTTGACTTTATGCTGCCTACGACGAAAGCCACGATCTAAATTACCTGGTTCACAATTGAATTGTGGTCGTCAATCAGAAGGATCAATAACCAATTCTCAAACAAGTCGTAATAATATAAATGCAAGTGGATCTTCAGTTGAAATGAATTCACTTTTACCAAAGAAACAATCACATGCAACTGAATATTCATTATCATGTTTGAAGTTTATTGAAGTTCTTGGTGAAGGTGCTTTTGGTAAAGTATATCGAGGTGAATTAATGATGTCACTAACTGATACAGTTCCAATTGCAATAAAGACATTGAAAGAAGATGCAAACATGAAGACTCGTCAAGATTTCCAAAGAGAAGCTGAACTAATGGGAGATCTGATCCATCCAAATATCGTTTGTCTTCTTGGTGTTTGTTTCAAAGAAGAACCCATGTGCATGATGTTTGAATTTATGTCGGAAGGAGATTTACATGAGTATTTGATTACTCATTCGCCGATAACTAATGAGATGGTTGGTGGTAATATCGGTGGAATTGGAGGAATTGGAGGTGTTGGTGGTGTTGGAGGAGGTAAAGAAAAGGATGGAAGTCGAGCTCGAGTATTGGATATAAATGATTTTCTTCACATTTCCACTCAAATAGGAGCAGGAATGGAATACCTGGCAAGTCATCATTATGTGCATCGAGATTTGGCTGCTCGAAATTGTCTTGTCTCTGATCATTTGACGGTAAAAATATCGGACTTTGGTCTTTCTCGAGACATTTATGCATCAGATTATTATCGAGTTCACTCAAAATCTTTACTTCCTGTTCGTTGGATGCCACCAGAGTCCATATTATATGGGAAATTCACCAGTGAATCTGATGTTTGGTCTTTCGGTGTTTTACTTTGGGAAATTTTCTCTTATGGATTACAACCTTATTATGGTTACACTAATCAACAAGTGATCGATATGATACGAGGTCGTCATCTTTTACCATGTCCATCAGAATGTCCACCAAACATTTACTCTCTAATGAATCAATGTTGGACCGAGAATCCATCAGGTCGACCAACATTTAGTCAACTTCATCAACGATTGAGAAATTGGAAAGCAGTTTATAGTAATACAATTGCATCAACAACTTTACCATCAGCAAGTAGCCATTCATCTAGTCATTCAGCAATTAATCTCATGGGATCAACATTATCTAATCCCTATTCTCATCACCACCACAACCACAATCAACACCAACACCAACAACAACTTTCTCTAACACTTGGAAATAGATCCAATGTTAACAATACCTCATCAAATCTTCACCATCATCTACTTCAATCACCTCATCAACCAACCACTTTAACCCAACACTATGGATTAAGTTCAACAATCGGTCGCCAAAACAAGGAACCATCATCAATACTACCTCAGCATCAATTTCCGGTTATGAATCACCAGACAATCCAACAGCATTTCAATAACGCACAACAAAATCAACAACCTTATATACTCAATCAACATCATTTTATCACAACAAATCTTGGATCTAATTCACCTTCATCAATGAGTAATCGAAGCCTTCAAACAATGAAGGCTCATACATTCAAGAATCTTCATAATACTTATAATTAAGATACAATTAAGTAAATCGTTGAGCAATAGCAACTAAATGATGGGATCAAAATCAAATCAGTTACTGACCATAAAATTCATATGAAATCAATCAAATGACTGTGAGATTAACCAGCGAGAGAGGAAAAGTTAAATTGCTCAAATTTTACTCATTGTAAAAACTTAATTGTAACTTCTAATTGAAGAAAATAATATGAATCAATCAACTCATATAACCGAATTTTTATCAACAATTTACACGTGACTTGTTTAATGGAAAAAAACAAACAAACAAACAACAATTACATTTAATTTTCTTTTAATTCTTTTTTCCAACTTTAATTATCAACCTAAATTCAATCCATAGAGTTACAAGTTGAATTGTTAATTGTTCTCATGTGAGAAATTAAATTAACTCTCAACTTCCTCTTTTCTTTTTACCCTCTTTTCTATTTAATAAACATGTTCTTTTTCCACTGATTGTTAAATTGTTATTTAATTTCTCTTTATTATCCATCAACAATTAACGTAATTGACAATTGTGACTCATGATTAGAAGAGGAAAAAACTTGACAATTTAAACTTGAATCATTTTCGACAATCAAATTTAATGGTTACAATGAACGAAACTTAAATTGAACATAAAAATTGTCAAAATTAATTGTTGGACATAAAATGATTACAATCAAGAAATTGAATGAGCCTTGAAAGACAATTAAACAATTTGCATACTTGAAAAAAAAGCCTTTCAACGCAATTTACCAAAACTAATCAACTTCCAATAAGTAAACAATAAGATTACAATTATCATTACAATTAGTTAATTATGTATTTGTATCAGTTAAATTGTCCAATCAATTGTTAACTAGCTATTTATATCACCTGGATTTCCAATGATTATTAATCAATGAAGAGTCTAGACACAATTAATTTGATATTGATTGCGACTAACTAGTTAAGTGTAAAATGATCAATGAGATTTAATTGTTAACAAGCCAATAACTAATCATATTTACAATTAATAATCCGATCTGATTTCCATTAAGTTTGCCAGCAGAAAACAAAAGGAATAGACAAAAGTTAACCAATGAAAATCCATTAGAATTTAAAATAAACTCCAATTATCCATAATGAATTCAATTAGTAAATAAAATACTTGATAATTGTTGGGAAGAAAACAACAAAAAAAAAGAGACAATTAAATTTAATTGCTGGAGAAAAAAAAGAGAAGCGGGAAAAAAGAAAATTTGAAGAATTTTAGTCGAAGAAAAAGCCAATAGATGTCACTGATTTTCTACAAGACGCATGGTTTTTTTTTTCCAATAAATTTTTTCGTTAAAAAGAAAAGCATTTTTTGTCTGTTGGTTTATTATCTTTCTTTGGTTAGTTTAATTGTGATTAGTTTTGTTAATTGTTTGCTGACATTTGTTTTTGTTAATTGATTTAATTTACGTGATCATTAGTTTAAAGAATAACTGAAGGAATTACAATGAACAGCGCTGAAGTACTTAACGATCCTGAAGCTTTGGCTTTCATGCAATCAAAGCTCGCTGGTATGGTTGGTAATTTGTCCGGTTATTATGATTCATTACCTAAATCAATTAAAAGAAGGGTTAAAGCCTTGAAAAAGTTACAAGTTGATTATCTCAAATTGGAATCACAGTTTCATAAAGAGATGCATGCTGTTGAATGTAAATATAACGCTTTATATCAAGGATTATTGGTTAAACGAGCGGATATTGTAAACGCCTCATATGAGCCCAAGGATGAAGAATGTGATTTCCCTTCGGATGATGAAGACGACGATGAAGATATTAAGGAAATTGATGGTGATGATAAAACCGGTGAAGATGGTGATAAGGAGAAAAAGCTTTCCAAAGATTTGGAAGAGAAAATGAAAACAGATGAACCTGAGGATGATGATGAAGATACCAAAGGAATCCCTGAATTTTGGTTAACCATTTTCAAAAATGTTGATCTTATTTCAGAAAATATTCAAGAATGTGATGAACCCATTCTTAAGCATTTAACTGATATTAAGGTCAAATTGGTTGAAAATCCAATGGTAAGCTTGTCCGCCATTTTAAAATTCTCAATCATCATCATAATCTTAATATCCAACAATATTATCTTTTGCTTGGGTTTCTCACAAATGGATATTGATAAGATAATAATGATTTGCTTTTTTCTCTTTTCTTTTCTTTTAGAGTTTTACTTTAGAATTCTATTTTAGTTCTAATGAATTCTTCACCGACAGTGTTTTGACCAAAACTTATGAGCTTAAATGCACTCCTGATGAAACTGACCCTTTCTCATTCGAAGGTCCAGAAATTTCTAAAGCAATTGGGTAAGAAATTTTATCTATTCTGACCTTGATTGTCTCTCTCTCTCTCTCTCTCTCTCATGTTGCTTCATATGTAGTCAACTCGTGGCATGTGCTTACTAACCATGTGATTTTTTTTTCTTCTCTTCTCTTTGATGACTCAGCTGCAAAATTAATTGGAATGAAGGTAAAAATGTTACAATTAAAACCGTTATGAAGAAACAGAAGCATAAAGCCAAAGGATCAACCCGAACTGTTCCTAAAGAAGTTCAATCAGATTCATTTTTCAACTTTTTCGCTCCTCCTGAAGGTAAGTGTAATTGTTGAATATAATGTAACCATATTCCTTACCTCTTTCTTTTTGAATTATTAAATTTGATTCTCTGATTAATCAAATTTTGATTTTGTGTATTCTCTTCCAGTTCCAGAAAATGAAGAAGATATCGATGAAACTACCCAAGAAATTCTTTCGGCTGATTTTGAGATTGGAGAAATTATCAGACATCGTTTGGTTCCACGTGCGGTTCTTTATTTCACCGGTGAAGCCATGGTAGATGACGATTATGATGAGGATGATGAAGAAGATGAGGAAGAATATGATTCTGATGATGATGAAGATGATGACGACGACGATGAAGATGGAGAAGGTGATGATAACGAGGTTAAAGGGCGTAAACCACGTAAAAAGCGAGGACAAGCTAAAAATCCCGAAGAATGTAAACAATCATAATCATAACATTGATCAAATTTAAACAAACAAAATTTTCTCTTCTCTTTCTGGTACCATAATTGATCAATCAATTGATTACTAACATTCTTGTTTATCGAATCCTTTTCTCTCTCTCTCTCTCTCTCTCTCTCTTTCTTTCTCTCTATTTCTCTTCTTTATCATCACCATTTTTGCAACACCAACACATGATACTAATTTTCAGTCTCATCAAAAGTTGATCTTTAAATTGTTCCCCTTGAAATATATAACCAATCAAGTGAATTTATCCTCCACACATATAAACAAAACAAAAATCACTCACAACATGCTCTTAATGATGATGGGCTAATTTTATTATTACCAATAAAGAGATCGCTTTGAATTTAATTTTGCAAAAAAAAACCCATAAGATTTACAAGATAATTAACACATCGATGGAAATTGTTATTCTAATTATGATTAGTCTCAATTTAATGATCGATCACATTACACCACATGATATGTGTTTTCTTTTCTTAATCAATTGAATATCGGGAATATTTTTCATTGAGACTTTGAGCCAACTCGCAACTAGAGTGAAATATTGATTCGCTTTCAGGTGATCATCAAATGGACATTTCGAAAGTTTAAAATCACCTGGACCATTGGACCATTTTGTTAATTGCCAATAACCTTCTTCCAAAACTCTAGCCCCCTTATTCCGATAGAAAGCATCCTCATTGTTTCCAGCTCGTTCCTCTAATTGTGATCTTATGTATTGATGGACCAGTTTGATAATCGAAGATAATAAACTCGAACAGGGAAAATGTCGCATTCTAATGAAGGTACAAACGGCTTTGAAATGGAACGGAACAATATACTCATTGGGTATGAGGAATAAGTGTTGATTTTGTCCAAGAACGAAACGAATAATCGGATTGGAATAGTAAAAGGAGTAAATCGAACACCATTCGGAGCAATTACAGAATTGATTGTTCGTTAATTGTGCTGTCAAAAGAGTTGAATGTTCTGTTAAATTGTCCCAGTAAAAGTTTCTCGAAGTGTTTTGAGAGCATAAAAATTTATCAACAATCGCAATTCTATCAATTGAACCCGAGCAGTTAATTGATTCTGTTGATTGTTGATACGATCGTTTTCTCCATCGATAATGGAAAAATCTTGTAATCAGTTGATGATGAAGTTTCCAACTTTGGCGAAATAAATTGTAACCACCACAACTCAATTTCGGCCTTAGTGCCCATCGCAATTTCAATAGTAATTTAATCCTTGATGATTCGGGTACTAATCCAGTTACATTGAAATACTTTGTTGTCCCATCCCAATGAATCTGTGAAGGGGTTAATCTAAATACTAACAATGACTGTGAATTATAACAACAGGATAAAGTGTATGGACATGGATTAAGATTGCCTGAGGCATTTGGTTTAAGAACAATTAACTTCAAGGAGATCATTTTATCATCGTCAATAACTGAATCAGGTAAATTGAGAAACATGGTCTCCATAGTTTTAGATACATAATCGTAGATCGCAAGCCAAGGTCCATTCCTTTGGAATTGAAATAATTGCATGGAAAGTGAATGAACTTTCCCTGAATCGTCCGTGTATTCAGCTACCAGGAAAACTTTATCTTCAGTCCTTCTAGAGGCAATAAGGTTAATTCCCTCTGAAGAGATCAGGTAAATATGAAGATAATAAGTAAATGATTCAGCTTGAAATCGAGACTGATTCAATAATCTATCACGAACTCGATCATCAACTAAAGGAAGGCAACATACATCAGCCATAGAATCCATGAAATTGTTCAATTTTTCTGAATAAACAATAGTTTCTTTCGAGGCCAAACAACGGAACGTGATCAAGAAAATGGTACAACAATGAATAAAAAGCTTCTCATTTGGCTGTAAGAAAACATCATCATCATCATCATCCTCGAATATTGGTCCACATTTAGCTCGAATGTCCAATGTTTGTTTACCTTTCATAAAGAAAATTATTCCTTTCTAAAAGAAAAACAATAACAGATTAACGGTAAATTATCCAACCCTTTGAACAATTAATTATCCTCATTAGTATATCATTTAGATATAATCAACATTTCCTTGATTAACTTGTCAAAAAAATGGAGTAAAAAAACAACAAGAATCTCTCATTAGGGAAACTTTTTTTTTCTTTCGTCTTCATCTACTAATTTCCTATGGGAATTAATAATACAAAAGCCACTAGATTAAATTGTTTGTCATTAAGCTTAAATGGTTAATCAACATGATGAAATTAATTGTAATTAAAGGTGATGATGATAATAGTAATACAATTGGAAATGTATCATCAACGTTGAGTTTGGTTTTCTCCCATGTTAGATTAAAGAAACAGTTTACATTACAATTAACGAGAAAAATTAACTAACACTAATCAACAATTAATATCATCTCAATTTTCATTTACACTAATCAACGTTTCCCTCACACTATCCTTAATTGTCAGACATTAATTAAGACACTAGAAAGCAAATCAAATGAATGGAAACATTTTTTACTTTGTATCATTTATTGTTTTTTAATTTTCGTCACAATCAATTGATTGATTCACCTTTTTGTTTGTCCATTGATTATTTAGCTAATTGTTTGACCTAATTTATCTCTCACTCAATGATAGTAAAATTGATTAGCTGGATAATTAATAAACAAAACTGAATTTCTGCCAACAGTTAAATCAACATCAACAATTAGGAAAACCAATGTTATTTAATGATGGAAATTGTGTCATCAGGAAATGTTTGTGTCCGGTTTTGATGGAAAAGGAAAAAAAGTAAATCAAAAGTTCAATGGAAATTAACAATTAACAAATCATCAGTGTTCATATTTAAACTGAATTTGCGTTTTTTTCGTTGTTTATCTAATCATTTCAGGGAGAATTAGTTAATCAGGATGAATTCTGGTGATTTAAAGGAGATTCTTACATTGTTTCGATGTAGAAAATTATTATAAACCAGAACCTGAATCCACTTATTGGGGAAAATAATGATAATCACAATTGAGATTTAAATGGAATCGAAATGATTAAGAAGATGATTTTTAATCTTCCTTTACATTATCTTCATCACCTTTCATTTTCCATAAAAGATGATGAATTAATTAGAATGATGCAAAAAAGAGGATTAGTTTTTAAGTCTTTTCTTCATCTTGGAATTTTTTTCTCTTCATCCATATTATCAACGATCAATTCCCATGAGATGATGATGAGGATGATAAAAGAAAAAGGAAGAGATGGAAAACAATAATTTCCTCTCTCTCTTTCTCTGATTTACCTTTTTTCTCTTCTTTAATCATCAACATAAGGTGATAATCTATTAATAGTAACCTGAATTATCATTTTCAGTTCAAGTGAGCGTAAAATTTAATTCATGGAAATCATGATAATAACAATTATTATTATCTTCAACTTATGATCCAAATTGATTTTTAAGAGAAATTTTCATTTTTTGAAAAACATGAAATTATCTGCAAGGAATTAACAGTTTTCATGGTTCATGATATTCATAATATTATATGAGACACCAAGGAATTGATCATGTAGATCATTAAATCAAAGATAATCTAAATATCAGATATTTGCTTTCAAACTGAATTCATTGGAAACATTTTACATTCTCATTGTGATGAAATATTCTGGTCACATTTTGGTGAATCATTTAATCCAGTTATGGTCAATCTGTTGACATATTAACACGATTTCATCATTTTTCACTTCCATCAGTGACAATTTATCAACACAACTAAAACAAATTCAAGTAATAATAATAATCATCACAATTTTGACCAACCTGTAAATAGTATTAACATGAAGGATGAAACTTTCTTGTGTATCGGTTAACATTCATTTGCAATTGTAATCAGCTGATTGTCGCCTGTTAAGTGTAAACATTTACAGGAAGAAAAAAAAAGTTGTGATTCTTCATTTGTATCAGTTGAACCTTAAACTGAATATAATGAGAAAAATGAATCAGAAGAAGGTGAAATCATGGTGAGAATAGTTTTGAAAATTCTGTACCATTCAATAAGATTATCATTTATTTTTTTCTCGAGTAAAAAAAAAGTTCATCCCCTCCATGAAAATGGCGACATATTATCAACATGTTTACAGTTTTGTCCTCATAAAAAGTGTCACAATGGGAGAAAGTATCATAATCATACAGCTAAATCGTGACTTGATTCACATTAATTCTGATTAAAAATCAACATAATTCAGAATCAATAGAAAACATGTTACCTTTCAAAGCGAGAGAAAAAAAAAGTCCAAACAAACTTATGAGCAGTTCGAAAGTGTCTTCGAACTCGTTAGAACATTTTCCCCTTTAAACAGAATAACTTCCAAGTTTCAAAAGAAAAACCTAATTAATCATATCATCAGCTGAGATCATCTTCCAAAAACTAACTCTGTAATTAATCATCTCCTTCCCCTTTAATTATCAGATTAGTGAATGAAAAAGTCGACGAAAATAATGAACATACGATTCGAAATGTTCAAAGAGAGAGAGAGAGAGAGAAAAAAGTTAATTCCTGAAAATGATGAGAGATATTAATCTTTATTGTTACATCATTTTCTTGGTGTTTTCGGTATAATTAATTGAGAATCACAATGAAATCATGTTCCTTGTTATCTTGATTACTTTTTAAATTGATTGACAAACTACAAAAGGGTAAATTAAATTGTGAATCTTTTTTTGTTCATCATAATCAGTAACAAGATAAACTTTTTTTTTCCTCTCTCATGATGATGATGAGTTTTCACATTATAACGGTAAACAAACAAGTAACACCTTTTTTCATAATATTATCAACTATCAACAGGGAAAGAGTTGACATGATTATTATTGAATGATGAGGAAGATGAAGATGAAGATGATATTATTATTATCATGGTGATGAATTTTAATATTTAATAAACTTGAAGATAGAAAATGAAACCTCTCTCATAATATGATATTACCATAATAAGGTCGAGTTAATTTAGAAACAAGAGTGACACTATTAATACAATTAGATTTACGATTGTAATCATTTTTAAATTTTCTTCTAATTTAGTTGATTTATACAATTGAATAACTGAATCAGTTTTAAATCAAATTGTCATTTAAACTTTTTTTTTGTTCTGTTTTCATTACATTTGTGGTTAATTGTTATTGTAATAGTTTGTTCTGATTGTTTTTTAGTTTAATTGTGTTAATATTGAAGAAAAGTTTATACATTTTCTTGTTGATTGACAGTTAATATTGAGATGTTATTGATTAACTGTTGAAATTTGTCAAGTATTTGTGAAGAAACTGAAACTTGACTTGAAATGTCAACGATTTTTTTTATTAATCAAGTCAATTTGAAGATGATACCGTTAATATTAATATTCATTGAACAATCAATCAATTTCATTGAATCTTTGTCCATCATCATCATCATATTCCTGACATTATTTAGAGTTACTATTAAGTCTTGTTCACTTGTCATCATATTCTGATGTTATGAAATTTAAATGACCAATACGAATGTCCAGTTGAACGAGAAAACAAAAAGTTTAATTGACTCCAATTTTATTATTATCTCAATAATAATCACGATGAACCTTTTGATTTATGTTGATTATCGTTAATTGGACTATGATTGTTACAGAAATTATCATGAGCGATACATTGATTGTTATTCGATGAGATGAACAATTGACCATTCGGACAAGCACAAAGGGACAGTATGTTTGGATAACTTTTACCAGATCGACTTGCAACTACCGTTTTTAGATTATCCAAAATAATCCATGTAGAATTAAGGTTAATCTGTTATAAAAAGAAATCAAAAATATATATTAATCACTTTAATGATTAAGAAAAACATAGAAAGATAAAAATTAAAGGTATCGAAATCCTAATCATCATAACAATCAAAGATTAACACACATAAAGTTGTCAAAGTTAATTGTTATTACTATTAAATGGTAAACATGATAACACAAAAGTATCAACAACCAACAGTAACAATCATAATTGCTCTTGATTGTTGTGGATTAAAGATTGAAAATTAATCCAATTGAACTTGACTGTTCACTCAAGGAACTCGAGGAGGATGAGATAATTTCTTCAAACCCTAATCCCTAATATGATTTCACGTCGAATTGATTTGATTTTTCCATAGGAATTGTTAACCAGCGTGAAATAACGGTTAACCAACCTTGAATTAATTCCAACTTTTTTTTTCTTATTCTTTTCTGTTATTCTCAACAACTTTAAAGGTAAGACATTTATATTAGCATTCTCAAAGATTTTCCTTGCTTATCCAAGCTTAGCTAATTACAGAATCCTCTTCTCTCAATGTTATGTCTTCTATTAGCATTTAAATTATATTCATTATCTTTACAGTTATACTTTCACTATCGACTTATAATTAATCGGAATCGGGTTAAAATTTGACATTTGATTTTTTCATTGTTTCATTGAGAGTTTTATTAAATTGTATCATTTTGATTGAATATCTCTCTCTCTCTAGATTTTCTTTGGTAACAATTAATCAACCTGAATGAACATTTTGTTAAAAGATGATCAAAGGATCAATAAGATGAGGATGCTGATGATAATAAGAAATTGGAAAGATTAACAAGTTAATCGATATTAGAGAAGATGAATCCAAGTGTAAATTGTCAGGTAAAAATAATAATCTTTTCAATTGATTATTTTTGGTTAATTGAGTGAACAATTTTGTCTCAATCTTGTCAATTGCAATTTAATAATAAAAATATAACACTGAGCAATCTAATCAATTAAAGGTTAACGATTAAACCTTTCATGCTGTTGAGTTATTAGACTTTCTCTTACCTTTCGGTTAGTTGAAATTAGTTGAAAATCTTTAAGGCTTTCGATTGTAATATTACCATAATTTGCATCCAGATTAACATGATTAATTGATTTGATTAATATTCGCCGTGTTGATGAGCTGATACTAAGATTTAAGGGTAAAGGTGATGAGGATAAAGATGATGAACATTTAACGGAAGTTGTTTGAATTGATCCCTGTAGTTGAACTTCATCTGAACCTAAGGGATAAAGTTAATTACATAAAACTGATAGTGTTAATGATGAAGATGAGGATGAGGATGAAGATGAAGATGATATGGATAAAGTAAGAGCGGAAATTAAGAAAAGAGGAAGATGAAAAAAACTCAAGAAGCAAAGGTTTCTATCTGATCATGTTTTACCTTTTATATCTTATAAATAAATAATTGATTCTGTTAATATAGTTGATTGTTTACCTGTGATCTTAATCCTTGTAGGAGTTAATTTAAGTCCTTCATCATCTAAGGTTAAAAGTGGTTTTCCCAAATGATTATTAATTGTTAATTGGTCCGAAACAGCGACAACAGTTGATTTAGTTAACTGTAATTTATTTCCAATTTTACCATCACCAGAATCTTTACCGATTCTTAATTCAGTTCCAATTTTTGAGCTAATTCGGATTCTTTTATCCTTAATCATTTTGTAGTATTTTGTTGTTGTTGTTTGATTGATTGATGGATTAATTAATCAAATAAAATGTTTCAACAAGAATATAAATTAGCTAATGGAAAGGTAAACAAATGGTTGGTTCTATTGGTCAGTTAATTGTTATCATTTCTTACCTTTGGCGATGAGATTCTGGGTGAGATTAAATCTTTAAGGAAAAAAGCTTGACCATTGAGCTTAATACTTTGAGAATCAATTGATAAACTTCCCATTCCATCCTGATGATTTAACAGGTAAAGAGAGAAATCAATTAGTATTGATTAGCGATGATAATCAAGAGGAAAAAAATTAACCCAAACAATCAAATCAATTGATAGAATCCAATTGATTCCTCTCGTTTAAAAGGTAAAGGTTGTATTCTAATAGTAAAGTTTTCTTGTTGAACAATTTACTTTACAATCAACACCATTAACATGATCATCATCATCAGAATCATGGTAATCATTATTAACCATATCCCGAATAATATTTTTTTTCAGTTAAATTTCAATTTCCTTTTCCTTTTTTGGTTTGAAAACTTTTTCTCCTCTTTTATTTTCACAATTACCATCAATTGAATCGGTATATGTGTACATGCCCTTAGGGCTTTTCATCCTAAATGTAACTTCCTCTTCTCAAGGTGATGATTATCTTGAATGTTTAAATATCTACAATAAACATTTAACCATAAATTAATTAACTCTAAACCCAATTAACAATAATAACCTCAAGTCATCAACTCTGGTAACCTTTAAGTTTGATTAATAAACAATATTAAACATCAATAACCAATTAATAGTTTCCAAATGATGATAATCTTTGATTAATTTAATCATTTGAATTTTCCAGTTATTACCATTGAACAACAATCAGTTAATCAGTTGGATTAACTAATCACAAGTCTTCAATTGTTGTTGTTGTTGTTGATTTGATTTGATTACTTTGTATTTCATATATAAAATTGTTAACTGGATTAATTGTTAACAATAAATCATCAGGTTTTACTTTGATGGTGATTTAATTAATTTAGATTTGATTTATAATGTCATTAAATAAGTGTAATAATAATAACATATGAAAACATATTAACAATATTTTCATGATTAAATTGGACAATAAATTGCTACTAAAAGTTAAATAAGGTGTAAACAATTAATTATCAAACCATAATGATTAAGGTAAATGATGGCGAAAATCAATAAAATCTAGTTAATTGTTGAATGTTAATTGTAAACAATTAGTTGATTAAATGTTCAATTAAATAGTTAATTAACTTTTCTGATGGTTAAGTTAATTGTTAAAACAAAGTTGCTTCTGTTAATGATTAGTTTTAATTTTTAAATGAATAAATTATAACTGATAAAAAAACTAATCACAATTCACAGGTTCAAGTGTTCAAATGATGATTAACTAACTACTAAATGATTATGATTAGGATTTAATGATTAATAGTATTGGTAGACTGTCATATTCAATTAAACTGAATTAAAGGTGAACAGGATTAAGGTTGAAAAGGTAAATCAAAAGGGATCAATGATTAAGTAACATGATATACAATTGATTTAATATATAATCGTAATGATAAATTGTTATGTCAACAGAATTGTGATTAAGGACGAGGAGAGGAAAAAAATTAAAGGTTAAATTGATAATTTATTTGATTCCATTTTCATCTAATATTGTGATAATCATAAATATTATTATTATTATTTTCATGATGATGATGATGATTATTATTATTATTGTTATCATGATAATGATCATACTGGTTAACCTAACAACTAAATATTGACACAATATCAGGTTAATTCAGAATCTAATTCACAACATGATATCATGGGAGGGAAATCATTATTATCCTGTTCTGATGGGAAAGGGATGAGGATAAAACGATCAAGATGATGATGATGAAGATGATGATGATGATGTTAATAAATTATCACCACAGTTAATTAATTTATTATAATTACTATTTGAGTTATTATTGTTTCTCTTTATTATTATTGATTAGCAATGTTATCAACTTGTGAAAGGAAAGTGATTTAAAAGTGAAAATGTTACTTTTCAATCAGTTTCAAGAATCATTCACTGATTGTGTGTTGATGAAGATGTGAAAACATGATGATCATGATGAGGAAAATCAAAGGAGTAGGAAAGGTCAGTTCTAAGGGTCAATAGTAAATATGGAATACAATTGAACCGGAAAGATTGACCAGCTAACCATGAATCTTTGTTTACCATCAATGTGTTGTTTTTGTTACTATTTTTTTGTTTTGTTTCATCATAACTGTAAATTTGATGATGATTATCATGTCAGTAGATAATCATGATAAGCCATTAATCATATATATTGTTTACTTTATAAATGAATGTATTTTTTGCACCAAAATTTCATGATGATTATCATGATTTTTCATTGATTAATTGACTTTTTCTATCAGTCAACTTGACTAGATGTTCATTGGATCAATTGAATGAAAACTTTTCAAACACTATCCCGATTGTTATTAAATTACTTTACAACAATTTACTTGATCTCAATTTAATTCAATTTGTAAATTTTTGAAAATTTCAATGAAAATCCAATTGAAAATTCAGTGAAATTATTTCAAGAATTCAATGAGATTAGTTTGTAAAATTGTCTCGTTAATGAAAAACAAAAGGTTGTAACAATTTAAGATTAAATTGTAAAAAGTTTTCATTCAATTGACTTAATTGTTTACTAACCATTGAGAAATTGATTTGTGCCATTATCCAAATTGTTGTTGCTCCATTAATTATCACTAAAATTAAGATCACAGTTAAAACAATATAAACAGTTAATCGTTTCCAATTGTAATAAGGCTTAATTATTGACGATGATGGTGAAAGATTAACTAAATCACTTGGATGGAAACTATTAATATTATTAATATGAGCTTCATGTTGACCAATTAGTAAATTAGTTGGATCACCAGTTGGATTAAAGATTAACCCATTGGTACCTTGATTATTGCCATTAATTGCATGATTAGATTGTAGATGATGGTGTTGGGTTGATTGTTGATTATGATGGTCAAGATCAATCAAATCAGATGATTGATGGTGATAATGGTGAGATTGTTGTTGATTAGTTAAAAGTTGATCATCTAGACATATTGGATTATCTTTAATTGTTACTCTAGGAAGTGTATTTCTCAATGAATTTGGTAAAGTTGATTTGTTAACAACATTAGTAAACATAAGGAATTGTAAGAATAACAATTAATCATCAAAGAGTAATATTATTAAACACAATTAAAATTCAAATCAACCTAAGATTAACAGGGAACTGGATTAGTATAGATTAACATTTAATCATGAAAATCTATGAGAAAGTTGATGAAAAGTTTTGTTTATTTGTTAGGAAATTGAATTTTCGAGTCATTCAAATTTATTGGAACTTTTTGTTTTCGTGTTTCAATGAACGTGTTCAGTTGAATTCAGGTTTTGATCTGAAACGACTTTGAATCAAGATTATCTATGAAAATGAGAATTGTGACCAAGAAGAAGATGATGAGCAGGATGAGAAAGAGGGAGAGAAGATAAAAATGAAGAAGATGAGGAAAAGGAAGAAGAGTAGAGGGAGAAAGAAAACTCTAGCAAAATGGTCTTCGAGAAGACGAAAATCAATGGAGTTACATGTAGACGAGGGAGAAGAAGATGAAAAAAGAGTGAGAAGAATTCAGATGATGAGGAAGGAGGAGAAGAGAAGGAGGAGTGAATATGGAAGAGAGACAGAAAGAGAGAAGAGTTTTGGGAGCTCTCTCACTCTCTCATCTTCATAATCTTTGTATTTTTCTGATTCTTCTCATCATCTTGATCTTTTTTTCGAATTTTTTTTTATAATTTTTTCTTCTTAATCGAAATGAAACTTTTTTTTCCACAGTCGAATCAGTTTCAAATACTTTTCTTATTTTCCATGTAATCATGAAAATGGCTAATCTTCAATTAAGAAATAATCAATTGTTGATTTTCATGCAAATTTAGAAAAAGTTCAATCAAATTGATACTTAATTGTTAATAATTCTATCTCAATGTTGTTTAATATGTTAGAGGAAATGTTACATTTTCGAACCTATAAGTTCTAAGAACCTTTTTCTCGACATTCTTATAAGACGTGATTCTCATGTGATGCCTGGATTGATGTTACCTTGTCTAAAGAAAGAAAGAGAGAAAGATGATAATGATGATGAGTAAGAGAGAGATTCTTGTCATCAAGCTTAATAAACCATCACATACGTGGATCAATATCTTTTTTCATCTTGATCATCATTTCCCATCTTCTTCATCATCTTTGATGCTCATCTCTCAATACTTTTGATTTTACTATCGATAATATTATCACTATTCACCAGTCACACTCCCACAGTTTTAACTCCCACTTCCTCATCCTCATCATCATCCTTGACACCTTCAGTTAACCCCATGTGTAAGTATCATTTTTTTTACTCCATGTAACAGACAACATCAACTACATCTGTTATCATGTTGACATTGAATCGTTTTTTTCTGCTATTATCATTTAATAATATCGCTTATTATCATCGTTTATTATTGCTAATTGATTAACTCATTGATAAAAAATCAATTGTGTCAACAAAGCTTAAAAATTTCAAAGTTTTTCTAATTAATCTGTCTAATTAGTTATGCAACTAACCTGCTAATCAAAATTAACACGAGAGAGAGAGAGAGATGCAGAACTGCAATTGACTTGTAAATTTTGATTAAAGTAAATTAGTAGTCTAAGATAAAATGGAATCATGTTAATGAACCAAATGAACAATTAAATTCATGTTGTCTAAGATAATTACATTGTAACAGAATATCTGATAAACAGGGATGTAAAACACCCTGGGAAGTTATTGTTAAACTGTCAAGTTGATTGTGATTAAGAAGAAGACGAGAAAGATGCTTCAAGTGATGGAGAATGAGAATAATGGAGAAGACAGGTTAGAATCATTTATGATAATCGAAAATTTCATACTTTCTTTGTTTCCAAAGTTTATCCTCATGATGATGAATAAAGAAATAGGATGAGGATACTGGATGAAGATTTACCTGTCTTGTTGTCGCTTCAATAGAAACGGAAAATGTTGATCCTGATCTTGTCGTATTCATGTTGCATCTTTATTATGGTTTATTTTGTGCTCTGTTTTTCACTTGATCAAATATCAGTAACATGATAATACATGAGAAATTACATTAATAACCATATGCATGAACAATAATCAGTGAACCCTAAATCAGAATCAAATGTATTCACCACAATCCCTTACATATTTTAATAGTAGAAACTAATACAATAAGATAACATTAGGATTAAAACCTAATTTCTATTTGATATCTTAATATGAAAGGTTAATCAATAAGGTTTTAAAATGCAATTAGAAAAGTGATCAATCACTTTTCTCGTCTTATTCATTATTGTTTTAATTGTTCAAAATTTCACTTTGAATCTGTTATCATGATGATGTCCCACTTTCAGGATGGACGTTGATAGTAAATCTGATTATTATTTTTATCGCCTTTATCCTGAGGAGATTTAGTCCAGAAAACTGGACGACGAACAAGGTAATCCAATAACCTTTTCTCTCTCTCTCTCTCTCTCTCTCTCTCTCTCTCTCTGTCATTCTTTTTACATCATAATGTTCATTATCATCTTCATCACCTTATTTCACTTGAGAAACAAAAAAAATATCAAAATCTCACTCAGGATTTAACAGGATTTATTGAAATGGATTATCAGATGAACCGTTACTTTGAGAAACTTTTTTTTACTTTTTTTCTTATTTTAACTTGAATTCATTTCTAATATGAATCAATGTAATTTCAATACTCAATCAAATTCTTAGTTCTTGATTATCTGCTTCTCAATTAATCAAAGCTTAAATCAATCATCTCTGTTTCTGTTAATTACCACGAATTAGTTTAATTTAATTTATAAAGTCATTAGGTACATGATAAAGACAATTAAGAAAAGTCTGCAAATGATTGATAATCAACCACCGATGACTTCAAGTGATTAGAATATAAACTTTTCTCGAAACAAATATAACAATGAGAAAAGTTGATTTCTAATTAATACAATAGAATAAGAATTGAATGTAATGTAATACTAAATATTGAGAATTAACTTAATCATAGTTACAACAATTAACAATGTTTTATTATTACAATATATAAGAAAAGGAAAAAGTTAAACATTGAAAACTGTGGTGATAAAAAAAGTATTATAATATTGATTAAAATGGTTGAATTCATTGAATCAACATGGTTTTATCAGTTGGAATCCATTTACTCATTTCATTTATTTATTTATCATGAAACTAACATGGTAGATGAATACATTGATGAATATAATAATAATCATGATGATAATAATGATGATGAAGAAAAAAAATGAAATACCAATCGTATAGTAATAATTTGAATATAAAGAAAAACTCATTTACACCAGAATATTATATTCAATGAATATACATTTTTTCCTTCATGATATCAACCATCATGATGATTCTGACATCCTCTTGATTCTGAGTATTTATATTTTTTTCTCATACCATTATTATTATTACTATTACTGAATTGTTGGTGATAATAAATGATTGGTTAAAGTTATCGGATTATTTGATATTATTTAAATTTACTGTTACACTTACATTATAATGATACATTTATCTCTTTGTTATAAAAAAAATATAATCAATTGATTGTTTGGTAAGTTAAGTTAATCATAATATGAGGTAAAAAATGATCATGTGTGTAAATTGATCAAGACAATTGAAATTGATCAGGATCATGAATTGGGAGTCAAAATTTATTTATGGAGTAAGATTATCACTCCCAGTTACTCCTATTCTTATATATGTATGTGTGTGTGTGTGTTTGAATAAATGACAGGGAGGACTGAATGAATTCAGGTTAAATTTCAACTTCGATTCAATTTAGAATTTAAAATTAAATTGATTCTCTTTTTTTTCATGTGGAGATCAGGTTATTTATTCATTATGAGAATACAAGGAAAAGATGATTAATCAGATCAATAATTTTCGACACATTTCGATTAACTATTAGTTGGATAGGAATAAAGTTCTAGGAATACTCAAGACGAATAAAATAATCGGCAAAGACAGAGAGAGAGAGAGAGAGAGAAAGTGGTCATATTGTCCTGAGGAGAGAAAATGAATACTCAGGTAAGATGATGATTCTCAAGGTAAATAAGATGTAACTATGAGGAAGAAGAACAAATAGAATCAGGGAATAAGATAGAAAAGAGGAAAAGATGATCAAGATTGTCGAAAATGAGAGAAGGTGGTTAAAAGGTATGAAAGGTGGATAGAGATATAAAAAGAAGGTTTCGAAAGGCGTTGAAGCGTTTTCTCTCTCTCTCATTCATCGTAAAGATCTTTGGAAATGCAATTAATGAAATGAGAAACACACAGTTGACTGATTCTCGGTTGATGTATCATCATCATCATCAGTAGCAATAAACAAAGTCATCTGCTAATACAAAGAGTATAAGGATAAGCATCCTCATCTTTTCTTCCTCATCTTCTTATTAAGATGCAATCACAACTCCCCAATCTCTTACAATCTCTTTCGACATATTATTTGACCTTTTTTCTCTCCTTTTTCGTTGTTATTTTCTCTCGCAACTTCTTTTACCTTTTTTCGGATAATTATCATCATCTTAACTAAAAGTCGACGAAATTATTATTATATCAAAAAGAAAACCTATAACAATGATAATCTTAATAGGAAGAGAAATTATTATTACAATTGTTGATCATCATTCTTGTTATCATCATATTCATTCAGACATTTATCTCAATCAGAATGATTTTATCAACATGAAAGGATAATCATGATCATGATCAACAATTAAATGCTGTTTGTTGAAACATAAGTTTGAATAACTAATCAACAAGATATGATTAAGTCTCTCAGAGTGAGATTAAGATGATTAACTAACAATAAATGGTTTTGATGTTGATTGTAAATTAATAATTGTCATTGTAATTGTGATTAAATTTAGAATGGATTAGCTTTTAACAATATGAATTTGAAACAATTAAAAGTAATTACTGTTGATAATTATGATGTTTTCGTTGATTATTTGGCTAATGAAGCCTTTTGTTATCACCAAACCAGGCAAAAGGTTATCAATGGTTATGATTTATATTTTTCTGTGAGTAACTTAATTGTTATCATCATGATTAACCGAGTTAATTTAATTCAATTCTATCTGATTTAATCTGAGAGCGGAAAAACTGAGATATGATAATGTTGATTGTTTACATTTTCCCATTGTTGATAATTAACCATCAACAAGAACAACAATGAGAGTGTAAAAAAACTAACCGAAAATTTAATTAATCTAATTATCATCACAATCAATCTTGATTGTTAGTTAGTTTCTCTCTTAAATTATCATCACCATCAGCATTTATCATTTACTTTTTTTATCATAATCTTTTTTTAGTCAATTTAGTCCATCAGTTGATTGTTTAAGCTAATCAGTTTACCGTTATGTTTGGTTTAGTACAATTTGTGGTTACAAATTTGTAAATTGAAAATGTTCATTGATTGTTACTGATTTTCATTCATTTGTGAATAAACCATTAAGGTTGGCAACAAATGAAAACAAGTAATTCACCGGATTATTATTATACCCTCAGGCTAAATTATGAACAGTTGCTTCATCCGCTGGAGTTGTTGGTGTTGTTGTTGTTGTTGTTGTTTGGTTGTATTATCATGAAGTTGGAAGGGAAAAATTTTGATGAAAGAAAAGTAAAACTGGAAAAGAAAGAGAAAAATAGAAACTGAAATAACATGAGGCATATACTACGAGGTGAGTTACTGATAAGTGGATCATAATGGCTCAAGAATGGGATACATGATGACTCCCATGTGGAAAAGGAATCATCATCATCATCACCATCAACTATAACTGTAACAACTGCAACAGCAGCAACATCATTACCATGACAATGATCATCTCCCAAGTGGTATCAACATCTTCCTCTCTCTCTCTCTCTCTCTTTACTCATCCTTCCTCCTTCATCTTCATCCTCATCCTCATCACCTCCTCCTATTCATAACTTTTCTCCCTCTTCTTCAATCTCACTTGCTCCTTTTCTTAACATTGATTCTGACTCTTTTTCCTTTATAACAAACATGTAAAAACTTAATGTTCATACAAATAAACATTAAATTGGTTAACCAAAAAAGTTTACCTGACTTTTTGTTACTCTCATGGTCCTGTCATCACATCATCTCCATCACTAATACAGTTGAAATTTTCATCATTAACCATTATATCAAATCATTGTTACTGTACAGTGTGTTGTTAACGGTTTGTTGATGATGGCCCAGTATCTTTTTGCATCCCTGTAACAATCAATTGAAAGTTGATTGTTAATCTTAAAAGTGTAAAATAGTCCAATGATTTGATCATTAGAGTCTTGATTAACTTTTGAGTTAATTGTAGTAAGATGGACTTATTATGGTTAAAGTAACTTACGATTAGATTATCAAGACTGTTGATTGTTTATCATTAAATTGTTCACATTAATCAGGTCTGTTAATAGTGTGAACAAGTGTCTTTTACATGTAATCATCTTAATTGCAATTTAAAAATAACTTGGCAACAGTTTAAGAATTAAAGTACCAGAGAAATGGAAAAGTAGAAATAATCAAATTCGAAGCCAAAAAAAAGTTCTAGTTGTTTTTTTGCTTCAACTTTCGAAATAATAATAATAATTGGATAAAGATTCTTTTATAAAACTAATTTAGAAATTAAGGAGAACTTGATTAGACAATTGTTCATTTGAATACGAAAGAAAATTAGTTGTTTATTATTTCGAAATCAATGTAAAGATAAACTTCATCTTCGATTATGTGATCTATTGTTCGTTCAATTTGTGGATAACTTTTTTCGTTAGTTTTTCGAAACGTTGATAAATTGTGTTTCTATGATATTCTAATAGGGTTTCCATCATGTCGACTAGTTTCATGATTGGAAAATCAGTTTCTTATCCTGTGATTAAAGGTGATACTTTTCCTCGACGAAATCAACGAGGTAAACGGCCGAGTGTTGATCTTGTCCAGTTAAGAGATACTCGACGAAGTAGCGGTCGATCAACTAATAGTAATCGTAATCCAATTAGTTATCCAGCTAATCAACAAAAGAGCAACAATTTACGTAAAACAAGTGAATCAGATTATCGGGAACAATCAGTCGCTTCCTCTTCACGATTAATTACCATAGGAATCTACGGTTGGAGAAGGAGATTTCTTTATGGATTAATCATCATAATCTCCCTGTTTGTTGTGGTCAATGCAGCGCTCACCCTTTGGATTGTCCGTTTATTGAATTTTCAATTGGTATTATTTTAATTTACTAATGTTAATCTTCCCGAATCAACAAGTAAAACAATCAAACTAATCAAATCAATTCAGACAAAACAAACATTTCATTTCTCTCATTTTGATTTATAATCATTTGCAAAGTGTCACCTTCAAGATTAATCAATTGTCGCTTGATTAAACTAATCCTTTGATTAGAAAACAACTCAACCCTTATCAAGACCTAATTTAACCCAACACACATATAATTAATTATCACAATTAGTCAACATTTACCTTTATTAATCCAATCGTTTTGAACTTCTACCCATAAATATAAATTCAGTTCCATGACATTATCATGTTTCAACCTCTGATCATCTTTAATTTCTTAGACAATGAACTCCATCATTATCAATTACCTTTCCATGGGCTCCTATGACTTAAATCCAATTAAAACAAAATCTGAAGACTAGAACGTTGTTATTATAACAATTTACCATTATCACAATTAAGATTATGATCCATGATTATTGATCTTGATAAACAGAATAAGAAGAATAATAATTTGGAAAAAGAAAATGAGATGAAATAAACAAGAAGATGATATGGATGGTGAATTAGAGGAGAACAAGTGAAGAACATGGGATGATCCATGAAGAAGATAATGATGATGATGATAGACGATCGAATTGGTTTCTTTTCTCATTTCCAACGGAATCATTTTCTCTTACAGATCAACTTAGAGATTAATAGCTTAACATGGAAAGATTTTCATCATAACCATACAGATATTACATAAAAAAGAAACTGTGTTTACTAGAGACGATGAGGATGATAAGAGATTATCATTGACCTCTCATCCTTTGGATGATTGGACTTCTCTTACAGATGATGAGAACATGATGATGATGATGAAGATGCTCTTTTCGCCTTATGGATAACTCTCTTTTTCTAACAATATCATCATCATATTACAAGACAAACTGTGGATCATATTAACGCCATTTAAGATCTTCTTCATCTTCTTCATCACTCAATCTTTTTCCTCTCTCTCTCTCTCTCCTCATCATCACTTGAGTCTTTTTCATCTTTTCTTTTTTTCTTCGCATCTTCATCATCTTTAAGATTTTCTCTTATCATCCTCATCATTTTCCCCTTTGTAAAATGCTAAGGATCACTCGTTATATTCACTTTCCCTTTTATAGTCTCAACACTCAATTGTGTCACTTTCAATCAGCCTTATTATTTATCATTTCCTATCAACCTCCTCAATTATTATATCAATAGGTTATTCCATTGACAATCAATCAAATCACTTTTGCAACAGGTTAATATCAAGATTAATCATCCATCATCTTATATCTCAACAATTAAGCTTAACTTTTAATCGCCTTAAGCTATTAAGTATATGTGATGAGAAATGATCCCAATCGATATTGATAATTTTCACTAATCATTCATATCAATTGATAATCAAGGCAATTGTTACATTGGAAAACTTAATAGTTAACAAGAAAGAGACATGATAATTTCTGACCATTGATTTTCAAAGATAATCAATTGTTAGCATCACTTTTTAATTATAAAAGGACAAATCGATTGTGTCACAACTTATCAGTTAATTGTTGACATGTTATTTTATCCAATAGTTAATTGCTGATGACGATGGAAACAATATCAATATTAATAAGTGATTCTCTGATTATAATCATGGAGATTCACTGAAACAATAATAAGATTTCAATTCTATTTTCTTAAAAAGATGAAAACTTTTTAGATGTTAAATCAAAAGGCTATTTACCTTTACATGATTATGATTAAATTCATGAATTAGTCTCAAGATTATCTAATTTCTTCTGAATCTGATTTCTTTTTCCATTATCATTGGAATAAGGAATCAATTTTAATCTTAAATAAAGAATATTTTGTTTCCTTTTTCAAAAAAGTAAAGATTCTGATATTTATCTGAACTTTTCATGATAAATTTATCTTTTATCTTCCTCTCCATTATTCATACCAACTGAATCTCCAACAAGAATATACTTGTTGATATGTTTTCCTTAAATCTTTAAAAATGACAAAGCATATTAATCATTAATCTTTTTTTTTTCTTCTTCTTAATCTCCTCTGATTTAGGATCGAATTGGTAAAATAATATTCACTGATGATGGAATCATAATTGATGGTAAAAGTTATTGTCGAGATACTTTAATTGCGAGTTACATTAAATCACCACAGGTAAATCAATTCACTATTGATTTATTGCCAAACAAAAGTTACCATCAATCCGGTTGATGGTAATCATTTTACAATTAATTATGTTTCCTTTTTTCGTATCTGTTGTGTTGATATATTACTTTTAATATCCAGGAATCAACCTTAAGGATAATCTCACCAGATAAGCTTGAGCTTGAATCAAATGGTGGACAATCAAATGATAGTGATTTGGTTAATCTATTATCCTTACAAAATGGTTCAATTAATGCTTGGGTTAATGAGATGACAATTAAGACTCGTGATAATCAACCATTGGTAACAATCAATGAATCTGAATTGAAATTGTATTCAACTAAGCTACGAATTGATAGTAAGTTGACCAAAACATTTACCATTGATGATTAGCTGGAAATTTGACCAAATCATTTTGATCGAGAAGTTGATGATATGATTATTGTATGGTTGAGATGATTGTTGATGATTGTGGTTAGGATTGATAAATTGTTGTAATAATGATGATATATCAGGTTGATGATCGGTGAAATTAGAGCTGAAACAAAGGGATTATCAGTATTGTCATCTTTTTCTTTGCTTTTCTTTAATCATTAACCTTTAGATGATTATGGGATCCAATTTAACAGCTCAATTCAAAGTCCATTGATTTTGAGTGATCCATTTCACAATTTAGAGTTACAATCAAAGACCAGAGCAGTTGAAATTAATGCTGTAACTGAGGTAAATCTTAATTCAGGTAATGGTATGACTCTTTCCAGTCGTAAAGATATTAGGCTCATGTCCAAATCTGGGAAGGTTAGTATTACAAACGGCAGTACCATTAACAAATTACCAAAAATTAATCATCTTTTGCCTTTTCTCTCTTTACAATCAATAGATTATTTTTGATTCTGATAGAATTGAATTGAAAAACTTGAAAATCGGACTTCCTTTGAAAAGCATGGAACCAAATCCAGGAGTTTTCCAAGTCTGTATTTGCACCAATGGAAGATTATTCTTGGCATTACCTCGAGAACCTTGTACATTTGATGTAAATATTTGCGAATATCTTATCGATCCCAATTCAGTTTCTACTGAGCCCAGTTAGTAATTCCTAATGGATTGGGTGACTGTACAACTAAGATGATAATATCCCAGTACAAGGATGAAAAGGAGAACTGAATTTATCTAAAACCAAGACGTGATCCTCAAACTGAATACACGAACCATTTGACGAGGTGATACATTGTATTCTAAATAATAATAATAATATTGTTATTTCATGAGTTAAGAAAAATTCTGATGAATCAACTGATGATGATGATGAAACAACAATATTACTGTTGGTGAGATCAACAGTTACATATAAATATTGTCCCAATGTTTTATTCCTTGAGGATAAAAATCAATCCGATATGAACTTTAATATGTCATGATATCGATTAAATTATGTCCATTCCTGTAATTATGTCACATGTTGGATGATCATCTCTATTATTGAAATTGGAAAAAACTTTGAATAACCAAAAAAAAATAAAGAGAACAGAATTAAATCAAAAGTTCCAATTTATATTCCTTAAATAATAATCAAACTCACCATTGATATTGAGACTAATTTTCTCAGTGTTTCTCCTTAACATTAGAATTTATTTGTAAAAATTTTCTCCGAGAATAGTAAACAGCAATTCCACCAGAATCTCAATATCTGTCAGCTGATTCCAATCAAACGACATTGATAATTAATTATTCGATTAAACTTTTTAGTGTCCATGTTTGATTCTTTTTACCAAATGAATCTAGTATAAGAGAGAAAAGAAGTTTAATTGTTAGATTAATAAAGAGAGTAGAAAATGTTAAACAATTTGTAGCCGGAATTGGAAAGATTCTAATTATTTTCCGAGTGTTCAACTGATTAATTTGATCTTGGGTAATTGTATCAGAGACCATTCTAATCTAAAATGGATTATGTCCCTTTCTTTGTTACCCGGATTAGTTGAATTTAAAATGATTAAAGTTTCAATGATTAACTTACTTAGAGCATAAGTCTAGCATAATCTGAAAAGATTGTTGATTTACGGATTGAATTGTCCCAATATCTTTGAGCGTTAACAAGCCAAGATTTTTCACAATTATGATTATTGGCTCCTCTTTCATCATCGTTAATTGTTCGTCGTGAAAGTAATTTGATTAAAGTAGTCGTGGTCTCATTCTCATCGATAATTTCCTTAACAGTGAAACATTCACCACCCAAGAATGTTTGAAGTGATGAGAGTAAACTTTTCTTTTCACTTTCATCTTTTAACTTTGGTACCTGGAAAATAAGCTCAGCTTGATTGGTATCATTTCCAACCATCATCATTGCAGTGGCAATCAATTTAATCAAATGAATATCCATCGACCAATCGTTAACAACAATAACATAATCTGAAACAGCCAAAAGGAAACAAAGTAACTGTAATGAGGTAATAAAAACATTGGTTTCCGGTTCAGATGAATCAGGAATAGAATTGGAAACACCAGAACCATTTTTAATATATTCATCTAAAATGGAAGCACTCATTAGAGGCTAAAAAAGAACAAAATTAAGAAGAAGAAAATAAAATAAAAGATTAGATGACAAATTTTTATCCATAAGAATAAGAAAACAAACAAAAAAAAATGATTACCTGACAATCCAAGAGTAAAAGTCTCTCCTTAGTAACATGAAGATCTACACCACGTGTAATATGTTTCAATAGACTATCAACATTACCAGGATCTTGGTGATTCTTGAAAATGTTTCCTCGGGCAATTTTATTGAGTAATGAAGATTTACCAACACTTTGCATTCCAACAGCACTTACAACAGTAAAACCACCCGATCCTGAAGATTGAGTTTCACTGAGAAGACAATCAGCAGCGGGATGAACACAAAACGATCGAGAGTCGATATCAATCAATTTCATTGCCACCATAATCAACCTTCATCTAATTATCGTAAAACTAATTAAACAAAGAAAAAAAGAAACAAACAAAATCAAATGGAAATTAAAAACTAAACCAGAGTTGAAAATCTAATCATTAAATTCAAATGGTAAGGGAAAAAGTAAACAACTGAATGAGTCACATTTTCACCTTTGGAAAATTTTTGGCGCCATTTTCAATTTCACCAAATTTCTCCAAAAGAAAATCAATCAATTGGAATAAAATTGAATTTTCTTACAATTAAATTAACTTTCCAATAGAATTTAACATTAATATGGTTCTATGTTTTGTATTGTTTATTGTTTGATGGAGGGAAAAGGTTAATTATTAATAGGAAAGATACATTTACGATTGTATATCAAATAGTAATTGATGGATTATTATTATTATCGTTATCGTTATTATTAGATAACAATTTAATTTCTGATTAAAGTTGGTTGAACTAATCAGAGGAAATTCAATAAACAGTTAATATCATTTTCAATTGAGTTTTATATATTTTGATTGGAGAAATTAAATTTAATCATCATCATCATCATGGTTAATCATCTTAAATTTGATTTATTTACATCCTAACATATGCCAAGTGTATTTATGAATTACAATTAACTAATAATCAACTTGGATTAACAATTACTGATTATCTTTATATATATTTTTCAAGTGAAAACTGTAAGTTAAGTTAATTGTAATTTCCGTTTCAGTGCCTGGTCCCTTAATTTGTCATAAGTAATCAAGTTAATTAAATAAATTGTCTTACATATTAAAACGAGAAGAAAATTAATTGAATTTATAAATAAGGAGAGAGAGAGAAACAAAAATTAATTATAATTAATGTTTACTTTTTGTCTTTAATAACCAATATAATCACAATCAACAATCAATTGAGTTAATTGTTATGGCTACTACCAATATATTAATACTAATTATTGATAAAACTAAGCAACAATCAACTCAATCGCGATTAATAATAAATTATCTTGATCAAATTGACGGTAAGAGATAATCAAGTAATTATGATCAATAGATAAATTAATTGTTTCTTTTCACTCATTCAAAAGTGAATGAAAAGTTTTCACCTTCATGGAGGATTAACAATTAACTTTGAATTTCTGTCAACAATCAAGATAATAATTTCCAATAAATTGATCAGATGGCGAAGATGGAGAAGCAGATGATTATCGTTGGAAATTCATGAGTGATGAGGAAGAAGATAAATTGTCATCATAATCAACAAGAAGACAAGCAAACCCGCAATGGAAGCGACAGATTAGCTACCATGTTATTCAATATGATGAAAAGGAGAAGCTGATTAGAGAGAGAGAGAGAGAGAGAGAGATGATGATGATGATCGTTCATTTAAATGAAAGAGATTGATAGAGATGATGATGGAAAGAGAGTGAGAGATGATAAGATGATAATTATGAAAAGGAAAGAGGGAGATGAGAGAGAGAGAGAAGATGAAATGAGACAAGTAACATGAATCTCCCCCATTAGTTATCATCGTACTTACTTTCTAGTTGATTTCCGTAGTTACTTTTTTTCCACCGGTCACCATGATAATATATTAACCGGATTAACTGATTAAATTGTTACAATTGTGTCTCCAATTGTTGTTTATATACTTAAATACAACGTTAATAATGTTTTCCTTGTCCTAATCCAGTTGTTATTGAGACGCTTGAGAAATAGTTTAAATCATTTTTTACCTCTTCCTCCTCCTCCCTCTTCATCATCATCATCATCATCTCCTCTGTTCATGGTTATCAGAATGATAAATAATATACTTTTACAATAATCATTGAAACATCATGATCATCATGGTGATCATTAAATTGATGAAGATAATCAATGTTAACAACAAAGTTAATTGTGATTGAAAATCATTTTAAAAATGGTTAACAACCAAATCTCAGTCTTTATAACTGTTTATAAGACAAACTTGGTTACTTGTAACGCTATTATTTTAATCAACAACAATTAACTAACTAACACATACACACAATTTATTTATTTATCCTTTTTTTTGTTACTGTTTTGTGTATGTGATTTATTTCATCATTAAACTACAATTTAAACTCATCAAACTGTAAATTAACACTGGAACAACAATTAGATTGTATATCAACATGATTCTCATAATCATCAACCCGATTACCTTTTTTATTTGTTTTGATAAAATGATCATCTTATTATTTTAATTGTATTCACATTGAGATGATGATCATTTAAATTGTTCAATAATCAACAGTCTATAACAATCATCATCATCATCATCACCAACAGGACATGATAACAATCAAGATTCAGATGATAATCATCAACACCAATGGTTTAATGTTAATCAACGACACTTAATTTTCATCTCAATTGAAAAGGCAAATTGTCAACAATAAACGCGAAAAATGAAAAAACAAAACACAATTTACTTGTTAATCATCATCAGTGTTTATTAATATTTATATATAATTACTAATTAACGATTATCACTAATCAATGAACAAAGTAAATACAATTGAGTGGTGACTTTTGATTCTTATTGTTTTAATTGTCACAAATGCAAGGAGGAAATTTTAATCAGTGACAATGTGGATTAATTGTTATCTCTACCATTTAAACTACGATATATTTTCACAATTAACCAAATCCCTAATCTCAAAGTGATAATCAAAGTTAAACAATTTAATAATTATCGGATTTAAATGATAAGATAAAGTTTCCAAAGGGACACTCGAAATGGACTGAAAAAGTTAATGGTCAAGATTTAATTGTCTTCCTTACCATTTCCATCTTCATCTCAATCGTATTCATACAAAGTGTCCATCATAATCACAATTAACTTGTCCGAATTTAAAATTCTAAACAATTAAATTGTGAATTTTAATTCTCTTCTCTTGTAACCATTTTCGTTTCCATCTTCATCATTATTTTTTTTTTCTATTTCGTTTCGTGTTTGTTTGTGTCTCTGTTACACGTTAATTCATCAAAATAGCTTCGATTAATTGTTCGGTTCCTATGTACAATACTGAATCACTTGGAACAACCATGAGATCAGTTACACGGGCACCAGTTACCTTACCGGAAATAAAGAAACACTTAAGTGATGTAAGAAAATTTTCCTCCAATTTATGGTCTTCATCTAAAGTGAATGTGAAAATTGACAATTTCATACTAACTCTTCATTCAGTGATTACAGTTCAAATTTTAATGGTTGGAACGATGTTCGTCTCAATGAGACAATATTTCGGTGAACCAATTGATTGTTTAACTAAAGATTCCGATATTAAAGCCTCGCTTATTGAACATTATTGTTGGATTGAAGGTGCATTCTCAGTTCTCGGCGGCGGGGAAACCGGAACCTCTTCAGCCTACCCTGGAGTGGCACCGACAACTTCAGCCTCGATTAAGAGACACCACAAATACTACCAGTGGGTCTACTTTGTCCTAATCATTCAGGTAACTAAATGATCATCAACTTAATCATATTAATCATTAACCTTTTCCATTAATCATCCAAAAGAAACACCAAAACAAAATCTCATCTACTTCCTTATAATTAGTTAATTGTTTCAATATTAATCTTTGTTATTAGTTGGTGATAGTCAATCAATCGGCTTCCTTTTTTTTTTAATTGCTACTATTCAATATTTAGATGCTTATTATTAATATTTACAATCTCATCAATTTGGCTGTTTGATTGTCTCTTGATAATTTTGTTAATTTAATTGCTTTTTTCCGCTCTATCTTATTTTCATATTTGATTAACTCGCAAATCTTTTAATTACATCCTAATAATCATAATTAAACGATTAATTGTCCAATCTATTAACATTAACTCCCCGAGAATCATGTTAATCATTTATCGTTTATTTTGACAACTTAACTTATTATCTTATGAGGTTGAATCTTAATTAGATTAATTGAGGATTTAATAGAGGATATGATTTAGTTTAATTAGATTTACCGACAATGTATCACTTTCTTTTCAAAGTTAATTGTGCCTTCAATGATTATCTTGATTAATTAATTAACTAGTTACACCCGATTCCGTTTAAAAACAATGACAACAATCAAAACAAAAAAAAACTTCAGTTCTCAATGTTAAATTGATTTACTTAAATCGTTGTTAATTTATGTAAATTGTTTGGACTAATTTTTATATTATTATAAACAAATTAATTGTCTCAATTGTTTCAAATGAAGACAATTAGTTAACAATGATTAAAGTTCAGTGATTTAGGATTTTGTTGGTTAAATTTGAATTATGAAAATAATATTAATAAGATTTCAATAGTAAACAATTTGATTGATAACATTGAAAGTTAATCAATTAATTACAGTAATTAGATATTAGGTAAAATGTTTAAAATTAGCAATTAGTCAACCATTTTAATTAGTAAAATAATTTCAACAAAATTAACCAAGATAACTAAATTAAAAATGGTTGAAAATTTAAACATTTAAATCAATTTTTAATTAGTCACAACATCTTAATGATTCAATTGAATTTGTTGAGACTTGAAAAATAATCAAGTAAATAGACAATTAATCAATCAAATCAAAGTGACATCTCAATGTAATTAAATCAATAGTCAACTCTTTGAAAAGTAAATATATAAATTGTCAAGACAAATGTAAACTGTCATCAATAATTAACCAGCAATTAAATTTGCCCTAATTAAGTTAATAGTCAAAACAAAGTGTCTACGATAATGACAGTAAACAAAATCTTTCAATCGCTCGATTAAATCTGATTAACTAATCTAATAATTGAAACTGAATAAATATACCAAAAGAATTGCAATTAAGATTAATTGTCATCTCAAATTGTTAATTTCTCTCTTCTCTAATTGTTATATCCATTCCATAGGCGGTAATGTTTTATTTGCCAAAGTTTCTATGGCGGTCAACTGAATCGGGACGACTCAAAGATCTAATCAGTAAATTATCGGGTAAATCAGTGGCCGAACTAGATGAAAACTCGAGGATAGCCCTTGTCCAAGAAGTGGCCGATAATCTTGGCATCTCTCACAATTATCTAATCACCGTGATCCTCTGTGAGGTTTATTGTCTTGTCCATCTTGCAGTACAAATTTGGTTTACCAATATATTTCTCGGTGGTTCATTTTACACCCTTGGATTAAGATGGTTATCTTATGCTAATCACTATTCGAGCGATGATCCGTTAATCTCGATATTCCCTCGAATGGTAAAATGTACATTCCATAAGTATGGTTTCTCTGGTACCATGGAGACTAAGGATGCTCTTTGCTTCCTTCCATTGAACATTGTCAATGAAAAAATTTACGCTATTCTTTGGATTTGGTTTGCGATTTTACTTGCGATCACAACTCTCCATTTGACCGTTGAAACATTTTTCATCTCATTCCGATCAATGAGAATACTCAGAGTCTCTTGGTTAGCCCCAGGGTGTAATCAATCTTTCGTCCGTGGTATTTGTAAAAGAGCTGGACACTGGTTAATCTTAAGCTTTGTCGCAAATAACATTAAACCCTCTTATTTTAGGGATTTGATGGCTTATCTTGAGAGAGATCATTTTGATCGGAAAGGTCGACCTCTTCATATATCTCGAGTTGGTGAAGCTCTTGCGGTCAAGATAACTGGTTCTAAAGTACCTTCAGCTGGCCAGTCTACTAGTAAATCGATGGGATCAAAAAAATCGTTCAAAAAACAATTACCCAGTTCTAATTTGACCTCAGCGTTGACCTCAAACCTTATGGGATCAAATAAACACCACAACTTATCAACATATCTACGAACCAGTAATTGTGACCCTCCTGGTCCAGGGTTTGTTATTGGAACTGCTTCTAATGATTGGCGTCGTTCATATGAATGGGATGAAGATAATGGTACCAATGAAGTTACCAAATTAACTTCCGGTGTTAATTATGACCATTGCGACGGGGTGATGGCCAACGATTGGGAGCAAATGGGCCGTTCTCATGTTACAACGATCGGTGGTCGTCCTGATGATGAAGATTACAGTGAAGGAGAGGGAAGGACGGGCGAAGGTTGTAGCGGTGAGGGTAACATCGATTGGCACAATGAATGGCCTGATGAATCTCCGACGGACGATGAGCAAACTTATGATAATCGTCGATCAGCTAATCAAGTCAATTTAGATTTAAACAAAAAAGTTATTTGGCCAAGTCAATGAATCCAATTCACAATAATTTTGCCATTGAAAAGGATCAATCAATCAATCAACAAACAGAAAATCAATTCCCATTCATTTATATATATAATATTTATCATCGTCATTGACTAATTATTATCATTCTCATTATTAATCAACAAGAAAAAAACAACAATTTGTATCAACTAAAAGTGTAACTTCAATGCACGAACCTTTTTTTTATACATTAATCAGAACTCAATTAATTATAATTCCCTAAATTACAAAATCTTTTTGACACTTAAACATGAATATTAAAAATATCCTCTAATTGTCATTAATCAGTTTGCTTTTTAATTGCCAATAATTATTAGTTGTTATGGTGAACAATAGATGGCGAAGTGGACAGGATTTGGAGAAACAATTTATTAATTGTGAAAGGAAAAAGTTTGGAAAACTAATTGTTCAAATTGGTAAATTAACATAAATTAACAGTTCTAAATATATGATTATATAACTTGACGAATGATTAATATTTGTTAATTCTGACGACAATTAATTAATTATAGAAAACAATTAATTTTCTAAACTTTGAGTTAATTTAAATCGTTTTGATGAATATTCAAATTTAATTCTGTCCAATGAGATTAATCAATCTGACACTGATTAAATATTCAATTGTAACCAATTAATCACAATCAGAGAGATTGTATAATAATGTAGTTAAAGATTAAGAGGGCAAAAGTCGTGATTAAATGTTGATTTGATTGTAACAATTAACGATAATGGTGAATGAAATGGATACAATATATTAAGAAACTAAATCGTGATTACCTTATATTTAGTTGATTGTTGTTGGTTGATGTTTGGAATCAACAATAAATTCAATTAATTAGATTCAATAAATAATAATATTAGTTAAGAAATAGAATTGAAATTATTAATTATCAGATTAAATTATCAAACAATTTAACAAAAAGAGATGAAATTAATATATTTATATATCAACAATCAATGATTTCCAATTGATTTAAATTTTAATAACTTTTATATTATTGTTGGAAAAGTTTTCCAATCAATCTAATCAATTAAACCAATTGTTGATTAAACATTTTATACATTTAATATTTGATTAGAATTTAAATTTTAATAATAATAACTATTGAACGATTAATCAAAATTGAAAGTTATTGAAAAGTTTAACTTTAATTAGCAATCAACTGTTGTATTAATAATAATAATCAGATGATTATCATGTAAATTAATGTTAACCAAATTAATTGAATTAATCAAAGAAATGATAATCAACTTAAATCAATTAATAGCTATCAAAATAATCACATTCGAAAAGAAAAATTAAAACTTGATTAAAAGTTAATCACAGAATGAAAATTGTATTTTCAATGATAATTTGATAATTGAATTTGATTCAATTGATGAGGATGAAAATTATGATCTAATCTCATGTAAAGAGGAGGAGGGATGATGATCAACAATTTAGGTTGAATTGTAGTAACTAATATATACTAATTTAATCAAGAAAATTAATTCTATTATTATGATTACAACAATCAGAGAGAGAGAGAGAGAGAGAGAAAGTGTTACATCTTCAGTGGTCATCTTCATCGTCCTCCTCTTATCTTCATCCTTTTCCTCCTCCTTTTTTCTCATCCTCATCACTTTGTCTTCTCATCTTCATCTTAATAAACTTTCATATTAACTGTTCATCTTTATTATCATTTGCAACTTTCACCTTAACAGTAGCTCTTGATTTGTGCTTTTTTTTATCATTTATTTTTTCATGACAATTGACAATTCAAATTGAATCTTAATTTAGTTTTAAAATCCATAATGATTAAGTTAATTATCTTTTTTACAACAATAATTTCATGTTATTATTGTATCTCTCAGAATAAATTGCCAAGTAAACATCCATGGAATCCATTACCAGTTACACTTAATCGTTTAATTAACAACAACAACAATCAAAAATCATTATCATCTTTATCATCAGCAGCTTCAATCACATCATCAACTGTTTATTTACCTGAGAAAAAATCATCTGATGTTTCATTTGAGACTCACGATAAAACTTATTCAATTGAAAGTTCACATTTCCGAACACCGATAATTGAACATCATCCCAATGGAGCGACAGTTGGCCTCGATTTACCCGAAGCTAATATAAGATTATTGCTCGATATCGATCAACTTGGGGTAAACCCGTTGCTCAGCACATTGGACTTAAAGTAGTTGAAAAAAACAAGCAAAATTCAAATTCTAAACAATTAACCAGCGGATCAATTGTAAAATCTGAACCAATCAAAGTGAACAATTTAAATCACCAACAAAAACCTCGCCATCAACCAACAACCTCTAATCATAATTCATTTGGATCATCAGCTTTACCAACAATTAACCATCAAACTACATTAAAATCGTCATCAGCATCACCGATATCACCACAATTAACAACAATCGGCCGATCATCTAAAATTGTTTCAATTCCCGTTTCAACTAATTACAAAATTGGTTACATCCGAACCAATGATTTACATTCAGCAATTCATCATCAAATTGTTCATGGTAAAGGTGGTAATCAAGTAAGTGTCCTATCAGGTCCAGTTAATTATGGTGTTAATCATCAATCATCACAACCAATCAACTCTCAAAATCATCGATTCACCTCTAAACAATTAGAAAACAATCCAGTTAATCAAGGTGGATTTGTAAATCCAAGATTAGAATCTGGAAGCTTTAAACCAATTGAAAGTTATTCAAATCAGATGAAACAATTTGAAGGGCAGATTAAAATTAACAACAGTTTATCATCAACAATTAAAAAATCATCTTTACAAACACCAAGTAAACTCAATTTAGCTTCACCGGTTAATATAATTAAAGGTAAATTGCGACCAATTAACAATCTGAAAGAGACTGAACAAATTAAGGAACCAATTCAACAACAGATTAATGGAGGTGATGAACAAATTAACTCAAATGATTTCATAGAATCTGATTTACAATCTAAATTAGAATCACCACCAGTTTCATCAATGATTAGTAATTCAAGGAATCAACGATCACCCAAGAAATTGGACAAATTACAAGAAGTTAACGAATCAACTTCAACCTGGAATTCTGGTTCTAATTCTGGTTCATCGTTAATAGATAATTCAAATGATATTGTCAATTCTGATGAAGGATTCGATGAGGATGAAGATGTTGACGAAAATAACGGTAACTCAAATGATCGTGAAAATGAATCAACGGTAAATGATAACAATCGAATCAATAATCATAAAACTGAGACCGTGACCGAGAAATCGGCCAACAATGAGGAGATTATCTCAGGTAAATTAGCTCTACCTTCACCTTCATCATCTTCTTTGAATGGTCAATGTGATCTGAAGTTTTCCCGATGTCCAATGAGCTGTCAAACGATAACCGAACCATTGATTTCAAGTTCCAGCTCATCATTGACCCTCGAATCAATCGCTTCAACCCTTGGTGCTGATCTATTATTAAATGCGATCCCAAGTTCACAATCAATTATTCAATCGTTAATTGATTCATCTACTTCTGGTTATACTCTTTTCCTACCAAGTAATGAAGCTTTAGCTAAATTACCTGGAAACTTAATTAATCGCTGGAAATCTGATTCGTCCGGATTAAATTCACTTTTAACTAATCACTTTATCGACACTCAGATTACATTGGAAAATCTTAAATCAATGACTGGTATATCATTGAAATCGGGTACTAATCAACTACAATTTGGTATTTTTCGTAATGAAACTTATACAGTTAATGGTCAACAAATTTCAATCGGTAATCAAAGGTCACCTAATAACGGGATAATCCATATAATTGAGGGAATCCTTTATCCATCAGCTGATAAAAACATTATGGAAACATTGAAATCTTGTAATAAATTTGATGGTTTTGTTACACTCGCAATGGGAACTGGATTAGGATCAACTTTATCCAGAGGTGAGTTAATTAAACACAATACAATTAACAATTAGAAACCAATTTACTTCCTACTAAATGAAGATACACTTATTCAAGTTAATACAAATGTATTGATGATAACAATTGATTCTCATTTGATTGATTGATTGTATTATTATTAATTAATTTCCATTAACCTTGGCACATTGATTATCCTTTATTTATCTGACACAATCAGTGTTAATTGTAAACCTAATAATGAAATTGTATCAATCAGGTTTACAATTAAGTGACAGTTTCCCTTCAGTATAATATATATATTGTTTCTGGGCCAATCTAATCAATCAAAAGATCATGAATAATAACATTTAATCATCATTTTAAAGAGATTGTTCAACATTAATCATACTTAATTGTTACCTTAATTCCTTTGTTGATTAGGTGGACCTTATACCGTTTTCGTACCAAGTAATGAGGCTCTTCAGAAAATACCAGAAAAAGATTTACAACTTGTAAGAGCCAATATGACAGCTCTGAAAGGTAAGGATTATCATGTTATTATTTCAATTGTAAATCACAACAATCAACTGATTGATCAGCAATTATACTCACAAGAAGAAGGTGAAATCAAGGGTAAAGACCCAAAGGTTGAAGATTGAAAATTTTAATAACATCTTAATCTTAATCTCTATTAGCATGATATTGATTAAGAAAATAATTGAAAAATATAACTGACAACATGATGATGATGATTAGCGATTATTTTCAATTATTATTATTATGTTTTCATCACAATTAACTTGTTGATTGACAGTATTTCTCAACAACAACAACAACAATTAATTATTATCATTGATGGTTTCATTTTCTTATGAAAAAAAAACATCATCATCATCATTATCATCACTTATTATCTGGTCATCGTTTTGATAACTTAATCTTAAGAAAGTTTGAAATTAACTTTGAAAAGTTTTTCTTGTTGATCATTTGTTGATTATAATCGTTAATCTGTTAATCATGATTTCACAATTTTCTCAGACCAATAGTAGATTTCAAATGTTGATGATCTGATTCACGGATTTATTTTGTTTTAATTGTTGTAACGCTCAGTCTGATCAACAATTAACATCATCACTTTCACACTAATTTCATGATTGATGATAATCAGTAACAGATTATATTGTTTTATCTTATAAATTTGATCAGTAATCAAGCTTTAACATCAACGATTAACGACAATCAATGATAATTATGATCTACCGTTTAATTAACACTGGAATTAACGAAAAAAAAACGATAATCAGTTAATCATTTTTACAGTTACGATTTTAATTGTACCATTAACTTGATATACAATTTAGATCAGTTATCTGATAGAAATACTTTATTTGATATAAGTTAATTGTTTGGAACAATTAACTTATATCAATGGTCAGTATCATGATGATGATTAATCCAACTAATCAGTTAATTCAGTTAAAAATAGATTCACAGTGAATTTGTGATAATCATTTGAATGGAAATATATGATTTACAATTCATTGTCAGAATTGTTAATATTAGCAATTAATTTTTAAACCATTATCATTCATTTCATTGTTATGACTTATATTATTCAATATAATTGTTAATCTGATTACAATTTAAACTGGTTTGATTAAATAATATGATTTAGATGAGTAGGATGAGAGTTAAATTGTTACGTTTATCCAAATAACTTTCAATATTAAATGAGTTAATTTTGTTTTTCGAGGGTGGAAATGATTAAGATTAATTTTAGACCTTGATTAACATTTAATTGTTGGTCAGATTAATATGATTTTATTTTCGCTTAATCTAAATTCAATTGTAATAATAATGAACCAATTTACACACAATTTATAACAATTTAAATTACCAATGATTAGCTGAACGTGGAGAAATGTAATAATTACTGTTAATACAATTTAGACATTCTGATTGTTTGAGTATGTGAATTGAATTAACTCATTTCTTTTTGGTTAAAAAATTGTAATCAGTTGATGATTTAACCCTTTTAAATGTAATACAAGTAACAATTTAACCAACAATTTACTTAATTTATGATTAATTCCTGTTGATTTACTAACCAAAAGTAACAAATTGTTTAAATCTACCCAATAGGTTGGGTTGGATAACCAATTGAACATTACAATTAACAAGCTCAGTAGGTTAGTTTAAGATTCATAGAGATGATTGTGATTACAATTACAATTAGGATCAATAATCATAAAGCATAAATGCAAAGCACAATTAAGGAAATCATAATCATCATTAAATTAACTTTTATGAATGTAAATTTAACATGTAACAAGCCCTTTGCTTGATTGTTGGATTTACATTCAAACCTACAAAAAACTTACAATTTGAATAAACAATCAGTTAATTTCATTAATATCCCTTTTAATTGTAATCTAATTATCAGGTTTACAATTAAGATCCAAGTTCCTCATTCATGTCTAATCATTAGTATCCAATAACCATTTAAGTCAACAATTAATAAATGAAAGTAAACGAGAAACAAAAAGTAACAATTAAAGAAATGAATAACTTTGTTAACTTAATTACCATTAAGATTAACTTTTTAGGCCCAAACAATTAGCTGATTAAGACAATAGAGTTAAATGTTTACAGGTAAATATTTAATTATCATGATAATCATTGAATAAGAGTAATAAGTTAATTGATAATATTAATTTCGGAAAACAAAAAAAAAGTCAATTGTTGTTATTGTATTAACTTGATCAGAGTAAAAAAAAATTGATTGTTGTAATTGATTGTGATTTATTGAGTCTAAACTAATTTAAACTAACATGTTAAACTTTAAATTGAAATCTATTTGTAGTAACTAATTTTTCTGATAATCAAGAATGAGAGAAACTTCAATCAACTCAAACAATTTAATTTCTCACATGAAAAAAAAACAATGATTAAAAAAAGACTCAGTAACTATTAACTTTTAACATTAAATGATTAACCTTGATTCGGTAGAGTTATAATGATAATTTAAAGTCTATCTAACTGTTAAACTGACCAATACTCTGACCTATCACCTTGCAAATTGATTGAATTGCTTGAAAAACCATCAACTCTTTTAAATAGACATTTAATTTTACCTTTAGTTTCATTTGGGTTGTTGTTAAATTGTAATAATTTGGATCAACTTGTTAACTGTTGTTAATACATAAATGAATGATTGGCGTAACTAAATAATAATAATAATGGTAACAATTAACTTCTAGGGTTCAAAGTTAAACATTGGTAATCAGCTGTAAGAATCAAATTGTAAAAATAACAAACACGGGAAAAAGTATCATTATTGTGAATGGAAATGTTGATTGTGGTCATCGGTTGGTCAGTTGATGATGTAATGAATGAAAGAGTAACAATTAGGGTTCATCCTTTTGTATTTAGTATCAATTTGGAAGAAATAATGTTCACAATTAACTAATCATTGAGTAAACAATTGAAATTCAATCAATAATTTAATTAGATTGATGTGAGAGAATTAAAAATTAGCATAATCATTAAGGGGAAAATGAATTAACTGTAAAATTGTTTATTAAATGAGCTTCTGATTTACTTATTAGTTTTAACAATCAGTTAGATTAATAAGAATCCAATTGACATAGTTAACCATAAATAAACTCATCTTTTTCAGTCTAAATTGATTAGAAAATAATAACAACAATCAACAACAATCAGTTCTGATTAAGTTAATCAGTTTGGACTGACAATCTAAACATAAAACAATACAATTGATTTACATGTATTACTAATATTATGTATCATCTTAATCCATCTGAATGGTTTAAGAGCAATTGATTAGTAAATTATGCAAAATTAACTTTACTATTTTTACCTAACAAGTAATTGTTATCCAACAATTTAAATTACAGACGGAGGTTCAATTGATTATAAGCCTTTGATAATTGATTGATTTTCAAATGATAATAATAAAGTTTCGTTGAGACATAATTGTTGGGTTACTTTGTTTGTTATTTATATATAATTATGATTATCGATATTGATTAGATGAGTCTGATGATATAGATATAATCAGTTTCCAATTGATTAGAGCAGCTCAAGGTTGATCAATAGGATTTATTAACAATCAAAATACAATCAATTCAGTGTGAAACTGATGCTAACCCAATAATCATGATCATCATCAAATTTCATGAACAAAAAACTGCCACCGAAAAGGTAAATAAAGTAACTGAATCAATTTTCATTGTTACCTGGCCAATTATTTATAATGGTCATTCATTCATTCATTTACAATTACAAGTAATTGTAAAGTTAAATTGTTATATTAATATAACAACAACAACAACAATTTATTGATTGCTCAGGTTGACGGTATAATATAAATGTTATATTTAAAACTTTTCTTTCAACATATTATTCAATCAATTTAATATCATTGAAAGGAAGAAGAAAAAAAAATAATATAAATTTGATTAAATTAATTTGATTGTTTTCTTAGCCTTTCCAAGGTTTAAATTAATTGTAATGAATTCGTGAACAATCAATGATGACCAACCGATCGTGGTTTAAAAGGGAATCTTAATTGTGATTAACCAGCTATCGTACTGATTGTAATTCAACCAATTTCGTCAATTTAACCTCTAGTTTAAAGGGGATAAATCGTGCAAGTTAATTGTTAACAGAATAGTAGTAGTAAATTGATTGTTGTGGTTGAATCAAGTTTAAAATAAAGTTAATAATTATATTATTACATTAATATGAGGTAGCATCTTTTCAATGAACAAAAAGTTTCACCATAAACATGATTAAGATGATTTCTTGTTATTGTTGTGAATATAATCAAATCTACTAACTAAATTAATATATATTTTATCATGTATATGTATAAATTTAGTTGATTGTTATTCTTGAGAGTCGATATCTTGTTTAACTTGATTCAATTGTCTTCCTTTCGGGTCCATACACAGTAAATTATATATATTAATATACACTCGAGTTTCAATATTGAAAATCAAAATTTATATAGAAAATTGTTATTAAAAAAAAAGAAAAATGAATTTTAAAAAAAAAGTTCACAACTTTTTTTAGAACTTTTTTTCTCATAATCTGTCTTCAATTCATGATCCATTGTCACGTGATGATGGAAATTCTGTAAGTTCTGTTTCAATTGAGAGAGAAAAGAGTGAGATAAAATGATAATAGATGAATTTCTAATTTTGGTATGGGTCAGTTAGTAATTAGCCTTGAAGTGAATCAAATTAAATCCGGTTTGTTATTTATCATCAGTTAATCAGCTAAACAACAACAGAGTTAAGGATGAGAATTCGAGGAAAATAACAGCTACAATTTATGAAAGAATTGTTCATGTTACTCTAATAATATAATAGTAAATTTGTATAGGAATTTGGAAACACATATACACACCTTGATTAGAATAGAGAAAAAGTTTTGGTGTGAGAAAAGATGAACTTCCGATTATCATGAGAAAAAAAAGGAGAAAGAGTTAAATTCTGAACAATAGTGAATGGAGATAAAAGTAATAGTTGGAACAAGTGAAAAAAAGTCATTAGTGAGAAAGATGATGATGAGACAATTAGATAATGATTAAGAATATGATCATGATGATGATTTAACGAATACAAGAGGTCCAGGTAAGTGAATCTTAAAGGTTCCGTTAAGTTTTGATGGCCTAAAGGTATTAGAATCAGATGATTGTCCAAATAATAGATTTTCTTGAATCATTTAAGTGAAAGTTAAGGTTTAAAATAAGAAAATGAAGATCAGGAGATGAAGATGATTAAATGGTAGATCATGTTAATCATTTTCTTATGGATAATATTCATTTTTAGTTTAACCATTGATAAAGAGAACACACATTATATTATTAGCTTGATTGTTTTCGAGTATTAACTTGAATCATGATCCATTTTAATCCTCTATTGTCATCACCATCATCATTTTGAGAATATTTAACCAAATACAATGAAAAGAGAAAGAGAAAGAGAAAGAGAAAGAGAGAAAGAAAGATGAAAATGAAGATGAAGATGCTTCAGATGATATCGAGTAAAGTTTTTCTTGATGGGATAGATTGTCCTAATTTACCAATTTAATCAAAGTTGACTGTCCATTTGTATTTGATAAACACGTACAAACATCATCATCATCATCTCGGCAGGATAGTTGTTTACATAATTGTGATAACCTGAGAATCCATTGAGAAAACAAGTAGTAAATATTAATAGTAGAAGAGAAAAAAAAATTTTGTTAGTTAATTTTGAATTTGGTAAATTCAATTCAATCAATCAAAAACGATACCCAAATATAAATATTAAATAAACAATTAAGAATGACCACTTTCATTGATTTACCATCTTATAATCAACTTATTTAAGACCATCAATATTAATAATAAATTTTTCTTTCTCATCAGATATGTTGGCCTACCATGTTGTCCCCGGGTTGTATTATAGTAGCCACTTAATGGATGGACAATTTATCAATTCTTTACAATCATCACTTCCAATCAAGGTTGGGGTCAGAGTTGACCGTTGTTCGAGTAAGTATTAGTAGCCCCTGCTGAAAGATGAAAAGAAAGAAATGAAAAAAAAACATATATATTAATACAATCAAATAGAATATAAAGAAAATTGGATTACAGAAGTTTTGATGAATTACTTTTTAAATGGAACTACAGTTGAAATTATTAGTTAATAGAAATTTAGGTTGTAATTCAAACTGATTCGATTTCTTTTCTTGTTTCAACCGACAATTAATCAATTGTCCATCTAATATTATCTTTTCCATTTTTGTTTTTTACCCCGCAATGATTGACCATCACCAACAGGACGATTGGTTGAAGTCAACATGAGTCCAGTCTATGGTGTTGATATACCAGCATCAAATGGAGTCATTCATGTTATCGATTGGATAATTAAGCCAAATGACAACGATTGGTGTGATGATGTTATATTTCCTCGTTAATGTTGACACCAATCAACAGGAATCGATGTTTTTTTTTGTTATATTCACAATTCATACATTCACATTACATTGTAGCCAATTAACCATTACTTTGGGGATCCCAAAACTTGTCATCATCGTCATCGTCATCATCAGTGTCCATTGTCCATCATCAAGGAAATCATCATCTTCATCAAGACCTTTTTTTTATATAATCACCAACAAAATCTTTTTCAATCCTTCCTCATCTTTTTTTTTCTCTTCATCTCAATTAGTCTTCTATCATCATCTCCATCTTGTTTTTGGATTACAACTTTTTTTTCATACGAATTTTGATTCACTTGCAGTTTCGTTATTCTTTTCTTTCTGTCCTACTGTCCATTAAGTGTCCACTCTAAATGAGAGAGAGAGAGAGATAGAGAAGGGGAGAGTATGAAAATGGAGATAAAATGATAATATTAATAAAGATAAAGACAATTAAATTTAATTACAACAAAACAAAAGACACGTTGTTGTCCAGCTTACCTTATATTCAATCCTTTAATTTCACTTCAACTGGTTCATGTCACGAAACTCGTGTGGTTTAATGTAATTAATCAGCAAACAAGGTAACAATTAACTGGACACACAGTGTTCAAGTTAACTGTAAACAGGGAAAGTGGTCAGTGATTAAGTGATTATCATCAAGATTACTTCCACCAAAAGAAAAAAACAAAAATGTCAACATGAGATCAACTGTAACACCAAACAACAGTAAACAAGATGTAGAGGGAAAACCGGAAGAGGTTCAAATCCAATAGAAATCCTGTTGAAAAAAATATAAATAAAATTAAATTGATTTAATTACTATCACAAGGGAACAGCAACAATAAGTGAAGGACAATTAAACATTAAGAAACAATCAGTAAATTAAAATGGATTATAGATTAACAAATAAGTAACAATGAAGCAAAAACAAAAGGTCAACAATAGATTGGACCATTGGAAACACCAAAGAATTAAATTAAAAATCACTTTAACATTTTTTCCCTTGTAACAATTAAATCAATTTCACATTCAATTACTAATTATGAATTAAATTTACACATTTATAGCTGAAAGAAAATTAAAAATCACTAATGATCAACAAATGACAATTTTCTAATAGAAAAGTAACTTAAGTGTTTTTTTTGTTCAACGATGAGAAAATAACATTTGATTACTTTTTAAAGATAAACAATTAGCTCGCCAATGTAAACTTATCATCAATTAACAATTAACAACAAGTACTTTGGATAAACAATTAGAAACATTAACAAGATGATCAACTGATTGGTTATCGGTAATGAAGAAGCACAATTGTAATGGGTCATCGAGAAAGAGAAACAAACAAAATGGCTTTTTAAGCTTCTCTTTGTTTCTAATGTTTATTTTTTTTTCTTTTCTTTATGTTGATAATTTGTATCATTCGGTTGAAAAAAGTGTCACAATTAACGCGGAACAATTTATATTTATATTTGATTGATTGGTTTAGTTTTTGTCTCTCTCTTTAACTTTCGTTTGTTTCGTGATTTAATTTAACTTTGTATCTAATTGGAATTGGAATTGGAAAAGTACAATAATAATAAGATGTCCGATCCATTGGTCACTTCAACTGAGACCAAATCTTTAAAGGATAGATTGACCTTTAATTGGCCGACTCGGGGTTCGTCATCGTCTTCGGTTTTTGGTAAACCCACTCAGGTAATTGCTCCGTTTTCTGAGACAAAATTACCTGTTAAACAACGAGTTGTGTTTCCTAGTGATCGATTACCGGCTAATTGTAGTAATAATAATAATAGTAATGGTCAATTGGTACAAGGAAATAATAATCAACGATATGATTCCGATGATTGCTGGGAATCAATGGCTAATGTTTTTCGTAATCCAAGTCCATCGCCTCCTCCATCCGGTTCGTGGGCTTATGGGTCAGATAAAAGTAACGATAATAATAATAAGAGACGTCGAAATGATCAGAATTCAAAGTCAAAGAATAACTATAACTCGAGGCGTAATGGTGATGGTGAATTCAGTGGTTATAATGAGACTAATTCAAATCGATATTCTAATTGTAGTGATGATCGAAATAAATTTCAAAAGAAAAGACGAAATGATGATTGGGATTGGGATTCTAATCGTAATAACGGTCCAGATTCTAGTTCTGATCGCAGAAATGTCGATTGGACAATGGGGTTTAATGAGAATGATTATTCTAATTGTTATTCTAATTCTAATTCTAGAAAAGATAATTACCCGAAAAAGTCAATTGCTACTCAAACTGATTCTTCAACATTTCGATCAGTTGGAGTTCAAACAGATCCTTGTGATGATTTAATTCCCGTTGAGAGACAACAACAGCAACAATTAGAATTTTATTCTAACCAATCAACTGGGATAGTTGCGAAATTTAATTGGCCTAATCAAAATGGTCAATCGGCCATTACAAATGACCAACAATCTCGACCATTGATAATCCCCAGTGATCTTATTAACGTAGCCAATAGAGATCCAAGAGTCGCTCGAAGAGCTGCCAATATGAAACAATGAAAAGTTCAAAGCGATTGATTGATTTTTTTCACTATTCGACAATTAATTTACAATTCATGACTAAATTTAAATTTTCTTCTTTTTTCTCATTAAAATTTCATTCTTTTCCTTCATTTGAATTTACCGCTTTTCTTTTCTCCATCTAAGGCGCACACTTTAAATCTACGTTTCCATGGTTACCTTAGATTTAATTTTCCATTTTCCATTTAGACTCAATGATCTTTGACTTTGTCTCTTCCAACAATTAAATATTTATAATTAATTTGATTAATTTAAATTGATTTTCTATCTAAATGGATAATCCAGATTACTCTTCATTGGGAAGTTATGCTGATTTTGGTGATTCACATTTTGAAAATGGTTCATTTGATCGGTAAGTTTTCATTTTCTTTTTTCTCTTATAATTTTCCATTCAATTATTATTAATATTTACGATTACATTTCTTTCCTTTTATAATTTATAGTTAATAATCTTTTAAAAGAAGATTTGAAGATTAGATTTTAATTACTTGTCTACTACTAGAGAAAATTTAGTTTTACTTGCATGTTAAATCACTTAGTACATTTTACAAAAGAATCAAGAATTTGGTTCCAATTGAGTTGTATTCTTTTAATGTTTTGTTTACAAATATTCTAATGCATTTTTTCTCCAACTGTAGATTACCTCCTTATCAAAGTACACCTAGGCGAGTTAATCTAGTCGATCTTCGGAAACCACGATCCAGATCTTTTGCCTCAGGAAATAATGACCATGAAGAAAGGATAACCTCTTATGTTATCAATGTTGTTGATTTGCTTTCTGAACATGTTATTTTTCATCCTTTAGTTGTTATTAGACGTCAATGTCAAGTAAGACAATCTGTTAATCCAGTGATTAGAGTGTAAATTAATACAATGTTATCTTTTACCAGGTTACCCGTTTTTCCAATCGTTACCATTTGACCCCTTTAACAGTTATACCCTTACTATACAGACTACGATCTACTCAAGGATCTGGAGCTTTATGGAAAGGATTAACAAGTAATCTAATCGTTAAAGGATTGTACTTATCTTGTCAGTCTTTTATTGCCGGTGCTTTTGGCACTGAAGAGTAAGTGTTATAGTAGTTGTTGTTGTTTAATTCTTTACAACGAAATAATATTAACTTATTGATATTTTCCCAAATATTTTCTACAAATAATAATAGGAATCTCATCTGTAGAGGTTTAGCTTCTATATTGGCAAGTCCATTTCTTTGTTCAAATTCAATTGAAATTGTTCAATCTTCAATCGCCAGTGAAACTCCGGGTGTATTTGACTGTTTAAAAGAAGGTCTAACTCGATTAACTCATTGGAATTCAAATGGAACTCGCTTATTAACTTTCTGGTCATTATGTATTCCAACTGCTGGTTACTTTATCCTTCACTATCAAATTAGCTCGAATGTCACTGGATTATGTTTTGCTCTGAGTAGAACAAAACAAGACTCTGATTCATATAAAGCTACAATTATTAAATTAATTGGAAATTTAACTGCAGACATTATCCTTTACCCTCTTGACACAGTAATTCAAAGGTATGAATCAATTTTCATTCTCATCCAAAACAAAATCTTCACTTTACTTATGATTCCCATTTCTCTTTCATTTATTTTTAGACTTTATCTCCAAGGAACTCGAACAATAATTGATAATATTGACACTGGAAATACAGTCTTACCGGTTATATCTGCTTACGAAGGAGCTCGAGAGTGTTTTCAAACTATTGTCAAAGAAGAGACAACATTAGGACTTTACAAAGGCTTCGGTGCTTTAGTTTTACAATATTCGCTACATTTTATGTTTCTCAATTTAGCTCGATCTATTTGTCGAAAAATAATCGCCTCATGAACCAATCAACTCACTGTGATTTAATGATTCAACCAAAAACATCAATTCCTCTTCCATAAACTAAATTAATCCCACAAAATGAGCCCACAGAAAATCAAACAAGTTTTGATCTCATATTCAAATAATGGATTCATTTGTTTTTCCTTCATGATGATTAGATTATTTTATGTGAAAATATCAATTCTCTTTTTACTTGGAGCTTCGTATAAACGTAAATATTTCATATAATTGACACATACACCTCATCATTTGTAAATCAACTTTAAATATTTTATTTAAACACAAATTCAACTCGTTGATTAACATTTTCGTTGTAAGAATTGTTGTCATCTCCTTTAAACTCGCGCATTCGAAAAAAAAAGTTTTATTTCACTTTAAAAGTTACTCTGTAAAATATTATGACAATTAATTCATAACTATTTAAATGCTACAACAATGAGCTAAGGATAAGCTTAGATTGTGATTTATGATCAAAATTTAGAAAAAAAAATCACAGAGGGAGAGAGAAAGAGAGAAAAAAAACCGAAGAGGATTAATAAATCGGTTTTTAGGTGGGAATATTTACAATTAAAATCCATTGGATTAACTATATTAGGTCATTTTTGGACACTCGATGAACGATCTATTAAAGATATAATTGTTCTTAATTGTTGATCAAAGTTGAACAGTTTAACTATAGTTCATGATCCTTTTAAGGTGTTCGAATGGAAGAAAAAATCAATCAATTGGAATTGTTTTTCTCTCTCTCTCTCTTTCTCTCTTGTTCGATAACAATCATATCAATTATTCGATGTTGAGATTACAAAAATTGGAATCACAGGAAAAAAAAGATTCATGAAACTCCGTTCATTGTGAACCCTTGCAGCTTCGCTGATTCTCGTTTCTCATAAAATTCTGATTTAACTCCCATGAAAACACTTCCGAGGCCTTTTGACTTTGATTTCCAATCTTTCTTTGTTTCCGGATCTTGAGGTCCCCAATCATCAGTTTCATGACAACTCGATTTAATTTTCTGCCGAAAAAAAAACAAATTATAAAAGAAAAACAAATTTAGTCAACAATTTGATTATCAACAATTACCTTACAATTAAAGGGCAACATCAAATTATTAATACTATTGAATAACATCCTATTAATTGCTATTAACAAGTGACACATTTTACTCATTTGTAGGAATACAATTGTTAATCATCATCTTACTAAATTTCTCAATCATTTTATTAGTAACTCAACAAACCAAATGATTAACTTTAATCAAGATGATGTTTACAGCTAATGTGACTTTGGTCCATTGGTGATTAATAAAATTGAAAACTCAAACTAACAAGTAAAAGTCACATGAATTATTTCATTGATGAAAAGTATATATAAATTTGTCATCACATTTCCCGGATCAACACAATACACAAACCAATCAATCAATGAATCAATGAAAATAATCAATCAATAACAACACTAGAAACTAAAAAATTGGACGGAAACACACAATCAGCTGTCACAATTGTCTCTCTATATAAATAAAAAAATTTCCAGAGACAATTTAGATAATTGACCAATTGATTCAGCTAAATTACCATAATAATGGTAATAATAATAACATAATAATCACCTCAATTAGTCCTTCCCCTCGTTTCTCCTTAATTATCTGGTAAATGGCCCAAATGGGTATTTGAAGAAGTATAAACAAAGTGATTGACCAACCGACAACATCGGCCCACCAAGGGAAATCATAATCACCCAATTTCAGTGGTTTATGAGTAATCAATGAATAGATGGCAATGAAGGACAACACAAAGGGCGATGTCCAAACCCAGGTTAACCTCCAGTACCAACCAGTGCGACGGTCAAGCATATAATAAATATCGTAGGTAAAATTTTTAAACCCATAAATCCACATAACGGCGACACATTCAGCGACCGCAATATAGACCAAAGGTAATCCACCGCCATAGTAATCAAGAATCTCGAAGACAAATTTACCCCCACGGGTGACACACGATAAACCGATTAGGAAGCAAATTGTACCCACGGCGAAGACACTTTTCAATCGATGTCGACGAACAAAAGCAAATTCATCACTTAAACTGGTAATGACACTTTCAAGGAGCGCAAACTGTTGACAGGAAAGAAAAAAAACGAAAAAAGAACAAATTTGAACAAAAAGAACAAACAAAAAATTCTAAATAGAAAAGAATAGAAAAAAAAAGAAAGTATATCAAATTGACTCTTTCTTTTTTTTTCTTCACTTGTTATGATTAATTGTTTCATCTTTAGAATTGAATTTAAATTGTTAATTAAACGGTTTTTTATTTCTCTCAACGGTTAACAATTTGTTATCGTTTTTGATTGTTGTTTCTTGTTCTTCTTTTTATTAACTAACATGTTAACTTATTAATTGATTTTCTTATTCTCATGAGTGTTTTGTGTATTTGGTTTTTTTTTCAATTCTTTGATGGTGATAACCTTTTGTTTACACCATGTGAACAATTTACTCAACCAGATTGTGATTTAAATAATTAATCGATAACCAGTGGAAATCATTAACTAAGATGAATCTATTGATTAGATTGACATTCCATTAATTAGTTTGTTCCTTTCTTTGTATTTTTCGTTCAAGTGGTTAACTAATATAATAATAAGAGACCGAATGTTGATAACATGGGAAACACTTTCTCTCTTAATCAACTGGGTAACCTAAAGAGCCAAATACAATTACAATTTGTTAAACATAGAGAATGGAACATATTGAGATCTGGTTAACAGTTAATTATCAACAATTAATGGTGGTCATGTTATCCTAATCTTTAACGTAATTAACTGGTCACAAGATTAATAGACAAGGGTAATGACAACTAATACATTTCATATAATATTTGTTTCTATATGAATGTTAACTTGATGGTCAAGGAAAACAAATCAATCAAAGGAAAAGAATTGCAACTTTTTTCTTCTCATCGTTTTCTCTGATTTAATAATCGTTTCAATCAATAGACAGAAAATCTCATGAACTATCCTCATCTTGATTAACTGAGTAAGTATAAACTAATTTTTTCTTCTCACTTAATTGTAACCATGATACAGTTTCGTTTCACTTTCCAACAATTAACTGGGCCAAGAGCTACAACTTGTGATCTCTATTCCAAAAATAACTCAATGGTAATGATGAAATATACATGAGATTTTGTTCCTATTCTGATTAACATCTAACATTTAGATTGATATTAATATTTGGGTTTGTATATTAAATTTTAGAAAAAGAGAGATGAAGAGAAAAGTGAAATTGTCAACAATTAAGAAACCATTAAGTTGCCAAACAAAGCAAAAAGATTAATTCAATGTCAACCATTCAAACTAAATCTAATTTACTAATGATCTTTATCTTTATCTTTTCAGATTAACATTTAATAGTGACCATTAACCATATTAATTAGAACCTCATATTCATTGGATATCCAAGGTCAATCCAATATGAATCAATTTGAAACCAACGCCTTAACTTTTGATTAACTTTACTCATATTCTAATTGTCTTATTGTTTATTGGTAAGCTATTAAATCATTTCTTTGTAACCATTCAATATGATTTCATTCAGAAATCATAAATATCATAATCATTATTATATATTGAACGGGTGGAGATATACTAATATATAACAATCAGTAATACAGTTCCACCTTTTTGATTGAGAAAAGTTAATTATTTGATTGTAATGTTGTGATACAACAATTAGAACCGAACAAAGTTTGACACATATAATCAAATTTAAATTTAGTTATCATTTCTTTCTCTCTTTCTCTCTCACTTTGACAGAAAATATAAATCCAGATGATTAATTGGATAATTAATGAACTAAATGTATCGTCATTCTCAGCCAATTGACTAAAACCTACGCCCAACTGAATGATGTATGTACATGTACCGATATTTAGATGTAAGTATTGATTAATTGTTTACATTCACAATTGTCTGATTAAGTTTCTTATTTTTCAGGTAGGAAATGAAATCTTTGTCTTCCTTACCTCAGAATCAAGACCCAGAATGAACAGCATTGCAAAGAAAGCAACAGACCAGAATTCAGGGAACGGTAAACGAGAAAGGGCTTCAGGATAAATGACGAATGCAAGTCCAGGGCCACTTTTGACCACATCCTTTATATCAACATTAAGTTCATGAGCTAATGCACCGAGTACTGAGAAAATGACCAAACCAGCAATTATACTGGTCACTGTATCCAATATGCTAACGACCATAGCATCACTATTGATGAAGAAAAAATAATCAATTTGAAATTAGTCTTAACTCATCTAATCAATCATAGTTTTGTTGACAGTTAAAAGGCATACTTGAAATCTACTCCAATCATAATTCAAATTTGATTAATCAATTTCGATTGAAGTGTTTTCATTGATTTCAACGTTTCTCCTGAATCGATGAAACTACAGTCAGACCAAGTATCTCTTTATGAATCAATTAATTTTCAAATTTTGATTCAAGTTTCGTACAACAAATGAATCTATCATTGCAAAGTCTAACTTACCGGAAAACATTGTGACTGAAATCGTTGTAACTACTGTACATTATCAACGCACCCATCGAGACACCAAGCGAGAAAAACATTTGACTTGCCGCTGCGAGCCATACCTTTGATCAGGAGAAATGAAAAACTCAGGTAATTACATGTATTACCTACTAGATTTTCAAATGCAACAATGAGTATGTTTACCTGAATAGAGAGCAGTTTATCCCATGAAGGTGTAATGAAGTACTTGACACCCTCCCAGGATCCAGTTCGAGTAAAGCCAACAAGAAGGAGAGAGATCAAGATGGCGTATGGAAACGTGGCTGCAAAATAAACAACTTTTCCCGATGTTTTGACTCCTTTGACAAGACAAAGAACCGTAATTAGCCAACTAATTGCAAGGCAAAGAGCAAGATCCCATTTGATTCCACCAACATCTTCAATAGAATCTGTTGAATCAAGAACTTTTCTCCTGTCAATTCGAAAGCAAAAAAGAAAAGAAATCAAAAATCAGATAATCCAATTTACGGATTGATCATCTTACTCCCAGAAAATTTGACTCGATGATTTGGCTCCTTCAATGAACGAATACTGTGGACAAAAGTAACAAATGGAAAATGTCAATAAACAAGATCGAACTCAATTTAATTGTAACAACTTACATTTCCAGATCGAACCTGACAATTAGTACCAATCGCCCAATCATGATCACAACTTGTCCAAGGAAGACCGTAACGGAAAACAGCGCCGATAAAGTAAACAGCATAAGAAAGGACAACATTATAAAAGATACAAACAATGAAACAAACACAGGCCATGGCCGCACCAACACCCTTTGCGATGGGACAACAGGACCAAATTGAAAGCGGTCCTTTGGAAGCAAATTGACCAATGACCAGTTCCATGAAGTACATCGGCTTTCCAGCCAAGGTTAACATGATCAAATAGGGTATCAAAAAAGCACCACCGCCATTTTCATAGGCCAAATAAGGAAATCGCCAAACGTTACCAATACCAACCGATAGGCCAACACATGAAAGTAAAAATTCCCACTTGGAACCCCAACGAGCTCGATTTGATTGACCGGAATGTTTATCATCATTAACTAAATTAACGTTACTCTGTTGGTTTATTGTAGTTTCTGTTGATGATGTTGATGATGATGAGTTACTTGAATGATTGTTGTTATGATGATGATTATATTTTTCCAGTTTATCATTGCGTACACTTTTAGCCTGATCAAATTGAACATTCAAAACAAAATTAAGATGTTAAAAGATGATAACTAATCTTTTTTTTTGTTAATTTAGTTCATACTAACAATCATGTCACACTCTAATTAACTTTGATTAGTTAATTTCATGATTGTTTGAGGTTTCATGAACAAATTACAATATTATTATCCATGGTATCTATTGATGGATATATTGTCCAAACTTTAGGTAATTATTAATACATAAAGAGGAGTATAAACATTGTTATTACATTATGTTAATTAACAATTAACTTAATTGTAGAGTAAACTACTTACATCTATTTTACCATTTCCATTTCCATTGTAACCTTCGTAACTTTCATCAGTTTTTTTCCGTGTTCCTGGATTGAAATCACCAGAGACCAACGTCATATTTAATCAACCTTAATTGTTACTAATTTGACTCTTAACAATAATCAGAATTAAGTTAATAACCTTAATTTTTATCCCTCTTCCTCTCTTAACTAATTAACCTCTTAATAGTTTATACAATTAACTGATTTGCACCTTGAGTCCTATTCAAATCTGTTGAAAAACAAAATGAAGAGATGATATTGCAAGAGTGATTAGTTAATTAATCTTGTTAAATTGAGATAATCAAAAGACTATTTAACTACAGAAACTCTAAATTGTTTGAATGAAACAATTTAATTGGCAAAAAATCAACATCACCCGAACCTTGAATAATTTGTAATTACAAACACCATTGACCATTGTAGTAATATTGAAAATCAGTTTTAATTGTTATAATTAACAAGATTATACATAATTATCATATGCAAGGTTGTCTAAGGTAAAACCTGTTTACTAATAACAATCAAAATTAATTGTAATCATCAAGCAAACAAACAAACAAAAAATAATCTACGGAAAATCAAATCAAGGTTAACGTAATAATCAGATGAATGAAAATCATCATTAACTTCACGAATTATCAATTGTTGTAATTAAACGTTGATTGTGATGAAGAAAAAAACAGTCTCTCAATGATTCTGTTAATTGTTGTAATGTTGATTTCATTTTTTTCTCTCTCTCAGTTGAAAATCATTTTCTTAATTTACTAACAATTAATGAAAAAAAAGTACATCAACAAAACGATTGCAAACATATTAATAGTATGAACTCACTTAATTACATTAGTATGATTGCAATTAATGATTAATCAGTAATAGTTTCATCTGCATGATACAATTTGGAAAAACTTTCATCAACAATTAACAAATTGTTTGCATTGATTTTCACAAGAAAACAAGTTGACCCTCAACTTTGAAATTAAATCGTGAAAACGATCACTCGAAACAATTGATGATCTTTGTTGATTGCTGATGATTGTCCAACTAAACGATATTCAAGTCTTTGTCAATTGTTCATTTGCATGATGATCAGAAAGTAAACTGATCTTTAATCATTATTTGATTCCTGATCATCAATATTACCAATATAATGATGATGATATTGGTTGTTTTCTTGCTGGTGATGATACTATTTTCAATCATCAGCCCTTCAGGCAATAACCATTAGTGGAACAATTTATTTTTTGTCTCTGTGATCAAGAAAATATTGTGAAAACAAGTCACGTTATCAGAACTTTGTTGATCGTAACAATCAACGTACAAATTGTCACTAACCCTCCAACAGTTTACATGGACTTTTTTGTCAACACACTCACTTAAAGTGCTTTAATTGAGTAAAGATAAAAGTTAAAGGTGATTAACTCAGGTACGTGTTAATTGATTCTTTACCCACAGGGCATCAGTACTAATTAAACAGATTTGTTATTTCAGGTTATAAAAATATTCTCGAATAGAGATTTATCATGGAACTTTTAATGACGAAAATGAAATAGTTCTTGGAAGCCTGAGCTGCGGAGATGATGAAAATTATCAATAGCAACACAAATGTTCAGATTCGAACTCTATTCCAGACTGACGGAATCGATTTAATCAAGTTCGAAACATTTCTAGAGCCACAATAATCTTGACGATCTTTGTTTCATCTTTTTAAATGATGGTAAAGTATCAATGTCTTTAGGGGTACAAGGAGTCGGCAACTAGTCGAGTTCAATGTACATGTTCAATGTTGTTGATATTCAATGAAAAAGAGACTCGAATTAAGGAATCGAAACTCGCACGAAAAAGTGATTTATATGGAATAAATTTGATATTTACTGCCGAACAAACTTTCATATCTGATCATAGTAGATTGGATCATTCGAACAGCTCATAGAAATCTTTCTATCGTTGGAACCCTGAGGCAAAAGGGGAAAAAGGAATACCCGAAGAACCGATTCTGAAAAACAGCAATAGAAGGAGCGAGGAATCCTCGCTATAAGCCTGATATGGATAATATTAGAAAGTCGTGAGTAGAATCCCCAGGAAAAAACTTCGAGTGATTTTTGTCGAGTTAACTGTTGGCGGGTCGAGAAATTGCCACCGAGTGTGTAAATATGATCAGTAGATTATTTCTGTGACATTGAAATCGATATACAAACTATCCCATGAGATATAATTTTAATCATTTCCATCACGTTGAAAGCTTAATTTGATTTCGAGCAATTTAGCCTTGATTGTTTTTAATTTTCCATCAACAAGGTTTTCCCTTAATTTTGTAACTACTGTTTACTTTTTGTTCAACTAATCAAGAGTTTAGCTAATCAATTGGTTAAAACTTAAGGACGAATCAATTAAAACCAATGAGAATTTAATTGTGTCGTGATGTAATATATTACAATTAATTGCTCAACTATTATTATCATTATCAAATAAGGATAATGATTAATGAAGATCTGATTTGATTGTGATCATTTGAAGGTTGGAAAAAGTTTTTCAAAACTCAATACTTTTGAGAATTAGTTGATTCTTATGGAAACTCGGTCAAAGTACTTTTTTTCTGTTAACAATTAAATCAACTCAATTATAATTAGTGAAAAAGTTAATTAAAATAAAATTTGATTGCTACTGACAAATACTATGATACATATAACCTTAATTGTTTCCTATTTTTTTCATGATCAATTTAAATTCATTTGCTTGTTAACTTTTGATTCTTGGACCATAAACTTTTAACCAACCATATTAATGATGATTTAAAGTTAAATTTAGTCAACAATTAATAACATTACACTTTAATTATCACATTGGTTGGTTTGTTATTGTTTTTTTTTCCGGCTCTCATTTGATTGTAATCAACAATTCACAATTTAAACTTTCACCTTAAATCAGAATCGATTTCAAGTTCATGTTCAGAATATAATTCAGTTCGTATAAATATTTGATTACAATTAGCTGATTATAATCAAGATTAATCAGCAAAAACTGTTGAATCTTCACAACAATCAAATTAAACCTTTCAAGTAATTGTATTAATAGATTAACATTGAATTGTTTCACTATTTGATTTAACCAAACTGATTGTTATTTAATTACTTTGTTAGATGGACATGAAATCAACTCTTGCTGCCAAATTATTTACAATTTAATTACAACTAAATTTAGCTCGTCAATCGTTGATCAAAATTTCCGGGTGGATGTTGATTAAGCTAATTAACAACAATAAATTGGCATCACAATTAAAAGTAATCATTGGACTTACAAGAAAAAGTTTTTACTTTTTTTTTCTGATCACAATTGACTTAATTGTTGTTCAGTTTTTTTTCATCCCAACAAGTCATTTGATTGACAACAATTTAAATTGTCAGAATAAATATAATTTCCTGTTTATCAAAATACAATTTAAATTTGTTTCCAACGATATTAATTGTTTACAATATCGTTGAAAATTAAGTTGCAACAATCAGATTATAAACTTTAACTTAATTTAGATTCGTGTGTGTGTTGATTAGTGAAAGTTGATCAAACTCGTATATTTAATAATCATAATCATCTTCATGTTGATTGTCAAGAAAATCAGTAAATCAATTGTTTATTTCATCTTCTATACCAATAACAATCAGCCCACATTTAAATTGTTGAAAACATGGTTAAGCTTTAATTTAAATTATACACTTTTGATTGTAATAATCAATGAAAAGTCAACACAATAAACAATCAAGTTAATGATTGTTGATCATGATGAGCACCTAATCATCAGAGTTTAATAATACATAATTTATTATTAATCAATTTAGAACCTGTTTCAATATTATTATTAAATTAAACGATGGTGATTCAATTACGATCAACTAATCACTTTCTAATTTTCCTTGATTCTATTGTGTTTAAATAGCGATAATCAAATCAGTCTTTTTTTTGCTAACACATGATTTAGATTGTCAATCAAGGTAAATTACTAATAGTAAAAGTAATTGATTAATCAACAATTTTTTTACAAATCAATTTCCAATTGCCTCGTAATAAAGTTAAACAAACTAACACTTTCGTTAATTGCAATTAAATAGCACAATTTACTGGATGATCAGAGAAGTTGATAGTTTGATGGTCATCAATTTAATCAACTTCGTACTTTTAAACTGAATTAACTTTGATCATGATAATCAAAAGGGTGAAAAAGTCTTTAACCTTTTCATATCAATATAAATCTAATAACAAACTGACTTGATTAACTTTTTTTTATCAAACTTAATTTGATTGTTCATTTTATTGTATAAACTAAAATAGACTAATTTTGTGGTTAATTTTAAATTGTTTACTGTGAGTAAATCAAATTATGGTTAAACTAATCATGAATTCAAAAAACTACAACAATTTAAAGGTTAATCTTTTTCTGTATTAGTTTATTATTGGTGATGCGTTGTTTTTGACTATTAGTTAATTGTTTGGCAGGTTAATCGTTAGATAAATCAAAAAAAAAGAGAGGAATTAAATTAAAATCTAACTTGTCAACGGCTCAAGTGTAGAAACGACAAATTGATGATAGTTTTTACAGTTATATCAACGAAGGCGAAAATATAATAATAGTAAAAAAAGCGATGATAATGATGAAAGACACATGAAGATGAAAAAGTTTCCATAACATTTGAAAAGGCTGAAGGGTTGAAGGTACTTTGGTACAGGTAAGTTAAAGGTGAGAGAGAAATAGAGATGAAGATGATGAGTAAGCAAAGAGGCTTAAGAAGCTTTTGGAAGGAAGAATAGAGAGAGAGAGAGAGAGAGAGAGAGAGAGAAAAACTAATAGGAGAGAGAGAGAGAAAAGGATGAGAGAGTTTATCTGATACAGGCCAGCAAACAATTAGGTAACAAGGCAGAAGATTTTGATTCGGTCAGCTGATTATAACCTTTAGCCCATCAACACCATTGAAAGTTAACCTTACTCAGCGATAGCTCTCCCATGTTCACACTCTAGACTGAACTGATTGAGCCTAAAGAAGATGAAATTGAAACAATGTAAAAATATCTAAATGATTATCGAGGGTGAACAACTGATAATGTTACAAGGAAAACTTTCTTTTAGAACTTTCCAAGTTTCGAATTATTTTCTTACCTTTTTTCTCCGAAAGATTCTTATCATTAACCTCAGACGTCTGTCGAATGTCAATGGCCTTAGAACTTTTCTTTTCTTCCAACCGATTCTTCCTGAATCAATTGGAATATCATCTTAATATTAAGATAATAATACCAGGGAACTCTAAATATATTATTGTCTCTGATTCTTGCCAAAAGCGAAACTTTGATAACAATTTTGTTTTCTATTTTGTAACTAACAATTTACGTCAATTGATTATTTTTACAATCAGTTGATTCACATTTTCGTTGGTGAATGAAATTTCATGTTTACTCATATTTGTTGTCTCCCTATTATTGAGATGATTTAATCAACAAGTTAAATCTTGTTTTCCTCTCGCATCATTAATCTGAAAATTTATGTTCATCTTTAATTCAATTGCATTTTAAATTTGCAATTAACTTTTGGTTAACAATTTTCTAGCTCATATTTTAGCACAAACAAGTTACTATTTTTTTACAGTTATTTTTACAAAAGTTTCATCATCATCATCATCTTAATCACTGGATTACCTTCACGGTTATGAAGATAACGATATGATTATCCTTTTTTTTATCTTAATATTAATAATAATCATCTGTGAGTTAATTAAGTCACTGGGTAAATTGTTGGTGGTATTGAAATTGCTTGGGCTAATTGTTGAAATTGCGACAAGAAATTTACTATTTATATTAATGAAACTGTTGCCAATTGTTGATTAATTGTGATTCTAATTGTAAATTGATTAACATTTTTTTCTGTTATTGTTGTTATCAGGTGAATGTCTTATGATGGTAATAGATTTAGATCAAGATCAGATTACCTGTAAGCTTTAAAGTCTGATCATTTGATAGTAATTCCAACAATTAACTTAAAAATGTTCACTCAAATTAGAATTTAATCTGACAATCAAATTAAATAGATAGAAATTCATCTAATCTTCATCAAAATAATATCTTTACTTTCTTTCGAAAGCCTTTTTTTTTCTTGGCTTAAGATTAAGCAAATAAGAAAGAGATAAAGTTGAAAGTTTTGAGAGTAAATCTTATATACAGACTAGATTATTTTGAAACTAATCCATCATTTTATTTTCAGTACATAAAGAGATGAACATGAAGATGATGATGATGGGGGAAAATGTCAACATGATTCAGGAAGAGATGTGAACATGGTGAAAATGAACAGATCAACATGAATACGAAGTTTTTTTTCTCGTTCTTTACTCAGCCAGAATTATTCAGATCCTTTTACGGTTCTTGAAATTAATTCTTTGAAAAGAGAGAGAGAGAGAAGAAAAAACTCAACATGAAATATTGATAATGAAAATCATGATGATAATATTTCATCGTCAATGATAATCAATCAAGAGTAACAATTAACAGAATCGTAACTTTCTTTTCTTCTTCTAGTTGAAACTCACATAAAACAAGCAATTGATTTCATGATGAAATAATATATAAAAGAAAATGTGAGTTCAATTATCAAACATAAGAAAATTAACCGTTAATCCGATTCCTATTCTTGACTAAAATCACAATTAGGACAAATAATTGTGACAATTAACCAGAATAGAAGATCAAGATGAACATAAATCGATAAAAACTAGTGAAAGAAATGAGAAAAGTTTAACTTACATGGGAAACTTGCCAATGGAATTAGTGAATTTATTTAATTAACCAAGAAGAAAAAGGTTCAGCTTATTATTATGGAACAATTAACTTAAATTCCAAGTTGATTAAATTGATTTCTTTCCGATTGGAACAAAGTTTTTCGCTATCGAACACAAAATCAATCGATGATTAAAATTAAGTTGATTTGGTTAACCGTTGATCTGATTTTCCGATTTGTATGGACTCACAAATTTCGTGAGCTCATAAACTTTCAATCAAATTTACTTTAAACTCAATGATTATGGTTAATTGTTAATCCAAATTATAATCATCATGTTCAACAAGTTATAAACTTTAATCACAATTTAAAATGATTTCAAACTTACAAATGATTTGAAAAAAGCTTAAACCAAAAGGAGGTAACAATTAACCCACGTGATCAATTGTTTACTTAAATTGTTAGCGCCATCTAATGATTTAACTTAATCTAAGAGATTACAGTTAACCATTAAACTTTTAATTGTGATTAACTTAACTAATTAAACTTGACCTTTACCCTCAGGGATTCAGTTTCACTTTTACTCAAATATTAGTTAAACTTAAAGATCACAACATTAGCTGATTAATTAGTTTTCCCGATCAAAGGTTAATCAATTGGTTTTGATTATGATTATGATATTAATGTAAATCAATTGATTAGATTTTAATTGCTTGAAATAATTAATGAAATGACCGATCAAATTTTCATTGATTGATTGGAAAAAGTTTATTTCATTTTTTTACTTATCATTATTAGCAATTTTTTAGGCATTAATTTAGTTTCAATAATTTGATTTGAAAATTTGATTGTTGAGGTAATTAAGTCATATAGCAAATTAAACACTCAGTGTAACAATTTACAGGTTGATTGTGATTAAATTTTGATGATTAATTTAAACTGGAGTTGAAAATCCGCTAATATTGGTTCCAAAATGAACATTTCTTTGTTGATTTATCTGTTTTAATTTAAATTGTAAAGTAAAATTAATTATCATGATCATCTGAGATCTTAATCAATTCAAATTGGCTGAATTTTAATCTAAAAATTTGATCAATAGCCAACAATTTACAAATAATATTCAATCCCAATGAAGATTTATAAATATCAATTTAAATTTGGTTATTGATCAATTGTTAGTTTAATAGAAAAATTTAATCATAAATTGTGGTTAATTTTTCTTACCCTTAAATTGTTGGTGTGTTGAAATGATCGTCTAGGTAACAATTGACTTCTCATTGTAAGATCACCAAGAGCAATTGAATTATCACAATTAACTTCTTGTAAATTGTTGATTGTTTCACGAAAATTGGGAAATGATCCAACTGAATATAACTTTTTATCCACAAAATTAATTCCATATCCTTGAGAACCAGTAAATCCAATAGTGTAATTATAATTACTCGTTGTTGTAGACATTTGATTGTACGAAGGTAAAACATAATTAGTGTAGTGATTTGTCCCAATCAATTGATCATTTACTTTATCAATATAACAATCTTTTGATGAAGGAACCACATCAGGATTAATTGCACCCGAAGTGAATGGTTTTGCATAGCTATCAGTTAGATTATCACCAAAGGATTCAGATTCCCTGTTAATTGAACATCATCAACAACAATTAACTACCAACAATTAGTAACAATTTAACCAAACTTACATTATATTTGATTGTTTGATTACTGTTGTTTTAAGCTGTCGATGCTTTCGTATGCCAAAGGCAATGGTCACTACCAAGGACAATAAAATAACAGCCGATATCAAGCCTAATCTAACAGCGGACATGATATTGGAGTCAAATAGATACAAGACAAAATCCCCTGAAATAATTAGATGCAAACAATTAGTTAATAGTAAAGGATTTATATTGTAATCAGTTTATTACCATCATCTCTCCAAGAACGAGTCGTAGTTGTGAGGGAAATAATTCTTGACGATCCATTTGAATTGGATGAAAACAGCATTAAGATATAACTGGATTCTGGTGTAAGGTCACTTATATTGAAAATCGGCTCAATTGGATTACTTATATTCTGTATAATTTGTTTACGATTGTCTAAAACTTGAGAGTTAAATGTTTGATTTAATCCTCCATCATAACCAGGTAAACATTTGATAAACAATTTATCTGATAATCTTTCATAGATTGTACATTCTGAAAGAGCCTCAGGGGGACCAGAGGGTATTAAGGTGAAAAGACAAGGTTCCAATTGTGGTCCAATAGCATTTCGAGACCAACACTCAAATATACCAAAATCGTCTTTACTTTTTACTTGATATTCAAGCTTTGATATTAATCCTTCTGAATTGAACTTGAAATTTGTTAAATCAGGTTGATTTTCGTGACCCATTGATCCATTTAGTAACCAGTAAAAGTCAACCTTTCCCGGTGAAGCTTCAACCTCACATGTAATTCTGAGGGTTTCACCAAGAGAAACACCAACAATACCCCGTTGACCTTTCTTACATGTCGGTGGATCTGAAAGAAGAGTTGATTATGATTAAGATTCTAATTGATTTGTAGAAATAAACTTGGAATAACTTACAATGAACTTCCAAATGGAAAACATTTGACATTGTTTGACCTTCAATATTCATTGCTGAACATTGATATCGACCATGATCTTGTCGTATCGTTTTTTCAATGATCAATGTTGTATTTAATTGTTTGACTCCTGCTGATTAAAATAAACAATTATCATTATTAATCAACTGACCCATGAAAAGATATAAAGATTGACCTTTACATAGAAGCATTTAATCAAATGCAAGTCTAGATTTGAAGTAATCAACTTTGGATAAACTTTTTCGAGCTCATATTTAATTAGGTTATCAATAATTAAGATTTAATTCTAACGTAATGTTGACAAATTTATATTTATATTGAAAAGAAAAACTCAATGAGAACATGTAACATTCATCTGGATGAATGAATTTCATAAAACTTAATAATTACTATTATAATTGTGAACAAAACATAGAGCCACACAATTAATGTTTCCATTAATACAATTGTTTATTGTCCACTTTTGATTAGTAAAAATTAATTGCAACAATCAGTGAATAGATAATTGTAACCATGTTAAAATTATTCATCAATGAATTAGCTTTAAATGTATTAATATATTAGTTGTAACCCTTTTATGCTTCACCAATCGTTTAAGAGTGAGAAACAATGAATCAGTTAAATTGAAGTAATCAATTGATTTTGGTAACAATCGACTAAGTTAATTAACTTACTATGTTTGATCAATGGTTCACCATCTCGATACCATCGAACCTCAAAAACCATTGGATTTGCAGAAACGTTACAATTGAGTTCTACTCGATCACCGGCTTTTACTAAGGCAGCTCTAGATGAATTTCCAATTGTTAGAGACACTTTTGGATCATCTAAGAGAGAGAGAGAGAGATGATTGAAAAATATATTCGATTGAATAACAATGAGAATGAGTTGTTTTTGTTCTGAAATTTAAGTGCATGGAGCTTCAAAGTTTAATGAATCGTTGTGATTGAACATTCAGTTAATCATGACGATGATTGAAGAGTGTAAAAACTGACAGAGTGTAAATGTGAACAAAAAGTTAAACAAAATAAAGAAAGAGTAGAAAAGAAAGAGATAACTTTATGTAATGAATAAAATGATCAAGTAAATATAAAGTTCTGAGAGAGAAAATTATTTTTACTCCTTCTCTTCGTGGAGAAATGTATATAAATCTAAGTATCATCAACATGGTATAATTAATAGTGTTTTCGTGAAATTTCATTATGTTTTGATGAGTGATACGAATTAAAGGTGACATTTTCATAAAGAAACGTAGGCATGGTGAGAGGGTGGAAGATACGGAAGAGAGAGAGAGAGAGAGAGTCATAATAACTTTGGCCAGGTACTAAAACTGGTTTAGTACCTGGTCCAAACCACCTCATCTTCCCCTGTTATTTTTCCCCTTCTCTCTCTCTCTCTTCCTTTTTCCTCTCCGCCATTTTGGCCAATCGAGTTGGCACCTTTACGGTGTTCGGTTCCTTTAAGTTTCCTTTTATCTAAGTGATTGTAACCCTTTGTAATTAACAAATATAAATTAAATCATCTTTCCGATTAATATGAATTTTAATAATGAAGTCGATGTCTAAATCACCAACATTTAATTCGGCCTTTCTAAAGTAATATGTTTAATTTGTTTTGATATTAAGTTCAACCCTATTGGTGTTACATTTTTGGTGACCCTTGGACGTGATTTGTGTTGTATTTTTCTTGTTTATCTCATAGATACACTTTAGTTTACCTTTCAATCTTTTTTTTACTTTCTTTTCGTAATTGATTTTCGTGATTATAAAGAAAAACCTACTGAATACGATTAACTTGAGATTATAAAAAAAACCACAGAATGTTAACCTAATAAATCTATTCATCTAAATTAATTTCGCTGGTAACAAAAGTAAACAACCTAATCCAGTGAAAGAAAATGATACATTTGTCTCAGTATAAACGGCCAGATTATTTTTGTTTTGTTTGTACTTCATCATTTCTATAACTGATTATATTGAGTAGTTGTCAACAATCAGGACCTTTTCGTTTTGATCATTTTTTCTCATATTGCGTTTGTGGACATTTTTTTTCAGTAATAATCGTTTTATTGTGACAAGAATCGATTTTAGATTATAAATTGAATCGATGATAGCCAAGTTACAAACAGGTTTTTTTTTTGCTTTCGTAAGCTTTAGTTATAAAGAAAAGAACCTTCACAAATTGAAGGTAAAAACTTGTTCAGGTTTTGTTTTAAAAAAAAACTAGCTATTCAACTTTTGTTGAAACTTTAACCATCTCATCCTTGATATGTATAGTTATTCGATAATTTACCTTTTTTTTGAAACCTGTTTAACATTAAGTTAGAATTCGCTAAGAGTCACTGATTATCAACAGTAGTTACGAAACAGGTTGTGATAAACTTATCAACATTTGTTTGAAATTTGTTTGATAATATAGTTATTAATTATCATCTTCGTCATTTGATAAATTTCGTTCAACATTTGGTTAAAATTCGATTGATAGTTTAGTTATTAATTATCATCTTCGTCATTTGGTAAAATTTCGTTCAACATTTGGTTAAAATTCGATTGATAATTTAGTTATTAATTATCATCTTCGTCATTTGATAAATTTCGTTCAACATTTGGTTAAAATTCGATTGATAATTTAGTTATTAATTATCACTTTCGTCATTTGGTCAACTTCGTTTAAATTCGTCTGATAAACTAGTTATTGTTTATCACTTTCGTCATTTGGTAAATCTCGTCTAAAATTTAGTTAAAATCTGATTGATAATTTAGTTATTAATTATCATCTTCGTCATTTGATAAATTTCGTTCAACAATTAGTTAAAATCTGATTGATAATTTAGTTATTAATTATCATCTTCGTCATTTGATAAATTTCGTTCAACATTTGGTTAAAATTCGATTGATAATTTAGTTATTAATTATCATCTTCGTCATTTGATAAATTTCGTTCAACATTTGGTTAAAATTCGATTGATAATTTAGTTATTAATTATCATCTTCGTCATTTGATAAATTTCGTTCAACATTTGGTTAAAATTCGATTGATAATTTAGTTATTAATTATCATCTTCGTCATTTGGTAAAATTTCGTTCAACATTTGGTTAAAATTCGATTGATAATTTAGTTATTAATTATCATCTTCGTCATTTGATAAATTTCGTTCAACATTTGGTTAAAATTCGATTGATAATTTAGTTATTAATTATCATTTCGTCATTTGGTAAAACTTCGATTCAACATTTGGTTAAAATTCGATTGATAATTTAGTTATTAATTATCATCTTCGTCATTTGATAAATTTCGTTCAACATTTGGTTAAAATTCGATTGATAATTTAGTTATTAATTATCATCTTCGTCATTTGATAAATTTCGTTCAACATTTGGTTAAAATTCGATTGATAATTTAGTTATTAATTATCACTTTCGTCATTTGGTCAACTTCGTTTAAATTCGTCTGATAAACTAGTTATTGTTTATCACTTTCGTCATTTGGTAAATCTCGTCTAAAATTTAGTTAAAATCTGATTGATAATTTAGTTATTAATTATCAATTTCGTCAATTGGTAAATTTTGATCAACAATTAGTTAAATTTTATTGATAAAATCTGGAAGTATTGGTTTCTACTGTTTTCTACTAATTGATTCAATTGTCCGTTGTTCCAGAATCTGTGAAACTTTTGTCTTTTTGGTTAATTGAGTTAGCCGTTCGTTTCAAGATTTGTTGGTTCGTTTTTTTGGATTTAATAGTCAATTTCGTTTGGAACATTTGTTATAACAGAAAATTTTGTATTTGATTATTGGGATAATCTAGTTATTGATTATCATTTAGTTATAAATTGTTATTTTGATAAATTGTTGTTCAATCAACTGATTCGATTGTCCGTTGTTCCAGAATCTGTGAAACTTTTGTCTTTTTGGTTAATTGAGTTAACCGTTCGTTTCAAGATTGCTGGTTCGTTTGTTTTGGATTCAATAGTCAGTATACTTAGAACAAAAGATTCATAATTATGACGAGCCGATATTTCGATGATACTTTGTTAAACAATATTAAAAGCTTTGATGGAAATAATGCTGATGTCTATGACTGGCTTGACGATTTTGAACAAATAACTGAAGCCGCTGGCTTAAATAATATTGATAAATTAAGACGATTACCTGTTTATTTAATTGGTCCTGCTAAAGATTGGTATGCTGTTAGCATAAGAAGTAAACCTGTTGATCAACGACCAACTACTTTCAATGATTTGAAAGCTAAATTACTCGCAGCTTTCAAACAACCTTCGCTATACCAAGATGAATTACGCTCGAAAATTGAAAATAAAAAGCAACACGAAGGTCAAGATGTTATATCTTATTTCTTTGAAATGGGTGGCCTGTGTGCTAAACTTGACCCGAATATGGATTTCGATGATAAAATAAGATATATTAAAAATGGATTCCTCCCTGGTATTTTAAAGTATATTGCTGTGGTAAAGGTAAATTCAATGGATGAATTTAAGGATTATGCCGTGGAAGCTGAATATTATTATCTTAAAAACAAATTTAATCAATAATTAATCAACTCGGTAATTGGGTTTGGTGTTGGGTAATTTCATTTATTAACCTTTTGAATTTATTATTATACTGGAATTGAACAATCTAACTGCAACCTTCGATATGGAAAGTCTACTGAGTCGTTTGAATAATTCTGCTCGTAAAAGGGACTTTACGAGGATGGCGTCCGGATAATGTCATAATAACTTTGGCCAGGTACTAAAACTGGTTTAGTACCTGGTCCAAACCACCTCATCTTCCCCTGTTATTTTTCCCCTTCTCTCTCTCTCTTCCTTTTTCCTCTCCGCCATTTTGGCCAATCGAGTTGGCACCTTTACGGTGTTCGGTTCCTTTAAGTTTCCTTTTATCTAAGTGATTGTAACCCTTTGTAATTAACAAATATAAATTAAATCATCTTTCCGATTAATATGAATTTTAATAATGAAGTCGATGTCTAAATCACCAACATTTAATTCGGCCTTTCTAAAGTAATATGTTTAATTTGTTTTGATATTAAGTTCAACCCTATTGGTGTTACAAGAGAAAGAGAGTGGGAGGGAGACAGAGCTACTGATGAAATTTTTCGCCTCAGTTCAGTAAGACAGAAAAAAGTGATGAAAGTTTTTTCGTCGAGGTTATTTTTTCTATCATGATGATGTTATTTCATTTTCCATGTTCATCCATTTTCCATGACTAAGCTAAACCATTTCTTTTTCATTCTCCTCCATGTTCATTCAAATAAATGGTTTCATTCATTTCTTTTGATACATGATGATGCCTCGTGAAGATAAATTATCATTATAATCTGATTACTGAGTGGATATTCTGAATGTCCATGTATTTCATTATATCTTTTCTCTTTCTCGTTGAGTAATAACTCTGAGTGAGAGCGTGAGAGGAAAAATTGAGAGAGAAAGGTCACACTTTGATCACTTGATAAAAAGTTTCATCGCACAAAACAAATATTCAGACACCTCAACACTAATCATGTTTGGTGAATGTTGAATGAAAAAAACTCATATCAACTCATAATAGAAAATTTTCAGAATAATCTGAAAAATTCTGAGTAAAATGTTTACGCTTTTGTTTTTATTTTTCATTTCCACTCTTTTCTATTCACCTAATATGGTAAAAGTTAATATCTCAGGGAATCTGAAATTTTACATCTCATGAATAAATATAATCTGACAAGTAAAATTTTCTAATCCAAGTTAACTTTGAGTTACTTTAATATTGTTTCATTGTCACTGTTAGTTTTCAAATGATCAAATTAGTTGATTGTTATACATGGTTAAGGTTTAACCAACATTATCAATCAGATCGTGACTTGACTTTACACATTGAATAATAATTTGATACACAATTTGTTAGGCCATTAGAAATATTTTCATTTACTTAGTTCACAAATTGAAAATGTTATCATAATCAAGTGAAAATGCTTAAATCTCCGGATTGAACTTTCTCATCTGGTGAAATAAGATCAGCGTATTAGTCAAAGTAAATCCTCATCAATTTATCCACCTAATTCTCTAAGTATATTAACGGTTAATCCAATTTTCTCATCTTAACTTTGGTTGTTTTTATCTTTTCTTACTATTTCTCTTTCTTGGTGAAATTGAGACGAAAATATCATTTTAAATGAATGGGAAGATTTGGTTCTTGAAACTTGAATCTTTTTTATCGGTTTATTTATAGTAACATGGACAAAGATAAAACCTAAGGCAATCCACAGGAAGGAAAATGACTTTCAGATGAAAATTACATGATGAATATGGTAAAAGTTGAAAGGAGAAAATTCAGTATCAATGATATAATAATGCTCAGCTCTTTCTTTTGCTTTCTTTTCGTCAATATAATAATACAAGAACAGAATATTGATAACCGGAAATAATATTGATAAACTAGCAGAAAGTTAAACTTACAATAAACTTCAAGAATCCATGAGTCTTGAATGAATGAATTATTTAATCTTGGATTATCGGCTTTACAGAAAATGTTTGCTTTATCATCATCACGAGTCGGCATCAAGATTAAGGCACTTGTAGTGACAAGACCATCAGCTGAATAACTTTGCCTGCGAAAAAAATAATAATAATACATTTGAAGAAATAAAATAACAACGATAGCTAACAAGTTCAATTCTCTGAAATTGATTGATTACCTCGAACGTATCATTGGTTTATCATCTTTGAACCAAGTAACTCGAGCTGGAGGTCGTGAACCTGATGCAACACAAATAATTTCAATCTTTCGACCAGCCGATATTGGTTGACGATCGTTAGTTATTTCAACTGAATTGGGTTTAACTATTATAATCAAACAAAGAAAATTATTATTAATTATCGTTCAATTGTAGGCCCATTTGATCAAAATATTAGGTTTGTATTGATTAATCCAGGAGATGATTACATACTCAAGAAGGTGTCAATGGTAATAATTAATAAATACTTAACTATTTATATCTAAAGTTAATGATATTGTTGGTCCATTAGTGAAATTATTATTCGTTGCTTTACATGATAGGATTGAATTGAGTATTTTTTTATCGATATTGATTATGGTTAAATGATTTTCCACTAAACCGATATTAGAATCAATTATGTCAAAACTATTATCAATTAATTGATCATCATGGTACCAGAAAAGTGATGGAGATGGTCGACCTAATTGAAATGGCGATAATTTTGACAAAATCGTTAGATTGTAATTTTTTTACATTCATTATGAGTAATTATAGGTTTTCTTAAAGCAAGATTAGCTTAAAGATGTGAGATGAATCCTTTTCTGATTATAATATAATAGGCTGAGGAAAGTTTCAATTTGAATATTTTGATTAATATTAAAAAATTTTCTTGATCATCTTTTTATGTGATACGTTAATCTTTAATTACGTTTATCAAGCCTTTTAATTACCTCCAGATGATTGACAGATAAGGTTTATGTTGGCATTTTCATCGAAAGACACTGGATTAGGTAAAATTATCTCTTTACCGTTATCCCCATTGATTATGCTTATTCTTGAAGGAGGTACTGTGAAAAAAGATTTAAGAGCTAGATTAACGATTTGTTATTCATTTATATGGTAAGATTAAAGAAATTACCGATTACGAAAAGGTTTATATTGGTTACTTGAGTTCGACCTCTTCTAAAATCGACTCGGCACTTGTAGTTACCATTATCTTCATTTGTTACTGGATTGATTAAAAGGAGTGATCCATGGACGGAAGATTTATTGAATTCAAAAGATGCACGATTATCTAACCGTTGATGTGAGAAAACTTGAGGTCCATCGGTATCAAGATTAGCTCGAGAATCAAGGGTGTAGATAGGCTGACCACCAGTCCCCTCCTTGTACCATAAAATTAGAGTAACCGAATCATCTTCTATCTGATTTGTTACATTACACGGTAGTCTTACATTTCCGCCAACAATAACCTTGATCTCAACTATATTGTTAGTGTCACCTGAGAATAAAAATAATTAAATTAAGTCAAGAATTCTAGACGGGGAGGAAGTTAAAGTCACAAAAATAGCCTCGACCGTGTCAATAGCTACGCTCGATAGAAGCATTTTGACATCAACACTAACACAATAAATTGTCGAAATGTATAGTCAACTTTTGGAAAGAGAAAAAGTAAGGATTAGAATTCCTCTTTCTTTTATTTATTTTTCTCTTTCATTTTCTCTTCTAATTTGTTTTCTCTCTTTAAAATCCTACTAAAGGGCGTTTCATGTGTTTTCAGACAAAATGGGAAGCTACAATTATCTCAAGCAATAGAAGCATAAGTAATAAAACCTCCGCTTCTGAGCCACTCTGAAGCGGAAGTAGGAAAAATTATCATCTATTTAAATTATTTCAATAAAGAAAATTATACAAATGAACGCGGTCGAATAGTCACGTGATTTTTGTTACTAAGCAACATATCACGTGACCATTCTGTTTCCTGTTTACTTTGATACTTTCCTGTTTTTCTTTTAGTTCAGGTTTTGCTCTATTACTTTACTGTTTTTACTTCATTTTTTTTCGAATTCATTCATCTAAGTTCTTTAAATTTGATTTTTATCTCCATCAAAAAATGTTATTTGCTCACATACCATTTCAATTTCTTTTACTTTTTGATAAGTTGTTTATTGTTATTATATATTGTATGTCTAGATAATCTAACTATAACTATTTATTTTATTTTGTTCCCCTTAGCTATAGTGTACCAAAAAAATATGCCTCATAATATTGAAACTATTAACACAGGAAATATTACCACTAATGGTAGGTTTTTTCCTAATATATCTTTCATACAATTTAAATAGTCATATTTTTTATTATTAACCAGAAGCATTGCAACAACAGAAACAACATTAACGACAAGAACAACAAGAACAAGAATAACAACAACAACAAGAGGAAGAAGCTAACGTTGAGCAGCAAGATCGAAATATTGAAACAGCTCTAAATGGTGAGTAATTTTTAACGATTGTGACTAGCAATGACAAATATTAGTATACTTAGTCGACGTTTCTATCACTTTGAGAATAGAATCGTATTAGTATAAATATAAATGAATAGATGTAAATTATACCTAGTAGTGTGATATTCATCGAACCAAATCGAGCTTAATGAACACAAGAGATAGTATTAGGATTAACATTTTTAAACTGTAAATTAATCGATTCGCACTTGGCGAAAAAGTTTTATATAGAAATTTTGTATAACTTTACTAATATTTTCTCCTATTATTATTAATTCAGCTTTATCTTCTGTTTCCATCTCATCTCTAGTAAATGATGCATCATCTTCCAGCTTATTCACACAACCTGCTACTCCACAAGTTTCTGAAGCGGAGGCCTTATCATCTACTGTTTCTATTTCTCTTGGTATTCCTTAAGCCCCTCCAACTTCAGCCATAACATCTCCTTCATCCAACACTAGGAAGAAAAGACCACTGTCCAGCCATGGATCTTCACCCACTAAAAAAGCTGCATGATTTGAACTGTCGGATGATGAACAGAAAGAACAAAATATGATTGAAGTAGTTAAACGACATTCATAAACACACCTGTCTGACGAAGCTCCTGCTAAACAGATTGTCAAGTATCATAATTTGTCTATCAGTCCAGCGAATATTATTGGTCTAATCCGGATGCCAGATGGTCAAATTTTTGCGATCACCACTTTCCTAAAATATTTACTACAACTTTCTAATTTTATTGATTTGGACCATGATGACATTAAGGATTTATATGAGAACATTTTGGATTATGCGAAAATACAGAAAGAAGAAAAAGAACAATACATTACACATAATGAAGAGGCTTATAAAAAAAGCATCCGTTTGTTTTGGAATGCAGATATTGTGGAGCCTTTTACACCAAAGGAATAAATCTATTCAGGCATGTTAGAGGAAACAGGAATGCTGCGAACCAATTCAGAAGTGTCTGTCAAAAACGGATACAAATAGACAAACTAACTTCCAACCAAGTTCATAATGTACCGTGACGAGACCCATGGGCAAGATTTGTAATTTTGGATCCATCATTATTTTGTCCGCGAAAATTCCAATTTCTATTGTGAATGAATTTAATAAGTATGGCACAAAAGATGTGTTTTTTAAAACGCTAGATTCATTGATCCTAATCAATAACGCTGTTCTTGGTGCTAATATTGGTGAAAATTTTTCTGACTACATTTGTACTTTTTTATCTTTATTCATTTATTTTCATTCTTTTTATTTGTACTCATTTTATTTTGTATTCTCTTCTTCAATTTCTCATTTCCATTTTTCCTCTTCAATCATTTAGTTTGTATTCTTTTCATTTTGTCTACTATGTCTTTCACCAAATTCATGTCATTGAATTTTGGACTCAATTACTTTCTAATGTTATTATTATTATTATTACTATTTATTCATCCTTTTGTTTTCTGTTTTTTTCTTTCCAGGTGCCCTACTAAGTTAACCAATTTTATCTTTGAACTTATCAATGAATCATTACTTCAAATACTTATCTCAAGACAAATATTTCAGACCCTCAGGTTATAATGAAGTTTAGTATTAATGATATTAATATGTTTCAATTGGTTTAATTATCCCCTAAGGTGAGGATTAAAGATTAATCTATATAATCTAGATAAATCTTAAAAAGTTTCAATGTATCTAATTTATAGGGCAAAGATTGATAATAAAGATGAGATGTTGAAACTGAATAAAGAGAAGAGTGCATTATCGTTTTTCTTCACTTTAAAACTACTCTTCTCTTGAGAACCTTCGCCACATATTAAACTTTGAAGTGGTGAGTTTTTTCTTTTAATCTTGATCTTTTTAATTAATATCATTTCTTTTCTTTCATTTTTCTCAGGATTTTTCATACAAGACAGTACACCTCAATGATGACACATTCTGGAAAATCATTTTTCAGATAAGGAAGGCGGTTCGTTATGACCATATTGAGCTCCATACGATGTACCGATCATTTCTTTCATATTATGATTCCATCAAAACAATGGAATTACAGCTGGAGACAAACAACAAAGATGAATGGGCAAACATTTGGTTGAAAACCGAGATTGATTATTTTAAAGAACAATTATGGGAGGATTTTATTCTCATTAAAAAAATGTGCATTTTTCCAGAAGGAAATCATTGAATTAATTAAAACTGAATTAATTGAAGTTATAACAAACTATATCAACTTTTATTATATCTAAATCGCGACATCCTTGATGCATTCAAATAAACCTTGAAAAACGATATAAAAGAAGAATCTATCAAGGGAAATTATTATAGCAAATTTATCGCTTGAAAAGTACACTCTGTGAAAATATTTCCAATAACTAATAATGATGAGTTATTTATCTCGTTTCTGGTTTCAATAATTTTCAGTTTACTAATTTAAAAACTTTTTCTATTTATTTCAGGGAAACATCGAAAATGTCCCTGTTATGACCGACCTGAAATTTTGGTTGCTTTTACATACAATGAAAAAAGCAGCGGACGAGTGGCTGACTGAGGAAAAGAAACAATTTATCAATGACTATGTGACAATATTTGGCCACAAAAAACTATTGGAAATTGATTTGCGATTTAATGGTCGATCAGATTGGGAAAACATGTGGTTAAAATACTTACATATATTATTCAACTGATATTTTCATCAAATTTATACATTCAGAAGTCCATGCATATTAAAAAGTCCATCAGTTACCATTATCATTGAAATATCCAACATAAGCAAAAATATAGTGATAACCTTGAAATGACCTTGACTAGTAAGTTCGACCTTGAGAATAATATGCACTAAATTTTGAGTGTGCCTGACTTTGCGTTTCAATAGTAATCTAAGAAAACAGTGAAAATACAATTTTCATCCAATTTTACCTGCACAACCAAGTCACTCAGAACCTTGAATTTTCACACTTGACATCATCATACCTATATGTATACATGGAGTATGAGAGTATGGAGTATAGAGAATAAAATTCATGATTTCCTGTAGCAAAAAGTAATAATAAATTATTACCTTTTTGATTTTGGGTTTTATCAGGAAGCTATTAAATTTTAATAGCGGATGAGATAATAAATTTATCATCTCTCTTTCTCTTTCTCCTTCTCCTTCTCTTGCTTTTTCTTCTCTTTCTCTCCTTTCTGGAAAATATATAAAGAAAAATGAAAACCCACCAAGATTATCATTAAGTCTCACAACCTTGTTAGTAGAAGAATGACTTCAGTGTAGAAGTTAATTTCTCTCTCTTTCCTCTCTTTCTCTCTCTTTATTCTAACTAAACTTATCCAATCAACAATCAACAATCAAGTTAATCAATAAACTTAAATAACCCACGTAAAGTTATAAAAGTTTTCGAACTAAGTTTAAAGTTATTCAAATAAAAGTTAAAGTTTTGTTCTAAGTTCTAAACTAAGTTAAATTGTTCACTAAATTGTTCATCTCGAAATTGAACCTGTTACACATGGTATCAAAAACATCGTTCTAGAAATTTTTCGACATGCTGTAGAAAACTTTCATTTTCTCCATAGACTCCTATGTGTAACAAACTAGTTACAACCAGTTGTAAAGTAACACAACCAGTAAAAGTAAAAGTACCACCTCTCACGTGGTACCTGGTAGTTTCTATTGGTTAATATTAGAAGGTGATGATGATGGTGCAAGATTTGGAGAGAGAAGTTTTTCTCTCTGTTACCAAATAAAAGTTGGGTTTTTCAGCCATTTTTGTCATGATAGTTGGAAACAATTAAAATCATCACCACAATAAATGAACTAGTGAATTCTATTTAAAATATAAATTGTTCCAATTGGCACCCTTACGGGGATTGAGTTAATAGTTTAAATTGTGATTTATTATGTTTAAAGTATATCTAAAGTGAATTATATGATATTAAGTGAATTATATGATATTAAGTGAATTATATGATATGAAGTGAATAATTTTAAGTTCTTTTAAAGTGCTATCTACGTT